CGCCAACAAGTTGACGTGCCGGGATGGGCTTACAACAAGACATCCACAGCTAAGACAATGAGGTAGCAACCGCAACTTGTAACGTATCAGACTAAAAGCATTGCACGCAATAGAAAGAGGAAGGAGTAGCTTGAGCCGACGGAAAGCATCTTTTGGGAGTCGTCACTTTTTAGGGTTCATCCAAATGAGGTGGGTGGATGAGCAAATTTTGAGGGTTGAGGTTGAGTTTATGAGGAGCTGTCAATGTGAGCAACAGCTACCTGGGTGCTCTTTTAACATTTACTTAAAAATTCATTGCGATCCGAAAAATACTTTTATTTAGTTTGCTTTTTATGCAGCTGTCCCTTCGCTCTGTCCCCTTTCAAGTCGTTTTACACCAAAATCATGGAAAATTATGCGGGAAATGTCCGACACAGATTTAAATAATTGTACATGGATGTTTGGAAAATTGTTTCTGCTTTTATCCACTGGGAATTCATGGTGTTGAATTGTTTATGGATTTTTATTTAAAGCGAGCGTTTTGTGAATTAGCCTCAGGTGATTTGAATTGTAGAGCTAGTTTGGATTGCTTTCAACATTTTATTTGGCTTTGAAGTGTTGCGTGAAATTCTAAATCGTATCGAAATTATAAATAAAATTGTAAAATATTTGTGCCCCTAGCAATACATCTCGATGGTGGGTCAGCAAGCATAATATACTTTTTTGACAGACTAAAAATGGTTTTGTTCGACCTAAAATTAGATAACAAAAAAATCTAACATTTTGTTATACCTTTGGGGTATCGAAATGCGCAAAGTTGCTAATTTGTTTCATAAGTTGAACTCTTTGTAAAATCATCTTGCAGTTAACCAAAATGCGTTGTTAAAAACTTTTTGAACAAAAAACTCACATGAGCTTTTTATGTAAGCCAAACAAGCAGCCACTGCGTCATAGAGCCGTCAACAAAAGTGGCAAAATATTTAGCAAACTATACGATTGGGGCACAAACATCGTAAAAGGCGCAAAACGATGTATGACACAAAAAAGAAGGCTAACAAACTTTTGCTAACTACTTGCGTTTGTAATTGTTGACTTCCCTCTTGTTGGCCACATATATCGATGCAAATGTTGTTGTTGCTCTTTCACTTTCAGCTTCATTTCAAATGCCGTCAACCATCCAGTTGTGTTGTCTCAGTCCCAGTCCCAGTCCCAGTCCCAGTCCTAGTCCCAGTCTCACTCCGCCACCAATATCAGTGCCAGTTCCAATGCTTGGTTCGCTCTAAGTTGTTGTCGGCATTGTTTGCAACATTCACATTGACGATTGTTTGTTTATGTTTTCTGAGCATTGTTGCCGCAAGTTTCCCCCATCTCATATATGGGTCCTTTGCGCTGTAACTTGCTTCACATATGTATGTGTTGTGAATATCGAGCCAGAAACTTTTTGTATTGAATTTCTGCTTAAAATGTAAATGTTTTTCTATACCACGAACTTTGTGTTCGCTTTTACAACACTCGTTTCCTGACATTGCTCATTGTGTAATAGTAGTTTGCCTGTTGCCTTTGAGTGTTAAGAATTAAGTTGGTTTCAACTATGTCGAGTATTTTATTGTATTAACTTAGTAGTAGTATTTGAACTCTTTAAATGAATCGGATGTATAAGCGACTGATTTACTATCAGCATTTCTTAAGGTAATAAATATTAGTAAATAAATTCAAAGCTAAAGTTTATTCCACTCATAACGATCAAATTATGAATTAATTTTTATAGAAATAAAAAGCCGTCATAAGAAGCTGTAAGAGAAATTATATTTAGGGGTAAATACAAATTGCTAATTAAAGGAAATACCTCAGAATATTTATTTTATTTACTTTTTAATACGTTTCTTGCTTGTGGTTTGCATCCGAATGTATTCAATATTTTATTTCCACTCACATTTCATTTTAATTTAAATTCCAAGGTGCTTCCTTTTCCACCTCACAAATATTTATGCGTATCAAAAGTATTTTATGTTGCATTTTCTATAAGCAATTCTTTGCCAGCGTACAGGAAATTTTGCCACTGAGTGGCATCAGGAAGATGCCAGCATCCAGTGATAAGACATGCATTCTCTAGTGCCTCACTCACTGTCCCTTGCCCCTCAATCTGGGCGCGGTTTATATGAGCTTCCTCATGTTTGCTTAAAGGCTGCCAAATTGTTTGCATGACAAAGTTTGCATTTTGTAATAAATTCGCTCTTTAAGAGTGTTCGGAACATTTACGGTCGGCATTTAAATTAAACACATTTTTTTTATCATACCAAGGGATGCGCAAAAAAAAAAAATATAAAAGAAACGAAAGATTCCACCATATATATTTTGGAAACATTTTATTTCTTTTGGCCAATAAGAGGTTGGGTATGAACGTGTAAAGAAAATATCATTTCTAATGGAAAGAAGCATTTTAATAAGTGTTTGCATTTAATAAATGAGAATACCTCAACTTGAAAAGATGATACATATTTATTTTAGAATCAGAATTTTTTGATCAAAATTAAGGTAGAATTATATGAAAAAAGAAACTTTTCAATTTCCAAACTTTCAACTTTTCTATTGGAGTGATTCATGTTTGCTAACCAACTGGCGAAAACAAACAAATTTGTCACTCCATTTGCAGTGCGTAATGCCCTTAATAAACTTGTTGGACCAACCAATTCAAATTTACATTTGAGCCCATAAATTCACCTAATTAGATGTAAAAATTTGTGGACCAAAGTTCGTGGCCAATTTGAGTCTGCAAAGCTCTTGATTCAATCCAAAAATGAAACATGTATTCTTTTAAATAGAATCATAATAATGCCATCACCAGTTAATGAAGGGACCATTTACAGAAATTTTATGGAAAACACTGGGGAAAAATGTTGGGAGAGTGTCATGAATAAAAAATACAATTTCAACAATTTTGTTAGCATTCACAGATATACTAGAGCTGTGTTAATTTATGATGAATGCAGCTAAACTCAATTGGTTAGGATTTATAGCTCTATGGAGAGTTTAAGCCATATTTTGTCTGTGTGTGTTTGTGTTTTGTAACCCAAAAACGCCGTCATCAAGTGTTGCCGCCAAGTTTTGCGGGTTAACATTGCTAAAACAATTTAATTAATAAAAATATGCAAATTTAATTAAAAGAACAAACGCAAAGCTCTAAAACAGCAAAGTGAACACCGAAAAGGCAAATGTTCTTAGCACGGGTTATTTAAGGGTACTTCGAGGCGTCCAACTAGTTTTCACAGGCCCTTTCCATGTAGCTGGAACGTCATAAATGTTTTTTAATTGATGTTCAGGAATGCCCACGTAATGTTAAAACTTTATAAGGGTTTTTTCTGCATTAATTGGTAATGGAAAAAAGTTTGTCGATGAAAAGCAGATGCGCTCTATCGTCTCCATGGTCCGTGCTCATTTCACAGACCAACCGGGCTAAACAAAGCATAATAAGCAGAAATCCCACTTGTCTTTAGTGCTGTGTTGTTTGTCTTTTGTAAATTTAAAGAAAACAAAATAATACGGGCATAAAAGAAGCAACAACTTGTCGCCATTGTAAGCAATAAAAATAACTTGAGGCTGTTCATTTATTAAGTAGTTTTGGGTTGCGCAAGTCCCAGAAAAACACCTGTGCAAAAGACTGACGCAATTAAATTGAAGGCAACCGAAACGGAGAAAATAATTTGTGTAAAGGGAGAGAAAATTTACTCATACGCTCGAATTTAGGTATAAAGAGTATTTTTTGGGATATAAAATTATGGTAATTCTTGTCCTACCCATTCAATTGGTAAATGATTCATGTCAGGTATTTATTTAATTAAACAAGCATGCTGCGGCAAGTAAATATCAAATGAAAAATATACGACTTACCAAAGAACACTTTCAGTGCCCAAAAATCATTGATGCGAATCAGTGAACAAAAAAAATGAAATAACAAATATCAAAAAAGTAAACAAATAAACCGAAATGCGTTTCATTTTTAATAAATATTTTAATATTAAGAACAGCTTATTAACGTGATTTCTCCAATGCATCACATCAGTCATAAGATATTTAATCTTTCCAAAAACATAAGCTGAGCTCAAATATTAAAACATATTTTAAAGTTGTCGAGAATAAATGTCAAAATATGAATATTTTACACATTTTATTTGATTTTTATTTACTAGCTTTTGTCCCAGCTGAACTTCACCTAAGCTGAAGGCAGACCACATAACTTTTATCATCCTTAAGCTGGATAGTAAAAAATGTAAGGATTTAATCTCAATAAATGTACTTAAAATATATCGTTTATTGAAGCCTGCAATTTGAACGATAATCCCATAGACTTTTCCTTTTACGAGCAAAGCCAAAGTAGAAAATAATAAAGGTACAAACCGGCCTTAATTTTGGCAATATTCATTGAAGATTTTCTGGGATATTAAAAAAGGGTCGCATGACTCGACCAAATGAGGACAAAAAGGAAACGAAGCAACAAATGTCTTAGCCCAGCACACATTTCACTTATGGCCATATGTGGGGCTGTTAGATTGGCAAGAGCTTAAGACCGTTAGAATTCAATTTTCTTAAGCAGTTTATATGTGTCTTTAAAACTATTAGTTTGCAAAAGGATTTTAGTTTTTTCTTCACAAAATCATTTATGCTTATACTTAAAAAAAAAAATAACGGAAAAGGCAAAAATGGTTAAAATTGTTAGAGTGCGTTTTAATTATTTATAACAGTCGTATTTATAGGATGCTTTCTCAAACAGCAAATTTGATATATCTGTATATTTGGTGCAACACGTCTTCGTAATCCCGTCGCTATTTGTAGAAAATTTGTTCAGGAAAGATGTTCACTCTAGTCTCTTATTTTTTGAAAAATATTGAGTTGAGTAATCTGTATTTTATCGGTGTGTTTCAGTGTCAAATGGTCGATTACTACAGTTAATTATTTATTATATTTTAGTTCTCAAATTCATAAATAATAAATAAGAAACAACGTCAACTTCTGGTACAACTTACCTTTTATGAGAATAAACAAATTTTTTTTTAAATAGTTTTCTTCACGGAAGTCTGATGACGATCTCTGTGAAATTGAGATATGCACAGGTGATTGTTTTTGTAAAACTGCACTGGAAAACGCACAAAACAATGAAGAAACTATTAGAAACTGAATGTCACTACCAAAAATTGTTAGAAATTTGATTTGGCAACTGAAGAGATTCACCGTCGCTAGCTGCTATGGGAGAAGCTTCGCTGCTAACTGCACCGCTTTCGAACTGAAACGTAAGTGAAATCGGCACCAAAAGGCGCACTCGATTTATACGAGTGCCGCGAAGAGTTCGTCGTGCCTGCAAAGTTCGTGTCAAAGTCAACGAGCATTCGAAAGATTTCAATGGAGTGTAGACTTTAATGTGTGTGTGTGTGTATGTGTGTGTGTGTGTGTGTGTGTGTATGTAAGTTATGTTTTGTGTTGTGTTTCAGGTAGATAGCGACGACACGAGCAACAGCACGAACACCCGAACGCCCACTCTGGACATTAATGCTGTTGCTACCAAGATTGTGCGCAGTCCATTGCTCGGGTTGTGTGGCATGCTCGGATTTTGAAGTCGTATGGGCAACACGTGGTACGACGGAGCCACAAACTCAATGGACATTGGCATTTCGGCAGGGAGTACGTTCTCTTATCGGTTTTATCAGATAGCAATTACGCACAATTAGCGCGCTCACATTTGTCACGCGATCTTATCTGATTAATCATCTAATCAGCACCAGATTATTTTCAATTAGTTGCATATTTGACAGACGGCATACGAAATCCAATATAAATCCAATGCTCTGGGTATGCAAAATATTTTTGGGGTTATTAATTCCTTGGTACTGGGTACTATCATCCTTATCTGGCTGAAATTATACAATATGTTTCGTATTTTCCGTGGCATCATATACTTTCCATGTTCAATCACAGGGCCAACCAAACAAAAATAGTAATAAAAAACCATTCAATATCGAGAAAATTATACGTAAAATCTCTATTTTATCTGTGGACATTGAACGTCTGAATATTTTGTTTTTATTTAATGTTAAATGTTAATGTTATGGCAAAGTTAAACATTACATTGAACATTTTAAATGAAATAATTATAAATCGATAAGATAAAATGTGAAGGATCAGATTCTTTTCGAGACACATGTATACTTTTAAACAAATTTGTAAACAAATTATATTTAGTCACATTGCTTGTATCGAAAGAAGATTCATAAATTTAGCCCTAAATATAGTTTCCACTTATATATTATTTTCAATCCACAACACCGAATCATTTTCCTTTGGCTCACTTGACACCTATGAAAATGGAATGAACAGATTGAAGACTCGGCTTCAATCTTAGAAAATTAAATTAAATATATACATTTTAGATACAAATCCAATGTTAAATACTTGCCGACCATGAGAACGAATCACAATATTTTCCATTTTAGCTTAAGAGCTTATGCAGTTGTATAAAAGATTTAATTTCCTTGTGCTTAGGGTCACATTCAATCAAAGAATAACTGGAACTTTGTTGAATTACAACAATAAGTGCCACAATATATTTATATAAAGTCGAACCACAATGAAGCTATTATTATTTGAGGTAAAGTAATACCACAATATAAGTTTAATCACTCACACACATATTTACAACAAATGTGTATTATTATACTGCATATATACTTAGTAAATATATATTAATACTTGTATGGGCAAACATATTTGGAGTACCGAAGCTTAAATACCCTTTTAGTATCAATTAAAATACTGGTACGAAAGCATTTTCATATAGTAAAATGGAGTTTGGTTAACGATATTTGCATTCAGCAACTGCGCATTAAGAGAGAAACTTTAACTGCTACTACTACGTAATAGACAACCAATTAATAATAGGCGAATTGCGCTATCGATATTGAAATACACAATGCAATATCAACCACATGCGGCAATTATAGGAGCTGTTTGTCCAAAAATAAGATTTAGAACCTCTTTGTTTGGGAAATTGATATTTATCATTACTTAAATATACACCAGCGGAGAATATTGAAATAAAAGAATTATTATATTTGAATAGGAAGTTGAACTTCTTTAATGATGGTTAAAGGAAGACTGTTTGATTCAATTTCGGACCCGCTAATCTGAGCCAGTGTTTTTATAGAATTTTTAATGGCTGCAACAGGAAAATGTAGGCGACTAGCTAATGATGATGCGCCTGATAAAAGCTTTACAATGTTTTTTGTTTCGTGGCCTGTGTCGATTGTCCGCATATGTTGAGAAACGTGATTTAAATCCCTGGAGTACAGTGTCCTTGCCTACACACACACACATAAGTGTGTTTGTATATGGGTTTGTGTGGGTTTCTATGTTAAAGTTGGGAAGTTAATTAGGTAATATGACTTATGCAAGCGAAGATGGTTCCTTTTTGGAACTTATCGTTATGTATGCACATATAAATGCGGCATCATGACCTTTCGACCTTTCATTTGTTGTAGTTCGCAAAACGCTTGAGAATTGGGTCCATCCATCAGAAACTTCAAAAGAGTCTCGGTCTGGCATTAACTAACATTTGACGTAAACACATGGGATAAATGCGTCAGAGTAGCTAATTTATGTATTAGATGTAGTCGTTATTATAAGCACGCGCCGGTCAAATCTTATATGGAAATTGCTGTCCCTGATTGTACCCATCGCTCAGCCAGCGCATTGAAGTGCATTTCACTTTACACGGACACGGAACACCCGTTGCGAAAATCTTGGCATATTTTTGTACACAAACATGTGTATACACTATGCTATGGAAAGCAAATGCCGCACAAAACACAAAGCCAAAAGCCAAAGACATCGCTGCCCTGTCATAGCATGTTGGCATTTCCCTTTGAATTTCCACGGACATGGAGTCTTATCCACAGATTACGCATATGGACGATGTCAAACAATGCAACTTAATTTGATATCCCTTATCCATCTCATACTTACAATCCATTTCCGATTGCCAACTGTGTACTGCAATATCCTTTTGCTGCATATAAATGTAAATGAATAGAAATGAAAATTATACATTTTATACACATAAAAATTATCGTTTTCTAATGCCCTTTGGCGTGTCTAAATTAAATCAAGCCCATTACACAATCATGGCTCAGTTTTATGATTATTGCAGAACCAATGAGTATTGTTATTGTAGTTTAAAAAGCTCTTTATACACTTTGACGTATAGAAACTATCCTTGAAAAATTTAATTGAATCCAGCTTGACAAATTGAATAATTACTGACTATATAAAACATTATTTTAAACGTATATCATTAAGCTGTCATATCAGCAATAGATCAGTATTTGTTCATAGTTAGCTAAAGTCAATTTTATACGAATAAATTTTTCTTATATAAAAAAATTGTTTATTTCTAGAAAGTGTTTCCAATTGTGTTCACGATACATATACATTCATTTGTATAATGAAGTTAGCATATAACAAAATATAGACTAAGGAAATGAAAGAACAATTGGACTATATGTTAGTCGGCGTCTAATCCTCATCCTCATCTTCATCTTCATCATCATCTTCTTCGTCCTCGTCATCATCCTCATCATCAGACTCGTCAACAGGTTGGACCGTCTGCAGTGGTGGATTTTTACGTGCTTTTTTCGCTGGCACAGCCGACTCCTCGCCGCCGTCGCCATCCTTTGCCGACTCCTTAGCTTCCGCAGCCTTCAGAGCTAAACGCTTCTCTCGCAGCTCTGCCTTATGTTTCACCTGTTCTTTGGTCAACTTGATGAAATCCACATCCTTGGTAAGAGCGAATCTTGTAAGCACTTCATTTGCCTGTTTCTTCAGTTTGAGCATGCGCTGCTCACGCGGACCAACCACATAGGGTGTATCCGCTGGCGGGGCACACATGCTGATATACAAGGGCAGCGCCGAGGTTCCCACAATATCGATTTTCAAATACATTGAGCGCACATTGGCAAGACCGCCAGGATACTGCTGCTGCAGCTGTTTGACAATACCCAAAATGTTCTCGGTTAGCTGTGGGCCGCTGTGCTCATGATTGCCCACCGGTATGGCCGTTAGATCACCCTTTCTCAACTGCCTGTAGGCAGTGCGGCAAAGTGCACGCGATATTTCCTCCTTCAACTGGTTGGTCTTGCTCATACGCACGGCGTGCAACACATTGCGTGGCTTCAGAGTATGCTGTAGAGGATTTCAATTAAAGCAATTCACATAGCGATGGTAACAGTGTAACTTACCTGGCCGAGAAAAGCGCTCGCCTGGCCTGAGATGCGTCCATCGCACAGTAAGTAATCGTAGCTGTTGAGGAACTTGCGCTTAGCCTCAAAAGTGGTCATATCATTGCGCAGTCGATTAAAAGGCACCACACTCAGCCGCTGCTCGACGCCCGCCTCGCGCAATAAATCCTCATAATGCTGCACGGTGGGCTCATAGTCAAAGCGAGCTCCTCGCTGCAGGTCCGTAACAATGAAGGCGACATCGTCATCGGTACCGACCAGCGAATGCTTCAGCGCCAGCTTTACGACACGCTTGGGGCAACTGGGTATCTTGTAGCAGGCAACCTGCAGGATGTAGCGATAATCGCTGAAGATTGAGGTCGCCTTTTGCTTCTGCACCTCCTCGGCCACCTGGCTCTTAAGAGCATTGCACACTTTTTCCACATTCGATTCGCAGACAATTTCATTAAATTTATCCTCATCAAACCCTTTCAGTTCATAATCCAACTCTACGACTTTCTTTACCTTCTTTTGCTTCTTAGCTGCCCTTCCCTTTGGCTTTCCTTTGCCTTTGGGAACTTTGACAACTTTTGTGGCAACTACTTTTACTACTTTCTTGGCCACTTTCTTTGCCAACTGAGGCTGCTTCTTGGCATTCTTAGCAACTGAAGTAGTCAACTGTTTCTCTAGCTTAGCAGTTTTCTTTTCCACAGGAACTTGCTTCTTTGATTGCTTCTCCGGTTTCTCCGATTTCTTTTCTACAGGCTTCTCTTGTTTTTCGGATTTATTTTCTACAGGCACTTGCTTCTTAGGCTTTTCCTGTTTTTCGGATTTATTTTCTACAGGCACTTGCTTCGTAGGCTTTTCCTGCTGCTTTACGGGTTTCTTTTCAACCTTTTCTTGCTTCTTGGGCTTTTGACTTTCAACAGGCACAATTTTCGTTGCTTTTGTTGCATTCACCTTTGTTGGGGCAACATTCTTGGCAACCTTTGTTGCTGCTTTTGGTTTAGGTGCTGGTGTAGCCGGCGATTCGGGCGGGGCCAAGACCAATGGCTTCTTGGACGACGGCTTTGACTTCGCCGGGGGCGTAGCTGGTGTTACTGTAAATACTCCTGCTCCATTTACGGCATTTTTCTTCGTAGCTTTCTTAATTTCTGTCTTTTTTGTAGCGCTTTTTTTGCTGTCAACCACAGCAGGAGCGGTTGCTTTTGCTTTTTTAATGGTTTTGCCCACTTTTTGTTTCTCCTTGGCAATGCCTTCGATTTTGTTGCCCTTGCTGAGAGTTTTCGGCTGCGGCTTCTGTACTTTTACCATATTTGCTATTTAAAACTCAGCAATATTTAAAAACACAATGCACGCTGAACAACACGTGCGAGAGTACAAAATTGTTGCACGGTGCTTTATCGTTATCGTTTGTCGGAATTAGTTTCGATAACTCTACCAGTGCTGAAAAACAATGCTTGGCGCATCTTTTTAAATAGAATTCATCAAATCTAATTTTTATTTTTAATTAATTCAATTGATTGTCAAATTTTAAACTAATGTTCAAATTTTACAAAATGAATATCTTTGTTAAGGGATTTGCGAGTAACTTTTAAGGTCAAAGTCATGTACCTATATGTTAGCTCTCTCTCGTCACAATCAATTTCTTTTCTTTGCTATTATTAACATTCACATGCCAAAAATATCCCAGCACAAGTGGCTAATAGCCTCAGCTCGTGTCCTTGTACAATACAAAGCCCACGCACTGAATTGCTGTGGTCGGCGCGTGGCATCTCCCATGGTGCCTTAAATTAAAGTTGCTGCTGCTGCTGCTGCTTAGCTCATAGTAACGCTGCTTAACCTAACTGAGAAGGCGACACATTTGAGGACACGTGACTGATGCCGCGGCTCTTATTTTGACGATACGACAACTGGGAACTGCTTTGAGTTCAGAAGTTTGTGCAAATATAATTAACATTTATATACCGACTTAATGTGTACATTTACAATTTGAGTTTCTTTGCATTTGCTCTAGAAGGATCCTTCTTGGGACGTTTGCTACCCGTTGCTATTGTCGACGATGTTGTTGTGTCCTGCAGCTTATTAAAGAATGCCCTCGAGGATTTCAGTGCACTCTGATCGTTACTGCTGGTAATCTAATAAACAAAAAAGGAGTACAATTAACATTAGATTTTAATAAAAATTAAACATTAACTGTTTGCCGACTTACCTTGTGCACGTTCCGACTCTTTGTGATTGTCTTCAGCAGCTTGGCGTTTGATTCCCGCTGCGAAGGTGCCTTGCCCTGCTTGGCACGCTCAACTTCTCGCTTTTCCATTACGTTGTTAATGGCGCGTTGTTTCTGCTTCTTCTTGCGACGCTCGCGATTTTTGTCGGTGCTCGTCCGCTCTGTTTTGCCCAGCGGCGTGTGTTTGGGTCCACGGAAGACCTCCTCGGGTGCCAGGAGCTTCGCATCGCTGACAGCTAAAGGCGCCACCTCCTCCATATTGATGGCGGGCGTATTGGTGACAATCTTAGCCTCGGGCGCCACCGGCTTGGGCGTGAAATGGAAGTTGGAAAGGGCATCGAGCTTGAGGAATAGTTGACGCATGTCTCGTTTAATATCTTGATGCTCTTTGGGCTCTGGAGCTGTGCTGTCGTCATCATCACGATTGGGATTTAAATTATCCAACTCTTTCTGGAATTGCTGCTCATAGATTTGGGCCAGCGACAGCTTGGACTTCTCCTGATCGAGAACGAGCTGTTTCCGGTACTCCTGGGGCGTGTGCACCGGTCGCACCTTGCGCTCCACATCGTCCCAGGCTTTGTCACGTATACGCTGCATAATTATATCCTCGATAGTTTGATTCTGCTCCTCGGTAATAGGATTTGACGGTCGTGTTGTCGAGTCAAACTCGAGTATCTCCTCCAGCAACGAGTTCTGCGGACGACTGCCCGCTTGGACCTCGCCCTTGAGCTGCCAGGGCTTCTCGCCAAGCACCACATCTTCATAGTCGCGAATGCGCTGAAACAGGCGTGCCTCGCGCATCTCATTGGTCGACTGCACCACCTCCGCGGACTGCTGCTCAGCCTTATCCTCATCATCGCTATTCTCATTCGCTGAATCGGAATCACTGGCAGGTTCCATACCACTTTGGGCCACAAAATTAGCTTCATCGATTTCATTTGCCATTTCTTCCGGTTGACCCTCACCTTCTGCAGCACTTTCTTCTGCATCCTTTTCATTTTCATCCTGCTCGCTATCGCTTTCATTGAAGAAATCTTTTTGTCCGTTCAGCTCTTGCATCTTTGTCGCCTCCTTCTGCAGCTCATCGTCCATATCGAAAAAGTCCGCATAATTGGCATTATCGCCACCTTCTTCATCTGATTCGTCCGAATCATCCGCCAATCCGAAATCTTCTGTGAAATAATCAATGGCTTCTGGGTCGTCAATAGGTTTTGTGGTTTTTTGTTTGCGCATCTCTTTGGCATCTTCTTGCTCCAGAAACTGTTTCATTTCGTCCAGTTTGAAGAATTTGTCATCGACCACTGAACTTCTTCCCCTCTTCCCACTTTTAGTCATGATTTTCTTGGATTTTGATGGTTTCAAGTCAAAATCTTCCGTCTCTGATTGATGCTCCTCCTCAGCGGACTCCCCGTCGCTTTCCGGCTCACTTGCCTCCCCATTCGCATGCTCATCATCATCTTCGTCGTCGTCGTCGTCGTCATCAAGTTCAATTCCCAAGTTCTGCTCCCGCATGGCTATCAGCTGGGCGGATTGCTCAAGGAACTGTTTCAACACCAAGTCGTTGCGCATTTCAAGCTGTTGCCAAATCTGTTCCTCGTCCATATCCTCTAGCACAAGCTCGGGCAGGACTGCATTTTTAGTTGCCACATCGCTGCTGCTGCTGTTGATGCTCACTCCATAAGTTTGCTGTATCAACTGGTGTATGGATTCAATGGATTCCGGCTGTGGCCTAGGATAACAAATTATACGGTTTTAGTTAGCAACACGTGCGTCGTTGGGATGAATAACAAAAACAAACTTTAGAAAGCGTTCCGGTTCGGTGGTTAATTGCTCAAAGTTGTCAGCTATTTCCTTGAAGACATTTGTCTTGGTCTTGTTTCTATTATTCCCTCCCATATCGCTTAAATATTAGGTTTTATGATTTTTATTAAAACTGGTCTCGGGCCGAATAAACAACAAAATGATTCAAGACGAAGAGACTCATATGAACTAAATGAACGAATCGTTTGTTCATCAGAATATCAGCAACGAAATTGAGCGCTTAATTTGAATTGCAACATGCAACTCACTCAATACTCATTAATTAAATTTGAATAAAAGTTGTAACAATAACATTATAAAAGTAGGTTACTAGCGACAACTTTTATTAAATATGTGATCAGCGAGATTACAAAATTAAGAAGAACAGTTCTTATTCCTATTAACAGTATACCAAAATGTTAGGTTATCAAATGAACCAGTTGACATAGCTGCTGTCAGCACTACCACCAAAAAATATATCTTTGCATAAAACACTAATAAGAGCACTGAATCTTATATGATTAATTAATTTTAATTATATTAAAAAAACATATATATAAATATACATATATTGTGAAACATTACGCCTGGTTCGCATTAACAGGGAGTCATGAACTACTATTGATAGGAATAACTAAATAATCGAATAGATGCCCAGCAGCGCACTCAAATTGGCAAACATATGTTTTACGTAGGGGCCGTCCCCAAAACACAGCAATAGTTGTTAAAGTATTATGCTGGTAACTTAAGTTTGCCGACAAGAATAGATCTCAATAACAATATACAGCCATGGACTTTAAGTTCTACAAACTACTTTTATTAGGCGGCGCCGTGCGCTTGTATTTCAGTGGCACTTCTTTGGCGTCGCTCATCGGCAATCGTGTGGAATTCGCAACTCCTTTAAACTCGTTCAAGCGAGGTAAGTACGCCATTAAATTTGTATATGCCTCCATACATCATTAATCAGTGCCACAATGTGCACATTTCCAGTGCAAGAGGGTGTGTTCCTGCTACAGCAAGGCATCGATCCCTATCGGGGAGATCTGGTGCATGAGACGCCGCTGCTGCTGAAGGCTCTATCCGGCATTTTGCTAAATTATGCTCAACTTCTACCCATACTGTACATACTGCTCGACCTGTGCACGGGCAGCCTGCTGTATTTCCTGAGCCGTCGCTTCGTTGAGCAAAAACTGCAGGAGCAGCGACTGGAGCGCAAGGACTACGCCAAGGATACGGAGGAGCTGCAGTATAGTGCGGATGATAACTGCAACATATCGGAACTAGTCCTGCTTGCCTATCTATTCAATCCGCTGACCATCATGAGCTGCATTGGACTGACCTCTACGGTGCTGAGTAATCTACTGCTAGCAATGTATCTATATGCAATGATCAGGCGCCAGCTTCTCGTCTGCCTCGCCCTGCTCGCATTTGAGACCGTGCGTAGTCTTTATCCGGTTGTTCTCATTGCCCCATTGCTTTTACTCTTTGCCCGTCACTCGGTCTCACGGGGCATTGGAATATTGATGTTGTTTGCCACTTGTTGTTTGGCTGTTGTCGGTGCGAATTTTTTGGTCATGAATAGCTGGAATTTCTTGGACGGCACACTTGGATTTATGTATGTAACAGTCAGTGGTAGATTGCATTATTATTTAATATTTGTATTATTATCATTTCAGTTTCTACTTTCGGGATCTACAGCCAAATATTGGATTGTTTTGGTACTTTTTCACAGAAATGTTTGAGCATTTCCGCACCATGTTTCTGATCACATTCCAGCTTAATGCCACCGTCCTCTATTTGGTGCCACTGTCGATAAAGCTGCGCAAGGAGCCGCTGCTCTTGGCTACTGTGCTCGTTGCCCTCATGGCTGTGTTTCGGGCATATCCCAGCCTGGGTGACGTTGGTTTCTATTTGGCATTGCTGCCACTCTGGCGTCGCTGCTGGAAATGTGAGTAGCAACGATTCCAACTGGTGGCAATTAATGTGACACTTCAATTTACTTTTAGTCATGGCGCACGGCTTTGTCGTCTTCACGTTCTTCCTGATCACGTTGTCCATGATGGGCGCACTGTGGCATCTTTGGATATACGCCGGATCGGCGAATGCAAACTTTTACTTTGGAGCCACGCTCGCCTTCTGCACGGGTCAAATATTCCTAATTACGGATTTGCTATTTGCGCACGTCAAGCGAGAGTTTTGCCTCTACAATGGCCAAAAGATTATGATTGATGGCGAGGAGGCGCGTATTCTGCTAGAATAAGAACTGAAGAACACACAAATAAAGAAAACCACTTTTATTCCAACTATAAACAATTTGTAAGATTATTGCTTGGAGTAACCCGTTTTTGTCTTTCGATTGAGGAATTTGTACAAATACAGGATACGCTTTTCCATATCCTTCCACTTGCTTGGCCGGGCAATCGGATATTTGGTGTTGGCCAGCATGCGGCGCTTGCGCAGCAGCACCTGGTACTCATTACCCGAGACGCCGCGCAGCCAGGACGGCACCGAGTACAGCACCCGAGTCGGATGCAGTCGATCGTTGCCCAAGATGTCGATGTAATCGTTTTGTCCAAAAAGCGCCCGCTTCTGCGGCCAGGCATTCTTTGGCCGATACACGGGCATGGGCAGCTTGTGTCCGTTATCCAGATGCGGGAGCAGACCACTCTGGAATATCTTCTCCTTGTAGCCATAACGACGCACCGTCGGACCGCGTGCACGTTTCTCAGCATGCGAAAGCTGGCGCACTGTTGTCGAACTGGTCAGCGCCAATGGCTTTGCCCCGACGGCAGCAAGATTGGCAAACTTAGAGGCGTAGCACAGCCTCTGAAATGTGTTGCTCAGCCAAGACATTGCTTTTGGTTTTAATTAACGATTAGGTAATTGTAAACAGTCAACTGTGAAGCTGGCCAAGCATTCTCAACCCGAAAACAGCTGTTTCTGGTGATGGCAGCTAGAGATGTGCGCGTGCCAACACGGTTTGTGATATCGAGTTGCGTGCGTGACCACAAAAACACGAATATTATATAAATTAAATACACAACATTAAAAACAAAAACACTGAAGAAAGCAAATGTAAAATATGGGTCATTTCTTACATAGCTTGATTACATGCAAAGTATGTGCTATGATATATGATGTATATTTCTGCATTGGCTCGTGCATATGATGTATATTTCTGCATTGGCTCGTGCAAACGTCTCAATCCTCTAGCAACAGTCTGGCAACGCCTCGCTTGCTTGCATTCGGTGCGTAAACAATTAATCGTTGACTTTTTATTTGATTTTGTTTTGTTTGTCTTACCCCTTTTGAAATCGACGCATATTTGCACGTGCCAATGATTGCGGCCAGAGGTGCACCTGAAATCGAAAAGGCGAAACTGCGTCTAGAGATTGCCGAACTGCAGGCGGTGCTAAACGCCAAAGAGCAACAATTGCTCGAACTGCAGTCAACAATATCAACAGGCGCGAGCAACGGAGGCGAACCCGAATCGAAGCAAGACCATCAAAAATTGAGTAACGATGATATTGCACGCTATAGTCGCCAACTGATATTGCCTGACTTTGGCATCGGCGGCCAACTGAAGCTGAAGAACAGCGCAGTGCTAATTGTTGGCATTGGCGGCTTGGGATGCCCGGCGGCACAATATCTAGCGGGAGCTGGTTGTGGCAGCCTGGGACTAGTGGATTATGACCAGGTCGAGCGGAGCAATCTGCATCGCCAGACGCTGCATACGGTCGCCCGCTGTGGCTTGTCCAAGGCGGAATCGGCACGCATTGCATTGCTCGAGTTGAATCCACACTGTCACATCACGTGCCACGCAAGTCTGCTGAACCGCTTCAATGCGATGGACATAATGCATGGCTACGATGTCGTCCTGGACTGCAGCGACAATGTGGCAACTCGCTATCTGCTCAACGATGCCTGTGTCATGCTGGGCAAACCCTTGGTCTCTGGCAGTGCCCTCAAACTGGACGGACAAATAACCGTTTACAACTACGGGACACAGGGACCTTGTTATCGCTGCATCTTTCCGGTGCCGCCGCCACCCGAGGCGGTAACCAATTGCGGCGATGGTGGCGTCTTGGGTGCTGTCACCGGCACAATTGGCGCCATGCAGGCACTGGAGGCTATTAAATTGATAGTGGGACTGGGCGATGTGCTGGCCGGGCGACTGCTCATCTTCGATGGCAGCAGCTGTCAGTTCCGCAACATAAGGATAAGAAGCAAGCGGGCCAATTGCCATGTGTGCTCCGACCAGCCACTGATCACGCAACTGATCGACTACGAGGTCTTCTGCGGCATGCATGCCACCGACAAGGACAATCCGCTCCAGCTGCTCGAGCCGGAGCAACGCATCACAGTTGTGGATTACCAAAAGTCGCTGCAGGATAAGCCACACTTGCTACTGGATGTGCGTGCGCAGGCCGAGTTTGAGATCTGCCAGCTGCCCCAAGCAATTAATGTGCCATTGGCCCAAATTCTGGATGGCAGCTACCTTCAGCAGCTCGATGCACAATTCAAGAGCAGCGGGTTTCCCATTGTGGTCGTGTGTCGTCGTGGCAACGATTCCCAGATTGCCGTGCAGCATATGAAAAATCAATTTCCCGAACATTTCATCCGAGATTTGAAGGGCGGATTGCATGCCTGGACTAACCAGATTGACGAGAACTTTCCTATCTACTAATCTACTGAACTTACAAAAGAATAAGCTTTATTTTATAATTTACGCCCAATTGTAATATTTGTATGAAAACTGTGGAAATGAAGTGTAAATCGAATAAATATAATATGAATGTGTATTATTCTTCAGATATTTATAATAAATACAAAAGTTTTATTCCCACATTATTATGCACTTCAAATCTTTTCTAAGAGCTCATATTTCAAAAACGGAATCGGAAACCCAGACTGATAATGTAATCATAACATTACATACATATATGCATATGTATGTATGTGTGTATGTAAGTGCATGCATGCATTCATAACATTTACATGTACACACATACATATGTATTTATTGTAGCTGCTCAATAATATACCATTGGCAGCTGATTAGAGGGTAGGTGTAAGCTAACGCTTCGTACGTTTATTCTTTGGATCTACAGCTTAAAAATTCATTAGCCAACATTTTTGATGTGCAGCAAATGGCAAAGTATCGGTATTCGGTATTCGGTATCGAGATGCGAGTATTCGTGCAACTGTGCGTGGCCATAAAAGCAGCTCTGCTTGTTGGCGGTCGTCCAGAAGTCAAACAGCATCGGCACTACACGCTACGGTTACTCGTACCGTATATAGCGAAGGAGCAGTGTTGACAGGCAGCAAACAAGCAGACTTGGCAAGTGTTGACTAAATTCGAAACTAAAACCAAAAACTTCTAATGACCGGAGATAAGCCTATGGACAAAATGAAGGGGCTGCTGTTGCTGCCTTTGCTGCTTACGCTTGCCTTTGTGCTCTCGGTGAGTACTAGCTGATAAGTATATATATAAATATATATATATATCCCCCAAATTTTTGTTTTGGTATTTTAGCTACCGTACGGAGTCGCCGATAGTAACACTTGCTCCGCATCTGTGCTGCAAGCTCGTCGCTTCTTTGATCAGGAGAACTCTAAGCTGCGAGAACGTTATCATGCCGAGTACTCCGCTGCCTATGCTTACAACACCAATGTGACAGAGGATAATCGTCGTGCCATGATTGCCGTCTATGCGGAGAGTGCCAAGCAGAACAAACTGTTGGCGGAGGCAGTCAAGGCTGGCGAATATGACGAATCCGAGGATGCACAGATACGCAGGCAGGCGCGTATGTTGCAGGATCTGGGTGCGGATGCTCTGAATGCCAGCGACTATTTGGAGCTGAAGAACGCCATCAGTCAGATGCAATCGAATTATGCCACTACGACAGTTTGCTCCTATACAAACCGCACCGATTGCAGCCTAACGCTGGAGCCGCACATTCAGGAGCGTCTGTCCAACAGCCGTGATCCCGCCGAGCTGGCCTGGTATTGGCGCGAGTGGTACGACAAAGCTGGCACGCCCATGCGCGAGAACTTTGCCACATATGTGCGATTGACACGCAAGGCAGCGCATCTAAATAGTGAGTGATTGGCGTATATATACATATATATATATATATAGATAACCTCTTGAACCGTCTGTTTAATAATAAACAATTGTCTTTCAGACTATCGCTCCTACGCCGATTACTGGGTGCACTTCTATGAGGATACAGACTTTGAGCGACAGCTGGACGCCACGTACAAGGCACTCTTGCCATTCTACAGGCAAATCCATGGCTATGTCAGGTATCGTCTGCGTCAGCATTATGGACCCGATGTGGTGCCAGCTGAGGGCAATATACCGATGCATCTGCTGGGCAATATGTGGGCGCAGTCGTGGAACGATGTCATTGATCTATTCACACCTTATCCGGAGAAACCGTTTGTGGACGTCAAATCGGAAATGGAACGCCAGGAGTACAGCGTACAGAAGCTCTTCCAGCTGGGTGATCAGTTCTTCCAATCGCTGGGTATGCGAGCACTCCCACCGACCTTCTGGAACGCTAGTGTGCTGGAGCGACCGCTGGATCGCGAAGTCATCTGCCATGCGTCGGCGTGGGACTTCTATCAGGACAGCGATGTGCGTATCAAGATGTGCACCGAGGTGGACACCCACTATCTGTATGTGGTGCACCACGAACTGGGTCACATACAATACTATCTGCAGTATGAGCAACAGCCAGCTGTTTTCCGCGGTGCCCCCAATCCGGGCTTCCACGAGGCTGTGGGCGATGTGATCGCACTCTCGGTTATGTCCGCCAAGCATCTGAAGAGCATTGGTCTCACCAGCAATGGACGGCTGGACGAGAAGAGCCGCATTAATGAGCTGTTTAAGCAGGCCCTCTCCAAAATTGTATTTCTGCCATTTGGCTATACGATGGACAAGTATCGCTATGCTGTCTTCCGCAACGAATTGGATGAGAACCAGTGGAATTGCGGTTTCTGGCAGATGCGTTCCGAATTTGGTGGCGTTGAGCCACCAATGATGCGCACCGACACCGACTTTGATCCACCAGCCAAGTATCATATCGATGCCGATGTCGAATATTTGCGCTACTTTGCAGCCCACATATTCCAGTTTCAGTTCCACAAGGCGCTGTGCCGGCTGGCCGGCCAGTATGTGCCGGGCGATAGTCGCCAGACATTGGACAATTGCGATATATTTGGCAGCAAGAAGGCTGGCGAGGCATTCAAGACCTTCTTGTCTGCTGGCAACTCAAAGCACTGGAAGGAGGTGCTGGAAGAGCTCACAGGCGAAACGGAAATGGATCCAGCTGCATTGCTCGAATACTTTGATCCGCTCTATCAATGGCTCAAGCTGGAGAACAGCCGTCTTGGTGTGCCCTTGGGCTGGAACGAGACGAACAGTCAGTTACGATTACTTATTATTATAGCAACTCACGCATATCTGAATTCCAATATCTTTTTTTTTTTTTTGCAGAAATTCCATCCAGTTGCTGTGGAGCATTTAGTACTTAATTCAAAGAAGACAGTTCTTTTCGGCACAAGACAGAGATTTTTTTCTACCCGCAATAGTTTAAGATACCTAAAAATATACATTATATTTTATAGTACAAATATAAAAAAAAAAACCTCTTTTTAAATATGAATGTGAAGTGTGAATATTATTGACCTTAATACATCTTAAAAATGGCTTAAAGTCATTCGAGATAGAGTCTCAAACAATCGGAAAAGATAAGATACGCTCTACTATAAACCTGGATAGGATTATTGTAAGATAAACGAGAGCAGTGTAAATACACTTGTAATTAAAATTCTCGTATTCTTTAATTGAAATTTCTTTCACTCTTCAAGATTCATAGTCAACATCAAAATGATTCATTTTTAGATACTCTCAAAAATTAAATGATTTTTCACGATTAAGCAAATTAAACGCCAAACGGAAAGTAGAAATTTAGTATTTAAATTGATATTTTTATTGTTTAGATTTATCATTTCTTTCTTTAATAATTTTCCATTACATTTTCCATTTCAACGATTTTATTTTTCTCAATGTTTCATTAAAAAATCGTCAATATATGACCAACAAATTGCTTCCCAATAGTTCACACGTGTTTTGAAGTCGTTCCATTTATTTTTTGTTTTGTTTGCTTCTCTGGAGTCTGTATAATTTACTCGTAATATTGTTGTAAACTTTTGATAAATGCTTGTTGTACACATTAGAGAGCTTATAAAAGTTCCCATTTCGTATTGAATGTTTTAAATATTTGAGATTTTGATTGAAGTCATTGAATACAACTAAACATGCTCTTCAGGAAGGTAAAGTATTCGAATTTTATATGTATGTGCAATTATTAAAAAAAATTAAAATAAATAAATAAATACAAATTCCTAAGACTAAGAGTAAATATTTGACTCGTGTGACCGAAGCTTGACTGACTGCTAAGAATGTCGAAATATTATTCAGTTGTTATCGAATATTTTAAGTAGCCTAAAGAACGTTTTATAAAATTTCAAAATTGTGTGTGATACAATTTAAGTTCTACTTATTATGCTTTCACTTTACATAAAGATTTGATAGCAATGAACTAACAAATAAACGCGACGACGCTTGAGAAATTTGAAGTTTTTCAATTCGGTCTGATTCATTTAAGATCAACCTATTCCATTTTTGTTTTAAATGTTTGTTAAATGACATAAGTAATTATTTTTGGTTTGTTTTTTGTTTTTGTTTTTTTCTTTTTTCAATTAAATACATAATATTTGCATAAATAGTGTCTCGCATCTATCAATCGTTGTTATCATGCCCAGTATAGTTTAGTTCAGTATATATAGTAGTTAATATTTAATCGCTATCCTCATAAGCACCTATGTGATAAGAATGGTATGTATTAGTACATGTATATGCATGCCAATTTTTATTTGATTCTATTGAGGATTATGATGGAGCTAACAATAAGATCCGCTGGTGGTTTTATTTTGTTTTGTTTTTATTTGGAGATATACTAATTTGATATATTCTTTAAAGCTGACAAAGGGACACTCGGACATAGGGATTTGAATAGGAATATGGAATAAAAATTGGGCAAGTTAAAAGATAGATGTGCAAAATAAAAAATATTGATAAAGAATATGACGATAATTTCTTGATAACTTCTTCAATCAATTTGCTATTTCGTGGCTAATACACAAATTCATGCACATCCGAGTGTTTCAATGTTTGGGTATCAACAGCTTTGGTTTTTTAGATAACTACGAACAATGAACGAACCGCATTACATATGTTTCTCACTAGTGTGCAACAAAATAATATGCATATGGGTTTAGATAGTTTTAATTTGTTTAGACCAAGAGTTTAGTTTTGGTTAATACTAATGAGTGAATATGTTTTCTTATATAGTTGTTGGTTTGTTTTTTTGTTTTGCTTTTTTTCTTCTCATTTTTGTTTTAGAATAGGTTTCAAATAGTATAATAGGTAATTTAAAAATAATTTGTATGGTTGCTATCATTGCAAATTTGAAAATGTTTTCTGCAACAAAAATGCGCCTAGGATTATTTATTCGATGCAAAGTTTTGTGTTTTGTCCAAGCAGCAATTGATGTTTTACTTTTATAGGTAATATACAAATAGATTATATATATATGTATATATATATATATAAATATATATATATAGTATATAAATATGCAATATATTGTAGTTGCTTATCGAAGGATTTAATCCTTAACTATTTAAATATTATCATTGAATACAATTTCCACTTTCAAAATTCTAACCGTTCAATTTTGCTTTTTTTAGGTAGTTATTAATTAAACACACATAAATTTGTTGTAAAACAAATCAAGAACGAAATTGGAACGAATGGCAAGCATGGATGTGTGTGTATCATGATGAGGATTTATGGGATGTGTATGTTGGCCACCAATAAAGTGCCCAAGTCGCCCTCAACTCTGGCCTAAATTGACTCCTGGATAAATGTGCAATTGACGTTTTCTGAAATGTTTTGTTTTTGTTGTTGTGTGTTGCTGTTTATGGTATATACTATTTATTTGTATTTATTTATTATTATGGTTTTTTTTTGCTGAAAATGCGTTCTTGAACTAAATATGTGTAGATTTAGTCCAAGAACGGGTTTTGTCATACGGGCCTCTGATGCTGATTGGGATTTGGGTGCAACAGTTGCTGCTGCTGCTGCTGCGTGACACTGCTGATGCTGTGGTTGCTGCTGCTGCTGCTTGCGCCGCCACCGCTGCCCTTGGGTCGCGAGGGCGGTGGCGGAGGCGGCGCGTGCCGCATGCGCTGCTGCAGTATACGCGGCAGCTGCGGATGCGCCTTATGCTGTGCCGGTGGTGCTGGTGGCATCCCCGATCGATGATGATGATAATGAGGCATCTGCTGCTGCTGCTGTTGTTGCTGCTGCTGCTGGTGATGGTGATGCTTGCCCATGGAGGATGCTGCCGATGATGAACCGGACGTCCCCGACGCCGAACTGGTCGACGCATGCGATGTGGTCGAACCCGTGGCCAATTTAGTGGGCAGACCACCACTAGTCGCTGGCGATGCCAAGGCCGCAATCGTTACCGGCGGCGCATTGAGCTTTGGTACAGCAACTGGCGCATACGAGCCATCATCCTCGTCGGACGACAGGGAGTTGGTGTCGGAAGGCGTGCGCGACCTGGATGGCGGCGAAAGGGCATCCTGCTCCTGCAGAAACACCCGAAAGCCCTGTATGGACTCATTTAGCGCCCACAGCTGCGACAGCAGCGACAAGTCCAACTGCCGCAACCCATACATTTCACGGCGTAATATCGCCAGCTGGTTATCGATGGTGCTGGAGGCATTATTGCTGCTGCTGTTGCTGCTGCTATTGGTGGGCATGTGTAGCTGCAACTGCTGCTGCTGGGCTGCTGTTGCAGCAGCGTTCCCGCTGGCACTGTGTGTGGATGAGGCGCGACTGTGAACGCTCTCGCGATCGCTGAGCGACTCCTGGGTGGATGACAAGCTGCCATGTCGGCCGTGACCGTTGTAGTTCCGATTCCTTGCCGCCGACGAGGTCGATGGCCCCAAATACAAATCGCCCGTGGCAGCAGCCAGTGCAGTAACCGAGGAGGCGGCTTGCAGTGGCTGTTGCAACGGTGAGGACGTATGTGAACGCACCTGCACCTGCACCGGCACCGATCCTTGTCCATGTCCATGTCCTTGTCCGTGGCCAGGTGCCATTGCGCTGGCAGCGGCACTCAGACTTTTTGGCAGTGGTGGCAGACCGGTTAAAATGTTTTGTTGTCTTTGATGCTGTTGTTGTTGTTCAGCGTTTTCCATCATTTCAAAGAATTTCGTATAGATTTGTCTACTTTCAATAGTTTTGCTTGCTTGTTGTTGTTCTTGCTTGTTATCGTTATCGTTATCGTTCTCGCTGCTGCTCCTTTTTTCTATTTCTATTTTGCTCTCGAGTTTTTTGTGTAGTTTTTTTTGTTTAGTGTATATTGAATTTCCAACTTTGGCGGCACATTGGGCACTGTTTGTTCAACGGTTGCAAGTTCAGCCACTTGACAATGCAATGCATGTGAAAGCAATGGGAGCAGACACCCCACACCAGTGGGCAATCGTCACCGGGCAGCGCACACTCGGGGCAGGTGCTCTCGAAGGACATGCGACAAATGCCACAATTCTCATCATTTGCTATCCAACGCCAAGATGCAACTCCCGTCCATGACTTGATTGTTACTTTCATTTTGCGCACATTTGCCTTATCAATGGAATGATAATTCTAATTGCAATTTGAACACAAAAAACCTTTTTATATGCGTACTTGCCAAAATGAAACACTATCGTGCGTTTTCCGCAAAAATATTGCCTTTTTTCTCCTACTACCTGAAAATAGGTCGACCGTAGTGATGGGTTTTTCTATTTGTTTCACTCGTTTCTATCGCTTCTTCTATCGATTGCCGTCAAAGATGTTAACTTAACATCCCAAATGCGCAGTATAACGCTGTTATGCTCACCTAACAACTCGATATGGGTTTTCGATGACATTTTGGCTTATCGATAAATGTATATGTTGATAACTCAAAGACGCGCTCATCTTCAAAAAGTTTTAAATTATTAATGGAAATGTCTGCGGATGTAGTTGTTAATTTCGTTAATTAGCATACCAGCTATAATTGAGTTTACTTTTATATCACGTGCTGAGTGCAGTATAATTTTAAATTGAATTATTAACTTATTAATATGCATATACATTCGTATTTACATATTTATAATTTCGCCAGCTTCTGTCAATCTTATTTTCCAAATAAATATTTACATGGCAATTGCATAAGAAACTTCTTTTGTATGCCTGTCATTAAGCACTGGACGCTGGATACAAGATACCAATTGTGTCGATCATATCTTATAACCTGACTCGAAATCATTACTGCTGAAGTTGTTGACGACGCCGTTGTTGTATCACTTTCAGTAAACCGACGAATGTTGAAGCTGACAAACGTGCGCACGGAGCTTTTGTTTTCGGTTTTTTTCCACGGTTTCGTTTTAATTGGCAGTTTTGTTTGTTTGTTTGTGTCGCACCAACGCACCAGTTAATAAATACAAGAAAATTTATTAGTGAATTTGCTGTTCCCCAAAACCAAAGGGCCAAAAGTTGTCCGAAAAGTGGTAATAAAAAAAGCGGTATTTAACAAGCGGAAGGTGGAAAGCGGATGGTGGAAAGCAAAAAGCGTTTAAAAGTGTCTGTTGCGGTAGTGTGTGTGTGTCTGTGTTTAGCAAGGAGCAGTTGAAAACCTATATATAAAAAAAAAGTGAAGGAGAGCCAACGATCCCTTTTGTGTTGTAAAACTACCTTGAGGGAATAAAAATACAAATACAAAACAACAACAAGAACAACACAACGGTTCTCAAGAACCTGTAATTGGGAACGCACTTCAATAAATAAAAACACTTAAAATACAATATATATGCATAAGTACTATAAGCGAATGTCCATAAAACATACACTAAACAGCTACACTAAGCAACACGTTGTTGACCCTGAGCGCGAGCGTGCTTTTTCCCTACAGCTGCAGCAAGCCGCCTCCGAAGAGAATGGAAATTTGCAAAACAAATAAAATTAAAAAAAATAAATAAATAAAAATAATAAAAACGACCGTCTGTCGTGTGGTGTACCTTTTGTCATTCGGTCGCTTGTTGCACATGCGCTGAAAACCGTTTGTTAGCCTCGATGCATTCACCAGGCGATTCTTCTCGAGACTCTGTTCCGGTTTTGGTCATTTCTGCTGACAGATGTGGGCATCTGATGTATGTATGTATGTATAGCATGTGATGGACGGAAATACATATGTAAAAATTAATGTTGCTCATAAATGAATTTAGTATGTCTGCTTCCAATTAACAATAATTACAAATCAAATGCGAACTCAATTTGAAATGTGCTCTGTGCACTGCTCTTATTATTGGTCGTGTCATGTGTTTTTGGCAATAATAGGCGCTAATAGCACCACAAATAAGTAAACAAACAAGCGCTAAGTGCAAAATCTTTTATTTATAGAATTGAAGCAAATTAAATAAATATATAATACATATGTAACTGTAATTAGTAGTCTATTGATAAAAATGGTCAATCGACTTTCGAAATCGGCGATTAAGAGCTGCGTCATATCAGAAATGATCGTCAAAAATACTTTCAGCATTGATAAGGCAAACTTGGCTAACTTACTTATGGCAATCGACACGTCAATCGCTCAATGTCTGCCGTGTGTTAGCCTCCAAATGGATCTGCTATCTTTAGTGCGTCGTTCATATGTGTGTGTGTATATATATATATAAACTGAAAGGCAGTCAACCAACCCAAGTGCCCTGATAAAATAAGAGAGTTTTAATCGCAATCCAACACACGCTTTTGTTTCTGTTGCCACAACATCGGCGAGTACTCAATTATTGAATCAATTATTAAAAAAATTCAATAAAAATGTATATCAGTTTCTTGTTCATGACTCATATTCTTAAATGAGTTTTCAGTCAGCCTTAATGAATAAAAGGCGGAACTGAGATCAACTACATGCATATTTATCATTCAAATTTCTGGGAATAGCGACTGAGTGTCTACACACAATAGACACATAAATATTACATCAATAATTAATAACAATACAGCACTTAAATGCCATGGGAAAGAGTCGAGAATTTAGAAGCAAGGAAGTTCCTCTTATAAAAGTATGAATGTGTTTTCTAGCGAATACTGAGCACTTTTTAAGGTGACTCTCTCGTATCTTGACGAAACCTGTTGAGCTTTATTGCTGGCTAATACGCATGTAGCGTTAACTGCTTTATTGTCTTCGTTGTCAAATACTTGACAAGCAATTCTCTCACGTATTTAACTCGTGCGTAGACTCTAATGCTCTCTACTGTATGTACATATGAATGTATGTACTTCTACCTGCAACTGAGTTTCACTATTTTTAAGGCTACAATCATTTTTTAATAGCATCAAGGCAATGAGTTATCCGTCAAATACAAAAATTAAACCCAATTACGCTTACAAATGGCATAGAAAAAGTTATTCATTTAATGAGTATATACGTTGTTTTTAAATAAAACACTACAGAACGGCACGCCGTACACAAAATGCCCTGCTTTTCATTTTTAAATGCAATTCTGTCTGAATTTCCATGCCAAAATTGTATCCCTCAAAAATTTAGATTAGCGACTGGTAAAAGCCACATCCACAAATTGGTTAAAAATTATGCGAATATTAAAAAAAGATATTGTGGTAATCAAAAATCGATTAATTGTGCCGATCAAAGCTTTATGATATGTGCAATGTTGATAAATCTTTCCCCAGAATTGATTAATATTAAGTACAATTAAAATCTATAGAGACGTTAGACTATAGACTATGTACACATTGCTAAATGTTAATTAACTATCTAATTCCAACTTCATTCAGTTGTAGTTTCTATATCCGGGCTTGAGCTTTAAATGTTAATTGTATTAAAATGTTGCAGTTAGCTAATCACCTTCATGAGTGTTTTTTTTTTGTTTAAGATAATTATATTTGAAATTAGAAGTCACATGCATTTATTTGCATTCACATGTGCTTCGAATAAGTCATACAACACTTGTCCATTTAATTGAAATCAAAGCGAAATACAATTCATATTTTGGTGTGTAATTAGCAACACTCAGCAAAAAAAAATTGCACTTTCGCAAATTCCCCTAAAATGAAAATCACTCTGAAAGCTTAAAGTAAAATTCAGGATTTGCTTGCAGTGTCCAAGCGATGATCCCAAGAAACCGCGCTTTGCAAATTAAATTGTTCACACCTCGATTGACATGGTGATGATTTTAATCTTCAATAAAAATAACTCTGCGGATATAATCATTCATACATCGAATGACAATATCAATATTTGCTACGGTTCGAACCATAACACATATATGTATGCATAATACAAGTGTATGTATATTTTTACGGTTTTGTATGTTGGCTCCGTTTAACTACGTCGAGAATTTTCATTGAGGCATTCAGGCCACCACTCCGAAGGTGTCAATAACCGTTTGCACGTTCGACGTTCATGGCTCAAGCCTCAAGTCTACAACTAAAAACCTGACCAGCAGCAGCTGTAGCAACAGCAGCAGCAGCAGTGCACTGGCCCCGTTTTTTTCTTTCTTTTTTTTTTGGCTTTGACAGTTCAAAATCAAGTGGCTTTTGTGCATTCGATCATACGATCAAGTTGCAGTTTTGAATGCAATCGGGTTTTGCCTCGTCTCAGTCAATAGCTCGAATATAATTGTTTATGTTTGCACGGCTGCTGCAAGTCGCAATTAATCTCAAGTGCTTTAGTGCCTGTTTTTGTTGCAGTGTTCTAACTTACCTAAGAGGTTATTGAGTATCTATTTTCACAAGTTATAAGTAAAGCAATTCGTGCATCTTTGAATAATGGTGCATTAAAATTAGTGCTGTATAAAAATGATTATTTAAATTTTTAAAATGCAGATGTAAATGGTATATAATCATTAAAATGAAAAAGATAACAACCTTTTCTTGATCAGCAAGTCCATATTGCTATATACATCGGTCTGATTGTTTCCATGCGAATTATTCCCTCAGTTTTAAAGCTATTTGGATTTATAAGCTTACAACTTCTCTGTTCTTATTAGTGAACAAATATTTACATGCCCCTTTCTAAATGAATGTTGATATTAATACCGCGTACCCATAAAATGAGCAACCATCCATGGGATAATTGCGTATGAATAACCCAAATATTCAAAGAAGATAATTGCACATATAATTACTACATTTAAAGTGGCCGATCACATATGTGTGTGGTTGCACGCGTTGCGGTCTATATTAGAATTACTCATTAGTAAATAGACTATAATTGAGGACTCAAATATTTTGAGCATGTGGCTTGTTGCTCGAAGTTCATTTTATTTATAACTTCTTAGCGTTTATTCGCCTGTCGGCGATTTAATAATAAAACCAATCCGCAAATACCATCAAATTGGCGGTATGGATTTATTATGACATTAACTTAACATCTCTCCATTAAAAAACTCACAAATCTGAATATGCTGCATTAAAATTGTCACGCATGCCGCTAATTAACAATTCTGAAATATGATAAGCCAATAAGGAGAACAAAATTCCAGTGGAAAAACACGATTTTCAATGCTTGAAATCATTTCTTAATTCGGTTAGTTACTTAATAATCTCTAGTTCACATGATGATTAATGTATCTTTGGTATTGTAGATATTTCTTCTTCTGATTTCTGTGAAAGACACATATATCTATAGCAATGCATATATGTATGTATTGAATAACTGCAAAATGTTTATTTTTTGTGCTGGTGAAAACGAAACCACTTTTTTTTTACAAAGGTTTCGGTGATTTTCCAGTGGGGGATTCTAGATGTTTATTTTTTTTTATTCTTTATTATTATACAGCGCTTATTTACGTTTTATTATATGGCCATAAAACTTGTTTTGTGTACAGCAATATAAATGTGCACTCACCTCGACACACAGATATAAATATGTGTATGTGTAAGTGATAAATAAATTTGAATCAAATTGAAATAAAGCATTCCGATGATTTTCAAATATTGTGAATTTGATGCAACACAGAATACTAAAGAGGTAGATCAAAATTAGATGAATTGAATGTATTCCATATACATACATATATTTCATACATACATATGTATATTCCAGCAGGTTATTTATTTTCAATTTTAAGCTGTGCCCTTGTCATTTTGGCTGGAGTGTGTATGTGTGTGTGTGTGTGTCAGTATCGATACTCCACACTCCATACTCTGTACTCCAATGTATTGTTATTTTGCACACGCATACAAACAGACATATGTATGTATGTATTTGTGTTATATGTATATATGTACACAGCATCGCGTGATTTGGCTGAGTGGCTGTATGTTATGTGTGAGTATCGTGATTGTTGTGTTTGTTATTTCTGTTGTCGTTTTTTGCTTCTCTTTCTGTTTCTGTCTCTGTTTTGGGTGTGTGTGTGTGTATTTTTTTCGTAGTAATTTTGTTGCTTTTGTGCTGTTTTGAATGCGCGGAAGTTATTTTGAAAACTCGCTTGCGATTTTTCTGTTTCTTTTTTTTTGTCGATTTTGTATTTTTGTTATCGCACTGGGAAAGCGAACAGACAAAAAGTTCAAAGGCAAAAACCAATCGCTTGCACTTGAAATTCAAGTCGAAATATTTGCCTTTGACTTTGAATTATGACTGACATAGATGATGCATAGATAGCTTAATACTTAAAGTAAGCCAGTTTTTAGCTAATTGCAAAAATAACTTGTGTTTGCAAACTTAAATGCAATAGTATTTCAAAGGTCAAAAATGCATTGCTTGTGAAAATGGGTTTAGTTTTTAGTGTAAAATTTGTGCTAGCATCGATTAATATAAATGCAATCTTATTCTATAAGCTTAAACACATTTCAAAAAAATAATAATGCTGTATAATATGAGCTCGACTACGAGATACCCTGAGATACGCTGCTGTTCGCTCGCTTCGATTACATATTGGTCATAACTTCTTAGTCGATCTTGATGATATTTTAACAGTTGCTCAATAATATTTCTATGTATATTATATATTCATTTAAAATTGCGACTTATATTGCTCGAAACGGGGGCAATTATCGATAAAATGAAATACGAAAACTTCTATTCCAAATTTGAAGGCGCCAGCTTTGATAGTCTCTGAGATCCATTGGTTCGTGCATATGACTCGGCTATTGCTTGATTGATGAATGCACAAAGTTTTCTCCAATCAATTTCGTTGGCCCCTCGAAATTATGTAACATGAGAGGCGCTTCAAATGCGCTGCACGCACAAACGTTTGTAAATGTCAGTAAATTGCATGACGAGTGCACACACAATCTGTGGTGACTACAAATGTGGCTGCTTTTCATTGCACACAACAAAAAACAACAAAAAAAACAACAGCATGCAATGAAATCAAATTGAATGCCATTCAATTGTTGCACATTTGACATACGCTCGATTTCGATATGGATCTGTGCGTCAAATGGACCCTCAATCAATTATGGAACGCTTTTCAATTTAATGCTCGACATCTGGTTGCTTGTTGATCTGTGCCTTGGTAAATTTGCGAGCCTTGTGCGTTTGTCAACTTGTTTTAATTAACTGACTTGTGAAATGGATTCCACTGACTGTTAATGATGTTGGTGGGTCTTGGAGGGATGGAGGGTGGTGGTGGCGGGGGATGTGCTTTTAACGGCTAGGGCCTCACATGACTGCTGAGCTTTGAACTGTAACTCGTTTGCAACTGAGCTGCCAAGAAAAGCTGCAACGCAGTTTAAAAGAAAAAAAAACCCGTTTTGTTTATCATTTATGTTGCATCAAAAAGGCCAATATTTATCTTAAATGATTCAAGATTCAAGTATTCCAGTTTGTTTTTACCTTGTTGACATTTCACACCCCCAACTAAAAGTTAATCACTTCAGTCACATGGTATCTGCAGCCAGAGATTAAGACCATCGTGTCTATTAGATAACAACAAGTTGTAAACTTAATGTCATCCGGTCTTGTTTTATCATTTCTTAAACAGTAATGAATATCTTCTTTTAATCAATCTTGAACTTGTATACTCTAGCAAAGCGAAAGTTATAAATATGTAGACTCTAAGCTCGAAAGGAATGTCCATCGCTATTATCGCTTTTTGAAGCTAAAATAATATTATTTTATAATTATTTTAAAGATGATCTTTCGTTTGAAAGCGAAGTTTTTTCCAAATCATGTAACAGGCAGAAGGAAGCTTCTCCGACCCCATTGAATATACATATATATATATATATATATATATGTATAATATGTATCTCGACCATACACAAACTTCAAATTTATGCCATACGTTTTCGTATACCACGAACAGGCCAAGCTTATTTCATCAATAACTTCCTCCATTTCTGCAATATCAATAAGAATTGGTTGCCGATAGGAACAAAAGTGTCCATTCTGAAGATAAGACTTTCCCGCTTCATTAGGAATACACCTTGTCATCAAATTGATGAACTGTTCAAAATTCATTCAGGTCTGTCAAGAAATCGTATATAAATAATTAACAATTTGCACAAATGGGCACCATCTTCTACTGTTTATAGGTTTATTTACATATATAAATATTTATATAAGTGTGCTACTTATAATAGGCAAAGGCTTGAGTTCGGGGTATTTGCAATTGTTATCAAGTTCAAGATTTTTCACACCTGATTTGAGTATAACAGTGCATCGTGCAGTCGTGTTTACACTCACTTGAAACCTGTTGAACTTAATACTTTGATTGTCTACTTGTCACATGCTTGCATTGTTTGTTTGTATGTATTTTTCTAATCGAGCGTAAGATTATTTATTTTACTTTTCGCCTGAATGCCCTAGTCATTATAATTCAATTTACTTATCAAACACTATTCACACACACACATATAGACACATATTTGTATGTAATTGAGGGGGGTTCTCATGCATGACACGATTGAAAATATTACAATATATTTGTAAATTTTATATTTATCAACTAAAAAATCATTTAAATATCTAATCGAGAATCCCAACCGTTTCTAATCGATTTATTTTAACTCAAAAGATTTGGGCATTCGTTTCCCAATCATTTAATTTTAATTTAACCAAAATATATTGACTAATAAAATGCGAATAATTTAAGCCAACAATTTTAAACACAAAAATAAGCATTTATGTATTGAAATATTTCAGTTAAAAGATCTCTGTTTCAAATAGACTAACATTTTGATTGGAGAAACTTTTACAAGCAGAAAACAATGCAATTTTACAATCTACATAAGTAGCTAGGCTTTTAGAGAGACGCCCACATCTGCCTAAAAGTATGTTTCACATTTCTCAAAGGTTCCTCGTCCGCTAAAGAAAAGGCCATCTACGATCACACAACCTGTGCCGGGAATGTGGCCCAATTCACAGAATCTTTGCTCGTTGTGCTTATCGTTAAAAGTGCTAAGTAAACCAAATGATATCGCAGGGCCTGCGAGTGTGTGTTGAACGTCAACACAAATACAGGTACAGCAATACTTGTGTATGTGCACACTTGGATAAGGGTATGTGTGTGTATACATTCAGACATACGCGTGGTGCAAGCTTAAAAAATTAAAATTACCAATAAGAGTATCTTATTGGTTACGTTATTTATACAGTGGTATGAAATCGATAAAATTGCATCTGATTTAATCATTTATTGAATATTATATTGGAAAAGCAAAGTCTGTTAATTTACGCTGAATTTTATAAAATTATTTATAGCTTCAAATTCAGCTAAAGCGGCAATAATAAATTGCTTACCAAGTCTATTTAGTTATTTATTGTACATAATTTTGCGACACGGTGAAGGCAGAGAGCAAGTTTTGTTATGACTTTTGTTGTGCAGAGCCGTAGAGTACTTGCGTGTGTAAGCTTCGAAACACTTTACTCTCTCTCTCTCTCTCTCTCGTTCTCTCGCTGTCGCTCTTTTACGCTCACGTTTAAGCTTACGCTCTCGCTGATGCGCTCAATAGATCACAAGACTTTCTCTGAAAACTTGCCCCGGAGTTAAGCTTTTGACTCAAAAGAGTTAGAACTGTGGTAACCAATCCGACAGTAAACAAAGCTCCCCTTGCATAAAACTTCATTGAGTAAGTCATAGGGCTTGCACACAAGCTTATATTAACGCGCACACACGTCACACACACACACAGAATCACATTTGAAAACTCCGCGCTCTCTCTCTCGGTCTCTGTCACACACCTTCGAAAAGAGCGAGGCCTGAAAGAGCGAGGTGGCATTGCGCTATCTGTGATATACGTTTGGACACACTACCACTTCAGTTGCCGATAAAACGTCGAGCTGTGTCCACGCTTCACGCTCCACGCTACGCCACATAAACAACAACTTTCGGACGAGTCACACGCATTCCACGACACTACATAAATGTACTTTTTTTCCCTCTTTTTTTAATGCCGCCCAACAGTGGCGAAATAAAGTCAATAAAAAAGACAAAACAACAAAACAAAAAGATATATTCCACAAAAGGGACACTACTTAGCTGCTACTACATCAACTGAAGCGTTTACGACGGGCCTCTAAGATGTGCCGCTGTTGTCAGAAGTAAGTGAACATCACACATACACTTGCATATTTTATTTACATTCGACTTTGGCGATTCACATTTGAATTCCCGTTGCCCCTCTTCTCTTTCTATCTTTGTCTAACATTCAGCTGCTTGGAAGATTTATACTGGAACTGCTTCGAGGAACGTTTTTGCTATGATGAATCGATCGGTAAGTTTTGAATTAACATTTATGTCGCAGCTTTGCTGTTTCACTCTCTTCTTTATGGTTGGACAGTTGACTGCTAGCCAGCCGGTGCATGTTTACCTACGTGGTTCCACACAAACACAAATACACACACACACATATAAATACATACTTATGTGTGTATGTGTGTGTGTGTGTGTGTGTGTATTTTGTATTTTGAGCCATAATATTATACGACAGACGACGACAATGTAGATCTTGAACACACACGCATACACACACACAAACACACACATGCGCCTTGGGGGAAACGTGATTGACATCTAAAAAAAAGTGTGCGCAAAACAATCACAAAAAAAAAAAAACAATGAAGGCAGAATACGATCGAAATCATAATATGAATTGAATTGTATGGAAAGCTGACTAAATTGAGACGACAAGAAATCAAAGCAGATTTAATGGCGTTGCAGATAATGGAAACTGAGCAAGATAACAGATAATTTAGTACACACAAAAACTTATGTACATTTTGGAGGGGAACACGTAATGTGATCAAGGTCAAAGCTGATCATTTGCAGCACACATACAGATACAGATAATCATTATACATGCTTTATTCGTACATAAAAATAAGCAAACGGCTTGCAGTTTCTTTGCTAGAAATTATGATTAAACAATCATAAGGAGAGAGTGACAGAGAGAGGTAGGCTGATAGAGATAATTTGAGTGAGAGCAATTCTTATCACAGTGTTTATTTACTGTTGCTTCCACAGCGAACTATAATGCCGAAGATGACGAGGAATATCTGGCGACACAGAAGAATGGCAGCATCATTGGACGCATTCAACCCACTGTGGCCGACAACAACAATCTGTTGACTGTGTCACAACCTATTTGCGATCAACCCATGGGGCGCAACAGCTCGATTCCGCTGAGGTACTAATTGACAGAGCAAATCTAGTTAATTTGTCAGTTCGTCAATGCTGTCAGTCAGTCAATCGGTCACTTATTCATTTGCTTGCATATCTGATATGCTGGCCATTTGCTGATTAAATGACAATGCGATGTTTGGCTTATGCATTGTCACCTCTGCGTCCGTTATGCGATTTTTTAATTTAATTCTCGATTTTGCCAAGCATGTTGACTTAATGCTGATGCTTTATTTTTGAATAGTGCCAAGATACACGAAGAGGATTATCGGCGCGTGACTCAGACAAATGTACCAATGCTGGGGCCGGAGATATTGGCTGTCTTTGCCAATTCGCAGATCTTCCAGGATCATCAGCCGACGAAGCTGAATCGCATCAGCACCAAGACATTTTTGGCTGGCATCCATTCGCCTAACAAGGATATGCCGACAACGCCGCGCCTCAGCGAACAGGAGCGTCTTCTGCGGCGTCTGGAAGGTAATGAGGGGCATGCACAAATTGTTGGGGCCGGTGGCAAGACTAGTGGTAAGAGCACCCGCAGCAGTAGCATCGTTTCCGCTGGCGTGCCCAAGGTTAAGTTCTACCTAAATTAAATGCGAATCGCTGGAATTGATTTGCTGTAGCAGTATTTGTGCCAAAGATCCTTAATTACGTACATGTAGATAATAATTGTAACAACAGCACAAAATGTGACTTAATATTTTTAATTAGAAATAAGTATATATATCTATATACATCTAATCAGGCCACAATTCCAGCCAGTTAAGAGTGAGAAACGACAGGTTGACGAACTAATAATAACAATTATAAATATGTATGCTAAGAATATTATTTACCATCCGGTTAGCATTTAGTATTATTACTCGTACCAATTGTAAGCACATAGCTACCTTTAAGTCATATTATGTATTTCGACATGGACTTTTTTGCTACGACCTTGTAATGTTAATCGTAAAATCGTCGTAAGCAAAAACATATTTAACTCGATTAGCTGTATTGTTAATCACAAAAACAAAAGCGAAATGAAAACAATGATAAACCCAAAACATAATCACAAAACTCAACACATGCATTTTGAAAACATCATCTATCCTCTGCCCATACTTTATTCCTTATGTGTTCTCTGATTCATTGCCAATGGGGAACTATTCAGTATGCACAGCTCCTTGCTAATTGCATATAATTATTATTTATTGGTCGTCTTTATTGTGAGTCATATGCCAAAAAATATCTGGAATTGAAAGTTGTAAAAAATGTAAAAGTAACTGTGTTTTTGCTGTTTATATCTTAAAACATTTCCTTAATTATTGTCGAGCCCCCAATTGCAGCAAAATCTTTACACTTCTCATCGTTTACGATGAAGAAACCATAATGCAAATTAACCCAAATCACCGCTTTGTTATTCAGCAAGTTTTTTTTTTAGCTCTGCGTGAAAAAAACAATAATAATACCGGTTTCAGTATCTTTAATTTATTTTTGGTATTAATCCTTTTTAACCGCCATGCGGAAAGTAAAAGCCAATCCAAGTCAGGTGTTGGCTGTTGTTAAATTGTTGTATACATTTACGTATGTGTGAAAATGATTTCACTGCATTCGTTTAATTGATTTTCCAAATAAAGTGGTAAATAATTAAGTGATAATTAATTAATCAATGACAATGATAATAAACCTGTTAAAATCCACACGCCTTGCAATCGAAACAAAAGCAAGTTGAAATTCCAGGGCGTTGTTTTTCTTCTGTCTCTCATAATATTGCACCTCAACAGATAATGTTAAGTTTACCGTAATATGTTCCTATCACGCCTGTACGGTATTGAGCGTAAAAAAGTTCTGTTTTTTTTTTGTTGTTGTTTGTTTTGTCTTGTTTTGCTTTACTGATAACCAGCAATCAAATTCGTGCGCTGATAAGGTGACAGGAATTGTTTAACTTTAGTTATATGTCTTCTTTTGTTTCGCATTCCTCTTACAGAAAAACAAATAAACCAATATATATATATATATATATAAATATTTTCATTATTGACATTAATCGGACTCCTCATCTTTGGTTGTTAGCTGATGCAAACATTGATTGAAATTGTTGCGAAAAATGAGTAAATAATTAAATTGTATTTCATGTCATGAATTAATACAAAATGTTAAACAGATGCATTTTGGATAAGTACTCGATATTAAATACATTTGATCCGAGCTTATTCTTGTGGAAACAGACTGTTTTTCCAGAGTTAAGAAATTTGGTAAAAGTGTTTGCCACAAATTGCCACCGATTTCTCTTACTCAGCTTATATGGGTGTATTCATATCAATTAATTAATCCCTCTTTCGACATTGACAATAAAATAATAAAAGGTGATCGCCTTCATAGAACAATTATCAGATACTTTCAAATGAATTATAACATAACTACAGATAGCCTAGATAAGTGACACAATCGGTTAATGGAATTGCAATGCATCTGTATACATTTAGTCAGTTCTCTCAAATGAACTTTAGACAAATTCTTCAAGCAGCGAATGACTGACTTTATGTGGTTGTCGAAGTTCGTAAATATCGATTATTGCCATTTATGGCATTCAATAACTCACTGTTGGGTAATAATTAAACACTCTCACGATTCCTCGATTCATAAACTGACGACATATCGGACTCTATTACTCAGTTTTGCTCGCCAATTTGCTAATCGCTGACTCAATCAGTAAATCCATAAAATTTCAAAAACTTATAAATAGCCACTGATTCATGGCGATAAGCTGTATAAGTTTTAATCCCACTCCTTAGAATCGTTCGTTAGCAGAATATAAAAATATAAAAAGAAGTTGATATTTTGTTTTATGTTTTGTTTATTAAAACTTGAACTTTTCGCGAGTCCCTTTGAATATATATTTTTAAGTAATATCTAGTATTAAATTATGGATTTCATAGTTTAAGCATTTCATATATAGTTGAGGAATAAATCCGTAATAGATGGAGTTAATTTCTTTTTAAAGAAATATTCTTGTATACTTACGATCTCTTGACTGCAGTTTGGATGAGATTTTCTAAAGTTGTGGTTACAAGTTCGAGGAGTTTTGCAAGAGTCCAAACTTGACTTCGTCAATTTATGCAACAATAACTACAATCACCATTTAATTTATTTGCAGCTGGTCTGCAAAGTGATGCCACCGACTCAGTGAACCCAGCGTCAGCCGGAACAGCATCAGCCGGAACAGCGTCAGCCGGAACAGCGTCAGCCGGAACAACGACGTCCGAGAAGCGCATCACATTCACATTGGCCAGCTCGGACTCATCGCCGGAGGGCAGTCAAACGCTGACCCCGAAAAAGTTCGAGCCGATCGCCGAGGAGGACAAAGAGGATGAAAAGGAGATGCTGGACGAGGTGATATTGCGACCACGTCTCATCGATCGCCATCCCCATCTGATGCCCAGTGCGAGTGCAATTTCGGCCACTCCAAAGCGCATCCTTCGCTCGGCGAAAAGTGTGCCACACATGAATGTGGCTGGTAGCGAGACAGACATCTTTGCCATTACGGGCACGGGTAGCCAGATCAGTATGACGCCGGAGGTGCCCTCCATATCGTTCAGCAATCTGCCGAAGAACTACGAGGATACACCGACCATTGAAAAGTATCGCGTATCCCAGAGTCTCTATTCCATACAGAATGCGAATGCAGCTCGTGCCTCCAGGGACGATTACTCCATGCCACGTTATTTCCGACATTCCAATCGTCTGGTGACGCAGAGCACCGAAATTCTGCCTGGCTCGACGTCTCTTGCATCCATATCAACGTCAGTTGCTTCGTCATCCTCGTCATCCAAGGATGAGTTACGGCGTCCCGAACAGGCCAAGAGCAAGCGCCTCCAAATGCTTCGTGGCAATCTGCCGCCACTTCTCATCCATTCGGTTTCCTTCAAGCGCAATCGAGATGAGACCAAGCAAGTGGATTAACTTCATTCACCCCGATATTATTATTTTTATTATTATTATTATTATTACTACGTACTTCATCTTGTTCGTGTATATTTTATTCTTATGGCTTATACAACATTCACGAAGATGTGTCTTAATGTGTATACAATTATTCGTATATGTTTATATTAATTTGCACACACAATTGTTCATGTTTACACTTAGAGAAAAAAGGAACAAGTTTGCCAAAATACGGAGAATGTCAAAATTATTATTTTATTTAACTTTTTCTACTTTTTTTTTGTAATCCTCAAATTACTCAATACACTTTCAGAATAACAACAATTAAATAATAAGTTGTAGATATTTTTTAAGTAAATAACTCGAGTGCCTGTAGTGCCTTAAGTATTCAAGTTCTTTTAATTTTTCTCTGAGTGTTTATATGAGTATATTAATGTATATGAGACGGCAGTATTTGTATGTATTTATTTATATTTTATAAACAATTTCTTATTGTATTGTATGCTTAGTGTACAGCACAATTGATATTAATAACACTCCAGACACACAAATGCTTGACACACAAATGTTACATAAATCTATATTCATCTTGATTAAATAAAGTAAGTTTTCCAAAAGTTTGCTCTCGATTATTTAGCTTTAAGTGGAATCTAAAGGAATTTATTCTATAAATATTTGGCTTTGAGGTAGTTATTTTTCCCGTTCAGCATGATAAACTTATTGTGTTGACAAGCATCTACTTTAAATGAATAATGCGTGCAATGTGGTTTTTAATAATAGCCACAAACATATTTAGGCATGAGCTGGCATGTGGGTGATTTCTTTATATATTTATAAAGCTAGGACTGAACGCCCACAGAGCTCACAATCTTTACAATGTTCGCCAGTTATTATAATGCTAAGCGACTTGTGTAAATCACTTGCAAGAATGGAGTGTGATAATTATAAATATATATCCAAGTTACTAATGCAATGGTTTTCAACAGGACCAACAATACCTGAAAATTACTATGATGATGGTATTTTTCAGAAGATTGTAAAGGGGTCGAAGTATTACCACATATCCAAAAACCATTACATTCCTTGGTATGCGTCACTCTGCTGGGGGCATTTGATAAGCCTGACCGATAACGAAACACTGCACGATATCAGTCAACACCTTAAAAGTACTCCTCTTTAGGTGAATCTTAGCGATCTCGGCACGGAAGAAGAGTACGTTTCCATGTCGAGTGGGCTGACAGCAAAATTCACCAAGTGATGCACGAATCAAGAAGTTCTTAAAACTGTCCGAATATTGATATTCGGATTCGTCAGAGCCGTGCATGAAATCCCTATCTTGTTATAATTATAGAAAATTCATCTGTAAATCAAACACTCCGAGAATAATCTCAATAACTGTTTTGTAAATTCTACGTAATTAGTTTAACATCATTTATTTAGCTCACTTTGTTATTTTTACATTACTCATTTTGTTTATTTGTACTTTTGTCTTTCTATATTCATATATCTCATGTTTGCTACATTAAAATAACATTTGTTTTCCATTTATTTAAAATTGAAAATATCTAGTTTTGTTTAATTATTAATCTTAAGTGATATTTAAATTGAATTTAAATCGAATATCAGCTTTAGCACTCAAAGTGTATAATATACCCGATTTTAAATTTTAAGCCGTCGCCTAGAAGTATGCAGCACTTTTACTCATTAAACTCAAATTAATTATTAGCACACCAAAGGGCAGCAAAATGTAGCCGCGTATAAATAGAAAAGACAAGACGAATAATATTCTGAAATTTATAATATTGGGTCTTGTTAATATGACTTGCATTTTTATTTATTTATTGTTTCAGTTTAGCTTTTCTAAAACCTACATCTGGATAATATAAGTAAAAAACGACGACAAAAATGCCGAGTTTTTCTCATGCTTAATACATAGGCTTATATTTGTTATGTACTTGTAAATTCATGCTAATTTTCTTGCCGTTTCTTCAATATCCTAAGTTGAATACTGTTTCTAACTATATCAAATCGGCTGATTATGTTTATCAAGCAGACAACCCACAGACTTACAAATACATTAATATATGTACACTCATATATATGTACTTTAGCATAGAATAAATTGACTGAAAAAAATGAGAAATCAACAAAAATAAGCAAAGAAAATAAAAAAAAACAGCATTTTCTGTGTTTACTGAGCCCATTGGCCTGGTGTCAGTCTGGTGTGGTATATGGTCAGCCGTCAAATCGAATTGATTAATATTAATATATGCGCTTAATTGTAAATATATGTGCAAACATCCACAAATATATAAATGTATATATATACATGTATATATATATATATATATATATGTATATGTGTATGTAGAAATGTTTAGTACTCATTATTTTAATGTAATAGTCAAATATATTACAAAAATTTATGCGCATCTAAATTAATTCGATTACATGTTTGTCTAAACTATTAATTTATTGAGCACAGTATACAATATATAAATCACTTAATTAATCAATAAAAAATGTTGGAATATCTTATAATTGGAAATTGTTTGAATTATTAATATGATTTGCTTTCAACATTATTCAATTATTCCACTTTGAATATTTTTATGTTTCTAAAAGTAATCTAAATCCATAATGTAAACATGATAACAGATTAAATAAGAAATAGTCAACAACAACGTTCAAACATTTTAATAGTGTTTCTGGATTTAGATACATGAATCAGCAATTCTTTTATTCTTTTAATCGATTCGATTTTGTACAATCGGATATACTTCGTAGTTCAAGGTTATACAATTTAGTTCTAAGCGGAATTTTTTCATGCATTTGCATTAAATAATAACGTAGAGTATGTGCAGCTTGAACGCGGAATATTGGAATAGGACTTATCTGGCAATAAGCGTTGATGCGACACTTTGTACTGTGACGCAAGTATATATGTGATACAAGTAAGCTGGCCCGAGGTTCAACATCTAAAGCGCCTGACGTAGACAAGCGCCTATTTGGGCTCACCTTTAAGTAACCGTGAAAAGCCCTAGAGCTCCAGTTTAGAGAGCTCTGGCTACAATTATCAGCTGCAGCTTCTGTGTATTGCCAAGGGCAACTGGTCGTATGCATGATTTTAATCAATATTAATGTACAAACACACTTCATTCAGATAACAAATGGGCAGAAGCCAAAATTCGATGGACATAAACATGTAGCGTACTTCCGAGCGGCGCCAATTGATAATGCGATGCGACAAAGCTTATAAAATTCTCTTGTCTAATTTTGTCGCGTGACATACACACACGCACACACACACACACACACACACACACACACACACACATACACACACACACACACACACATACACACACACACACACACACGAACTCACTCCTGTGTCAGTAGTGCGGTGAAAATTGAATATCAGCGTCTGTCTGACTGGCCAATCACCATGTTATCAGCTATCAGCACCCGAACCACTGCCTGGTCACTGTCGGCACGCGGCATTTAAGCGCTAATCACATCTGCAGCTCATGTGCCAGCCGTGTGTAGCGAGATGTTTCACTGATCAATTGCAAATATTACGCACAGAAACAGACATTGATTTGAGTATATATATTTTAAGGCCACAATAAGTGCCAAAAAATATAGATCAGATTCAAGTATATTTAAACAGTAAAAACGATTGTTCTGATATGTTGAGCATTAAGCTAAAAGAGATTAGATATTCTTGGAGATTTAATGGATTTAAGTAGTCATAATTATATATAATTACTTTGAATATTAACATTTAACAGATTAGATATACATATACACTCGCAAAAAAACAAAGGAACTAGTATGAACCCACTGCACTGGGCTACTCAAAAGATTATTCAGCTAAGATCAATCGCATAGGAAGTAATTTAAGAAAAGTATTGGATTTATCATTTGATTTTCGATTTTTTTTATTCATCATATTCAACAATTTTTAGAGATTAATGAAAATAATATTTGTATTTTCGATTTAAGAATTTTTTGGATTGTTTAACTATAAGAATTAAGTATAAGAAATTTTAACAATTCCCAAGTCGTTTTGTTTTTCCAAGTGTATTGCTACTGACTGGGCTGCTGTCGGCACTGCTTCTACAGGCACGTTATCTCCCAATTAAGGTCATAGCTTACCAAAAAGTTTTCCTCGCCTGTTGCTGCCACCACAATCAGCGGCACCCGCCGATCAGGTGAAGACGGCCGAAGCACGCGTCAATGTTTTTATTTATTTTTTGCAAGTATGTTTATTTTGGTTTGCTTATGAATAGCATACTGTTCCCATGCAGACCAGTCCCGCCATTATCAACTGATAAGAGGCTTCATGCACTTGATAGAATATTTATTGTAGATGAAAGGCTTGCATAGCACTTACAATAATTATGCATTTTACTTCGCTTCAAGAATTTGTGTAGAATTTTCTAAATTATTTCAATTGAATTTTCGATTTTATTTGGCTTTTAATGTGAGCTTTAAATCGTAGCGAATTCAAGCACTGATTATCATCATTATGTATTAAGAGCGTTGACCATTAAATACTTTCAAACATTTACTTAATAGACTTGGCTGGCTAAATTTAGTACCAGTGTCTATACTATATATGAAAATAATATTATTTAGAATTTTATTGGTACGATCTTGTTGGGAACAATTAACAGCTTATAGAAGAATTTAAATACAAACAGATTAACGACTGTACTACATTTTAGGATACTTTTATTAAGTGCAATTTTATTATTATAATAAAAATTTGTTTAACTAAGTAGTCGTTGAAAAGTGTCAGGCAAACATGTTTAAACTTACACTGTCTTACATGATAAATTATACAATACATTTTGAAATCATAGAGTTAAAAAAGATTTGATTTTGAAAAGGGATATTAAAAATTGATTTAAATGAAAATGGAAACTACTAACACATCCTTATTGCCCTACGTGTTAGATATACTAAGTCGTCAGAATGATTACTGTAAGTATATATCTATATATATATAAACACATATGTATATATCTGGCCAATACTAAATCAACAAAAATACAGGCACAACAATAGATGCGATTTGCGAAAAGATGCACAATATGATACCTGAAAATAGACTTATTCCCTTCGGCGACCTCCGAGGTGCCGTCGAATTTGCAGTGAATCTTGGTGTTAATCTCGGCCTGCTCACATTGAGTGACAAACGGCTCCGCGTGCCATTTAACTTTCGCGGCAAGCACAACAAAAAGCAGACGCAGACAGCAGAACGAAAAGCCAAGAAAGTTCAAAAGAAAGGGCATCACTTGGCAAAATCGGTAAGATGTCTTTTTTTGTCTAAGCACAAGAATGTATTATCCCTCTTCCTCCCACTCCAGATACTACGTCGATTACCAGTGTTCAAGCAAATGAAGAAATTTCCATTAAAAAATCGTCCTGCAGTTAGAGCCAAATGTGCTGTTCAACGTCCAAAGACCCAAGTAACTCGCGGGAATCGTCGAAACAGTGGAAAAACTCGCACTTATCGCTAATAAAAATTGTGTTTGCCTGAGGGTTGTCTATCACTTGGACATTGTGCTATTGAACTGGGGTAGCAACTGGGTCAACATGTCGTCGGACTTGGACTAATTAACAGGTCACAAGCACGGGCATGGGCACGGACACAGTGCGTACACCTCTTGATGTACGGCTGACACCATGCACCATACACCATAGCCATAGCCGGAACACCTGTTCTGTCCTGCTCTGTTCCTGGTGTGTGTCGCAGTTGCTGTTTGAATTGCTTAGCATATAGATATAATGAATTATTCAGTGGATCACGATTGAGTGGCGCAGCCATTAGGAAATCTTTTAGTTAGCATTTAGTATGTTCATTGTATGGCCGATTATTTATGCAACTTTAGAAGTCTTTGGGTCTATATATATATATCCCCCATTCCCCAACCCACCCCATTTAACCGAATGCATAAAATGAAGGCGAAGAGTGCGTTACGCGTTCAGTGTGTCTTCGGATCTAGTCGAAGCGATATCAATAGTCGTGGATAAAAAACCGGAATACAACAAAATAATAAAGTGGCAATCAGATATAATATCCTATCGCAATTAAGGACTTTTAAGGATACACACTCAGTGGAATACACTTACTCATACTCACAAAGGAATATTATGTGAGTGATTGCAATCACACAAATTAAACCAATTTTAATTACTGTGTCCACTGTTTGTGTGTGTATCTCTGTGTGTGTCTCTGTGTGTGTGTGTGTGTGCCAAGTGCAACAATGTAAAAAGGTCAAAACCCTTTGCTGATTTATTTATTAGATAGTGGCGTGTTTGCAATTTCGTTGACAACTTTGACTGCATATTTTACTGTAAAATGCAGTAGGACAAAAATAATAGAGAACTTTGTAATTCATTTTTGTTGTCATAAGTCCAGATATTTTTTGGATCAAAACTTTAAGTTATAACATTAAAAATCATAGCTTTCGAGTCCTTCAATTATTATAATTTATGTTCGTATTGATTTTAGGACGAGAAATCAAGAACTTATTTCGGTCGCTAAACTAAAGAAAATGGAAAAATTATTAAATATTTTTGAATAGTTATCAAAGTTTGATAATTTCAAAATCACAGACTATAAGATAATTATATACTCTTATCCCCTAAATTATATTTTGCAATAAAAGGCAAATACATGTAATGGATTGTAGATAATTCTGATATTGTAGTAATTGCCAATCAGTCAGGGTCCGAGTTAACATTTATAATTGAGTAAACTATACCTTTACCTATTAATAAAAATAAATAAATCGTAGACATTAGATCCTTTTTTAATAAACACATAATCTGATGTTTGTTTTTGATGTAAGCTTATCGATAAAGGAAAACTATTTAGTAATTTCGCCAAATGCAGCAGTCATCAACATTATTTTTTATATGTTCGCACCTCTCTGTAGAATTGCAATCAATTGGAATGAGCAGGTAATACGTTATCTCGTCACTTGGCACTATTTGCCATAGGTATTACTTATTTCTGACACGTTGATTGATTCGACTGATATGCCTCTGTTCCTAGCTCAATGCATTTTCGTACAAATGTTTTTGTTCAATAAATAATAATAATAATAATAGGAAAATGAATAGAACATAGTTTCAAACAGGTTTTAAAATTAATTGCTGGAGATAAGCTTTTGCTTGTTAGCAAAACAACTGAGCCAATTAAAGCATTTATATATATTTTTAAATACATATATGTGCCACACTAAAAATGGAATGAACTCGTCCTTTAAACTTCCTGATAGCTAAGCTATTCTTGATATTGAATTCGATTTGCCGACTATCGCTTATAAGGTTGGCACCATTGCCTTATATATTCTTTATTATGATTAATTGTCGTTTTCATTTAACTTATCCACAAGATGCATAATATGTGATTCAATTATTATATAGATTAAATCTGAAACTAATCCGACCCTGAATAGCTGGCAACAAAACAGAAACAAAATGGGCAGTAAGAAGAAGACCGAACGATCAAAGGCACAAAACAATGATGCTGCTGCCAGTGCCGGGGGTGAAATAGTCATATCAGGACTATCTGGAAAACTGCCGGAAAGCAGCAACATAGAAGAGTTCAAGCAGAACTTACTCAACGGTATTGATATGGTTACAGATGATTCCAGACGTTGGGAGGCAGGTAAGCTCATAGCTCATAGCTGCATAGGTTAAGAAATCGATGAATTGTGGGACTCTCTTTGGCAGGCATATATGGATTACCAGAGCGCATGGCCAAACTGCGTGACGAGGATCTGGAGAAATTTGATGATACATTTTTTAGCGTTCACCAGAAGCAGGCGGAACTAATGGATCCTTGTATGCGAATACTATTGGAGCTGACACACGAGGCGATCGTTGATGCGGGAATCAATCCAAATGAATTACGGGGTAGCCGTACCGGTGTCTATATAGGTCTCTCCTTTGTGGAGACGGAACACGAGATACCGAACATGGAGCCGAGCAGTATCAATGGCTACTGCTTGACTGGCTGTGCCCGGGCCATGTTTGCCAATCGAATCTCCTACAACTTCGACTTTAAGGGTCCCAGTTTCATCGTGGACACTGCCTGCTCCAGCTCCCTTATGGCCCTATCGCACGCCTACACAGATTTGCAATCGGGTCGCACCGACTATGCCATCGTCGCTGGTGTCAATCTCATACTGAAGCCGATCTTTGCATTGCAGTTCCTGCGCCTGGGCATTGTCAGTCAAGACGGTTCCTGCAAGACCTTTGATGCGTCGGCTAATGGCTATGCACGTGCGGACACCTGTGCCGTCATATTTCTGCAAAGGAGTGAGCAGGCGAAGCGCATCTATGCCACGATACTCAACGTGCGAACCAATACGGATGGGTTCAAGGAGCAGGGTGTCACCTTTCCCGATGGTCGCATGCAGCATCAGCTGCTGCGAGAGGCGTATAGTGAGATCGGTCTTAGTCCCGATGATGTCGTGTATGTCGAGGCGCATGGCAGTGGTACTCCGGTTGGCGACGATCAGGAGGCCAATATGTTAGGCAACTTCTTTTGCCATCCAGCTAGACCCAATCCTCTGCTAATTGGATCAGTGAAATCGAATATGGGCCACGCGGAGCCCGCATCTGGAGTGAGTGCGCTAGCGAAAATGATTATCGCCATGGAAGAGGGCATTATACCTAGAAATTTGCACTATCGAACACCAAATCCCGCTGTGCCAGCTCTAGTTGAGGGTCGACTCAAGGTCGTGGATCGTAATCTACCCTGGCAGGGTGGCATTGTGGGTCTAAACTCCTTTGGCTTTGGTGGGGCCAATGTTCACGTTATCCTCAAATCACACGAAAAGAAAAAGAAACTGCCGAAAAAACCAACAAAGGATCTCTCATTAAAACTAGTTATTTGCTCGGGTCGCACAGAGAACGCCGTACAGCAACTCTTGGAGGCAGCCACGAAGCATCGCAACGATAATGAATTCTTGGCACTCATCAATGACATTCATTCGCAGCCGATTCCAATGCATCCGTATCGCGGTTTTGCCGTCCTGGGATCCACAGGTGCCGTCAAACAGGAGATACTGCCCTATGAAGAGGAACGACGACCAATTTGGTTTGTCTTCGCTGGCATGGGTAGTCAGTGGCCCTGCATGGCCAAGGATCTGATGCAGCTGGAGGTCTTTAACAAGTCAATACAACATTGTGCCGAGGTAAGTAAAGTGATACAGATCAAACAATCCTAATTTATCAATTAATACGCTTGTTAACTGAGTAAGCAATGTTTTCGATAAATTTCTTCAAAAGAGGGAAAGACTTTTATATCGGATGTATCCTACCATTTTCCCATTTCCCATACACCGGCTCTTTAGGTGCTGGCTCGAATGGACTTTGATCTGATTGATGTGCTAACAAGGTCTACGGAGAAGACATTTGACAACATCCTCAACTCCTTTGTATCAATATCTGCTGTCCAGGTTGCATTGACGGACTTACTCCGAACACTGAACATTGAGCCAGATGGCATCATTGGGCACTCGGCCGGTGAACTCGGCGCCGCCTACATGGATGGCTGCCTAACAGCCGAGCAGGTGGTGCTAGCGGCTTATTGGCGCAGCAGAAGCGTCCTTGAAACGCCTGGACTGCCTCATGGCTCAATGGCAGCAGTGGGTCTGAGCTGGGATGAGATTGGACAACATCTGCCACCAGATTGTTATCCCGTTTGCCATAACAGCGATGATAACTGCACAGTTTCCGGGCCCGTGGCTTCCATGGATGCAATGATGGCGAAGCTTAAAGCAGCGGGAGTTTTCGTTAAAGAAGTCGTCTCGGGTGGTTTTGCCTTCCACAGCAGATATGTAGCAGATGCTGCTCCAATGTTGCGCAAGAATCTAGAGCGATTGATCACTGAGCCAAAGCAGCGATCTCAACGCTGGCTGAGTTCCAGCGTACCGGAGCGAGATTGGCAGACTCCTTCCTGTAGAATGGCCTCGGCGGCGTATTTTATCAACAATCTGATATCACCTGTACTCTTCAATGAAGCTTTACGCCATATTCCACATAATGCCGTGATTGTGGAGATTGCTCCCCACGGACTCTTCCGGGCCATTCTACGTTCGCTAACGCCAAAAGTCACCTATGTGAGCCTTATCCAACGGGGTCACGCAAACAATGCCGAGTTTCTTTTGAGTCAGATCGGACAGCTGTATGCAGCTGGTGGCCAGCCACAGCTGTCGCGAATGTCTCCTTCGGCAGCAGTTAGATATCCTGTCTCTAGAGGCACGCCCATGTTGAACTCACTTATCAAATGGGATCACACCCAGAAATGGAGCTATCCGAAATTCCACGGCGGACGACAAGCAAACCAGCTAAATATTAATATCGATCTGAGTAAGGAAGAGAACGCTTTCTTGGCTGGCCATACAATCGATGGAAGAATCCTCTTCCCGGCAACAGGCTACTTGACAGTGGCTTGGATGATGCTGGCCCAACAAAATGGCAACGACTATCAGCGTACTCCTGTCGTCTTTGAGGACGTCGTCTTCCATCGCGCCACCATCCTCGGAATTGATGCGAACTCAGCGGTCAAATTGTCGATTAACTGCTGTCAGGGCAACAACACCTTTGAGATTTGTGAAGGTAGCAGTCTGGTGGTATCGGGCAAGCTTCGTTTAGTCACAAACGTACAGCAGGAACAGGTGGATGTCGCCGGACTGCCCGGTAGTGCCGGCGTCACCAAACTCTACACCAAGGATGTCTATAAGGAGTTACGCTTGCGTGGCTATGAATATACCGGAATCTTTCAGGGCATTCTCGATGTCGACATTGCAGCTGTAACGGGTCGACTTCAGTGGATGGATAATTGGATCAGCTTCATGGACACCATGTTGCAGTTCCGCATACTCGGCAACAACATTCGCGAGCTGTACCTACCCACGGCAATTCAACGTGTCGTTATCGATCCGCTCAAGCATCTGGAGCTGCTCAAACAGCATCAGCAAAAGCTTCCAGTCTACTGGCATGCCAACATATCGGTTATTAAATGCGGTGGTGTCGAAATACACAGTATGAAGACGGCTCAGACCCAACGTCGCCCGGGCGGACAGAATGCACCGATTCTGGAGCGCTACAGCTTCACTCCTCATATTCAACACACCATTCCTCGTGGAGATCAGGAGCGAGCGAAGAGTATGGCCCTAACTGTGGCCATGCAGCTCATCACTGAGAACAGCGGTGGCGCAATTAAAATCAAAGGAGTTGAGATCGCTGCCACACGCAACACAACAGATACCCTTAATGCTGTCAAGCTACTCGAACTTATCGAACGTGAACCAATTATGGTAGCTGATATGTGCGTTGCAACAAGCAGTAACACCAATGAGTCGGAACTTGCAACATTGCTGCAAGACACGGGAGTTCGGGTGATTGTCGGGGATCTAGCCAAAGCAGCTGTGGAACAGCAATGTGACTTTCTACATGCAATTAATCTGCTCTCGACCGAACCAACATTAATCGACCTTCAACTTCAAAATGGCATAGAGTCAATCAAAAAAGAGAGTGGTTTTCTGCTGTTGGAGGAGAGTGCCAGTGCTTATAAGACCACAGGACGGGCACAGTTGCAACGTCTGCAACTATTGCCAGTTCTAGAACAAGTCTATGATAGTGATCGTATGCTGATCCTAGCTAGAAGGTCAATCGATAAAAACATTTCCACTTCGCTGGTGGTGCGCGTGACCAATGAACATTTCAAATGGATCGTTGATCTTAAAACGGCGCTAGTCAAATCACAAGCAGATCAGAAGAACGTCTATTTGGTGGCACAAGGAGAACCGAGCACTGGAGCACTTGGTTTTATAAACTGTTTAAAGAGAGAGCAGTTCGGCAATCGGGTTCGACTTTATTTGCTGCAGGATCAGGGATTACCTGCATTCTCTCTGACAGATGCCTTCTATGCCAATCAGTTGGCCAAAGACATGTCTATCAATGTCTACCGAAATGGGAATTGGGGCAGCTACAGACACTTGCCACTGGATGCACACCAGCAACTGCTAACTGTGGAGCAAGCGTATGTGAATACACTTGTCAAGGGTGATCTCTCCTCGCTGAAATGGATCGAATGTCCGCACAGCGTAAATGTCGATCAAAACAAATGGGAGCCCAGCACTGTGTACTATGCACCCCTGAACTTTCGAGATGTGATGTTGGCATCTGGCAAACTGGGCGTAGATGCATTGCCCGGCGACTTGGCGTATCAGGATTGCGTTTTGGGTCTGGAGTTTGCCGGTCGCGACTCACAAGGTCGCCGCATCATGGCACTGGTGTCTGCCAAGTCATTGGCAACCAACTGCCTTGCCAACAAGAATCTACTTTGGGATATACCCGATAAGTGGTCCATGGAAGAGGCCTCAACGGTGCCCTGTGTCTATGCGACCGTCTACTATGCCCTCCTTGTGCGTGGACAGATGAAGAAGGGTGAACGCATCCTCATCCATGCTGGTTCAGGTGGTGTGGGCCAAGCAGCCATTTCGGTCGCTCTCCATCATGGACTGACTGTCTTCACGACGGTCGGCAGCAAGGAGAAACGGGAGTTCCTGCTGAAGCGTTTCCCCAAGTTGCAGGCACGCAACATTGGCAATTCACGTGACACATCCTTTGAGCAGCTGATCATGCGCGAGACAAATGGTCACGGTGTTGATCTGGTATTGAACTCACTCTCTGAGGAGAAACTGCAAGCATCCATCCGCTGCTTGGGTTTGGACGGACGCTTCTTGGAGATTGGCAAATTCGATTTGAGCAACAATAGTCCCCTGGGTATGTCTGTCTTCTTGAAGAACACCTCCTTCCACGGCATTCTGCTGGACAGTGTTATGGAAGGTGAGGTGGAGATGCAGAAGCGTATCGTCTCGCTGGTATCGGAGGGAATTAAGTCGGGTGCCGTGATTCCACTGCCCACCACTGTCTACGCTGACCAGGAAATTGAGAAGGCCTTCCGGTTTATGGCATCGGGCAAACACATCGGCAAGGTGATCATCAAGGTGCGCAACGAGGAGGAACAATCCGCCGTACCCAAACAGCGTTTGATCAACGCCATTCCACGTACCTACATGCATCCCGAGAAGAGTTACATTGTCGTCGGTGGTTTGGGTGGCTTCGGCCTGGAGCTGACCAACTGGCTGGTGAATCGCGGGGCACGCCACATTGTTTTAAACACACATTCCGGGCTAAAGACCGGCTATCAAGCCCTCATGATCCGACGGTGGAGCGAGCGTGGAGTTCAAGTCGTGATTGACATCAACGATGTCACCTCCGCTGTCGGCTGCAGGAATATGCTGGAGAGCAGCAACAAGTTGGGACTGGTTGGAGGTATCTTTAATCTAGCCGCTGTACTTCGAGATGGTGACTTTGAGGACCAAACTATGAAAAACTTTGAGTTAGTCACAGCGCCTAAGACAAAAGCCACCATGCATCTGGATCAATGTTCGCGCAGCATGTGCCCAGTTCTGGAACACTTCATATGCTTCTCCAGCTTGGCCGCGGGTCGCGGTAATCCCGGCCAGACAAACTACGCTCTGGCCAACTCAAGCATGGAGCGCATCTGCGAGCAGCGGCAAGCAGAAGGTTATCCTGGCATAGCTATACAATGGGGTGCTATTGGTGACACTGGGCTCATTATCGAGCACATGGGTGTGACTAACAATAACACTGCGATTGGTGGAACTCTGCCACAGCGGATGACCAGCTGCCTGCAGACATTGGATACGTTCATGCAACAGCCGCATCCTGTCCTCGCATCGATGGTGCTGGCCGAGAAGCGCAAATCGGAGCATTCAAATCGCCAGAGTCTCATTTCTGCCATAGCGAACATAATGGGATTACGGGATGTAAATAACATACAGGATAAGACGACACTCTTTGACTTGGGCATGGACTCCCTGATGAGCACGGAAATCAAGCAGACACTAGAGCGCAACTACGATATGGTGCTGTCAGCACAAGACATTCGACAGCTAACATTTACTGCTCTGAAGCAAATCGATAGCAAAGAAGTCCAAGGTAAGGCCGCAAGCTCAGATGCAGTTACTCCAAAGACAGCATCAACGTCGTCCGCTGCCAATCAAGCCGGTCGGACGAACATTGCCCAAACGGATGAAACTCGCAAGGTATTCGCAAAGGAAGTATTACCCCAGGACGTACTTGTGCATCTGCATTCCATGGCAATGAAGACGGGCAATGAACCAGCCGTGTTCTTCGTTGCTCCGATCGAAGGCTTCACAATAGCCATCGAAACTCTGGCCGCCTCCCTCACCTGCCCGGCCTATGGGCTGCAGTGGACAGAAGAAGTGCCCCTCGACTCAATTGAAGCCTGCACCGCCTACTATCTGCAACAGATACAGCAGCTGCAGCCACGTGGCCCCTACAACATTGTGGGTTATTCCTACGGTTGCCTGCTGGCCCATGCTATTGGCGTGGCGCTGGAACAGCGTCGATTTGGCGTCAAAGTCATTATGCTGGACGGTGCACCCACAATGGCCAGTGGCTACGTGCAGGAGGCCAAAAAGCAGACTGACGACTTGAACCGCCAGCAATCGATGACACTGGCCTACTTTGGTGCACTACTCGCAGATGTGGACTACAATCAGGTGAGTCTAAGCAAACTTTATTCTCTCTAGCTGAACACGACTCACTCCTAACGCTTAACGTATGCAGCTTCTGCAATTGCTTGAGGGCGTCAAGACGTGGCCCTTGAAGCTGGATAAGCTGGCGGATACTTTGGCATCGCACACTCAACAAACCAAGGAAGTGGTAAGCTAACAATATACTCTTAACATAGTAGTAGCTATCTGAATTTTTATTTGCATAAAAATACCTACATATTTAAAATAATATTCTATATTCTAAACCTTAAACTTGAATTCATTGTAATAAGCATCACCGATCCCTCAAAGTTGAATTATTATCAGCGGCAAGAAACCAAGAATCTTCCATCATATCATATGTTTCGTTTGTTTATAATACCATTAGAGTGACCGCTTTTGGTATAAGCCAAATGAACCATACATAAAATTAACTACCAGTTTTGGTATCAAATGTTTCAGTCGTCAGTCTATTCTAAATAATAACTATTTACAGATCAAAAAAGCCGCCTGCATGTTCAAACAGAAGCTATTGCTCTCGGAGAGCTACAAGGGAGCGAAGCAACTAAATAGCGATGTGGTGCTCATTAAATCGGCGGAGCACAATGCAATCATGTCGCAAGATGACTACGGTCTCAAGGAGGTAAATCATTTACACATACGATACGGAAGAATATCGTAAAAATGTTAACATGACTATCTCTGTAGATTTGCAGCGCCCAGATCGATATGCACGTTGTGGCAGGCACCCATCGAACATTCCTCAAGGAAGCCCAAACGTTACAGATCATCGAGCGGGTTTTACAAAAAGAGTCCGCTTAATTGCTTCATTTATTTTGTAGACATAGTTTTACCGTTTACTGCGCACACGTCGATTACATACACAACTAATACTAATAACTTTTAATTGTACATTTAAGCGTTTAACAAGTTTACTTTGTTGTAAATATTAAATTAATTTCTTTATGTTCTTAACTCGTGTTCGTCTGAGGATTCAGTGTCAGATAAGACCATAGTCCAATTTTCCTCACTGATCCTTAATAAATTCTAAATCGTTTCAGATTAGGAACATATTTATGTACTACAAATAGCACAAATAACAAAAACATTCTAAACTCATTCTAAACATCTATTAATCAATCTATTTAATCAGTTTTAGTCTGCGGAAGCAAGATGCATACACATACATATATGATTATGTATGCACAGTGCAAATGCGTATTGTTATTAAAAAATGTGGCGCGATTCTGATGTCTGCCGATATTCAAGAGCTGAGCATTCTATCGCTTTCCGTTCTATTATCGGCTTTAATTTCAAATCTCCAAAAAAAAGTGAAGGAAATGAAACTGTTATTAAGGGCAGTCGGCTCAACAACAGCTGATTAAGTTAACAGGCGAGCCGCCATGCATTGAAAGGTTAACAGAGAGCAAGAGCTTTCTGTGCTTATCTCGTTTCACATTGCTCTCCGCTGCGCACTGAAGAGAAGCTTTTGCAGCGCCAGTCACCAGCCGCTGTAGTCGTATAAAAGCCACCGCTCACCTGATGCCGCGACTATTCGTTATTCACATTTCGTCGTAGGTCGCGCAAAAGTTTGCGGTATTTCCATACCATAAACCGATCCGACATTAAAAGTGTTTCGCAGCAAAGTGTAAAAGAAAAATTGCTCTAAAGAAGAACAAATATAAAATACACGTTGCTGTTCAAGGAGAAGTGCTTAATAGTGACAATAAATTGACCGGAACTATTGTCAATTGTCTATAATAAATATACGCACGGTTAATTGAGAAGCTAACGGATTTTTTTAGCCAGCAGTAAGGACCGATTGCCCAAAAAAAAGCCCCGTACCGCCTGCCAACAGCAAACGCATTACCAAAAGTGGTTGCTGCTTGTCTCACCAAAACAGCTGTCGAGGAATCGCCTGATTTTTAGGTATGTATTCTGCACGCATGCACACAACACAAGCAAAAATATATATATATATATATATGTGTGTGTGAATACACGTAGACTGTTATACTACTCATGTGTGTGTGAGTCAAAAACGAGGAGGAAGGATAAAAAAAATAAAAAAAAACTGTGCCAAAACTAATTCTCTAACGCCGGCTTAGTGCAGAATTAAGTGTTGATTAAAATCGGGTTTTAAGTAGTAAAATAAATAAATTAAGAATTTAAATATGGAATATTTTAAATGTTATTATTAGCAGCTGACAACAGCTAGAAAAGGAAATAATTCCAAAATGAGCTCAAATTTGAGCGAAACTCATTTCACACCTGTCATGTAACGTTTGACCTTTCAAACGTTTGCCTAATTTTTTTTAAAATATGTATATGCATATAATATCTAATTTGCCTTACAACAATTTTCGCTTATTATACTAAACTGAACTGAACCCATTAAAATGTGCGAAGAGAGTATAAATGTTTTTTTTTTGTTTTTTATTATACAAATAAAGTCCAAATTCCCGAAAATGTTGTGGTAGACCTTTAGCAAGATTGCGATTGGCTTCATTCTTTTGACGGCTTTGATAGGGTTTCGCATACTAATTGGACAACTTGCTTGATGATTTTTCTACGATTTCTGTAATAAGAGAAAGTAATAACGAGAGTGACAGAATTGATTGGAAATTTTTCTAATCTACTTGCAGACACAACAGATGTATGTGAATCAGCAGATAGACACATGTTAATTTGAATGCACTAAAAATGTTATAAATACTCTGTTACTAAAGAGCCGTTTTCAACGCACTTAGCGTATTCGAGTTAATCACCCCATTTTAATTTCTCTTATCACATTGACAATGAACTTGAGGCGCGCGCCCCTCGCTTGCCTCAAGTGGAAATTGGATGTGGGTGTGGACGCTTGATATGATGCATACCTGCCTGTTCTGCACATTAACACCACTCTCATTTGTATGTGTTTAGGTAGGTTTCCGCATAATCGATAATTGTGAAAATAGAAGCAAGTGCATAAATAAATAACATTAAGAACTGCTGCTATTGGGATACTTAACAGTGACTAGCATTGCGCTGAAACGGTTTGTTTACATTGCATTGTTTATTAACGAATGACGCAATTTTGAAAATCAATATGCCTAGATAAGTAGAAGTGTGTAATTAATGTAAAAGGATATACAAATATCGCGTCTATACAAACAATAAATCGAACGAATAGCAGAAGCAGCAATTATACAGATGACGCCGCTCAAAACTAACAAAAATATGTATATAAATACTACTAAATAATGAACTTGGAAATCACGCCACCTTATCTCACTCTCCACAAATTGCTTATGAACACGCGTTGTGCTAATGTTAGTGTAAGCATATGTATGTGTGCATGTGTATGGGTTTGATCAGAGTAAATGTGTTTTTTGCCGGCTGTTGTCGAACTCATAGCGTCTCTTCTGTTATGCTCCCTCCATGATTGTATACATTTATATACATATGTATGTTGCCATGCTCTGGAACTGTTCTTGCCGTCCATGCTTCATATCGAAGGCAAACAAACATGACAAACTACTGGTTTAGCTTAACTGACTTTTTCTTTTATTGTGCCATTCTCATTCTGCATATCGTACGAGTTTTGTCGGCGAATAAGAAAGCAGCGTGCGAAACGCTATTACTGTGTTTGCGTTAGTATTGGTGAGCGTGTCAGCTGCGACTCATGTTGTCATTTTAACATTTTTTGTGTTGCACTGTTAAGCTGAATACACACTCTGCTATGCTTGTGTATGTATGTGTATGTACATATGTACATCTGTTCACATTATTGTGTACGTTGTGTGCTTATACATAATGTTGCCGCGCACTGTTAGCCACACAATAATCACGCCACAAGCACACGAACACAGCAGAGAGCAAATGTCGTTGCATGCGCAGCTTCTCCAGAAATCACCTGATTTTCAGTTACTTTCCTCTAAAAAATGTTCAATCGACCGGCCGGGCTGCTGTCATAGCTTTTTGTGAGAAGCCAACATTTATGAAAAGCTTTGCGTGATTAACAGTAGCATTAACAGCGATTGTATTTGTACAGTTTTACTGTTGGCACCACCGTCAATGAGCTTATTACACATTTGAATTACTTTTCTGTCGTTAAATAACCAAAAACTAGCTATGTTAATATTTGAATTCTCTTAATAATATTATCTGTACAACCCAGCATATTTATTGAGATGACCATTCAAAATATATGTAAAAGCCGAGAAATTACGTAGATGTCATGAATGAAAGTCATGTAATGAACTCAACACTTCAAAAACATCACTAATTATTAATTACACCAGCTTACGACTGAAGTTTGATACTTCAAATTAAGAAAATATGAATACATCTATTTTCCCGTGGTAATTAACATATTTTCAGTGTAATTTGTAAACAAAATACAGCTGGCCAAGAAATAAATGGAACTTTGATCAATAAATCAATTTCTAGCAACTGACTTTTTGTCTTATTTTGGCACTTTCTCTTCGAGTCAAAGTCTATATAGTTAGTCTCTCTTTTTTTATATATAAATAACTTAAATGATTGTAATTTGCTGCCCATTCAAATATGCAATGACTTCGTTTGTTTTTGTTAAGTAACAAACAATGAAAGTATGCAATACTCTTAAATATGAAAGATCTTTGGTTTTGATGGATCGGATTCCTTTAAATTGAAAATGACAAAAATTAAACTTATAGAGGAAAATTGACTAAATGATTATAATTTTATAGTAAATTGGTTATTGTATGCGAAACAATTATGTGACAAAATATATTAACCAAACTCAGCAAGTCGAAAGAAATAATACCTGTAAAGATATTCGAAAGCGATTTTTTCAGCTTCAATTTTCAGTTCAAAATTCGACTTATATAATAAACGTACTTTTTGTTTTAATTGTAAGAAAATTTAGGTTATTGTAGACAACGTACGAGCTATGTATGTTGAATGAGATTCGAGTTAGAGAGGAGACTATTAGAGTTTCGGGACGGTGTTAATGTAGGTTTATGTAAATGTATTAGCAATCTAAAAACTAAAAGTATTTTCCATTTTTATTTATTTTTGATAGACGCTAAAAGCTTGTTAAGAGTCGTGGATCAGCAAACTGTTGCGCTCAATAATCAAAATAATCACAAACCGAGCTCTTCCGCTGTACAAAACGGTAACGGTAAAAGTGCACGTGCCCTTCGTCGGCGCCGCCGTCGCAATAAGAAGCAACAAAATTCGCAACAACCTGACTCCTTCGAGGAGCAAACCACTGCGCAGCTAACACCTAGCACCTCCGCTTCCAATCCTGCAACGAATCATCATCATACCCTAACAGACAACCACTCCAACACCAACGACAGCCAAAAGATGCCAGCCCGTTTCGCCGAAGAAGTGATCACTGCTGAGCCAGCGTCGCGTACTGCCCCCCAATTGGACCTGGGTGGTGGACACTATGCGCCGCGTCAGCAGGCACTAAATGAGGAGGTTGCCATCACTGGCTTCTCCGGCCGTCTGCCAGAAAGCTCCAACATCGAAGAGTTCAAGAAGAATCTGTTCGAGGGCGTCGACATGGTCACCGATGAACCCATACGCTGGGAGCGCGGTAAGTTTGAATAGGTAATTAATCAATTAGTATATTTACAAGAGCCACTTTTCAATTGCTGCAGGTCTCTATGGATTGCCGGACAGGATGGGCAAAATCAAGCATGCCGATCTGGAGAATTTCGATCAGCAATTCTTTGGTGTCCATCAGAAGCAGGCCGAGTGCATGGATCCCATGCTGCGCATTATGCTCGAATTGACGCATGAGGCAATCATTGATGCTGGTCTAAATCCAACGGATTTGCGTGGATCTCGCACTGGTGTCTACATTGGTGTTTCGACATCGGAAACGGAGCAGCACTGGTGCTGTGATCCGGATCGTGTCAATGGCTATGGATTGACGGGCTGTGCTCGTGCCATGTTCGCCAATCGAATTTCGTTTGCATTCGATTTCAAGGGACCGAGCTACAGCATTGACACCGCTTGCTCGAGCTCCCTGTACGCATTGGAGCAGGCCTTCTCCGATATGCGCGAGGGCAAGATCGATAATGCATTGGTCGCTGGCGCTGGCATCATCTTGAAACCCACCATGTCGCTGCAGTTCAAGCGACTGAACATGTTGAGCGTCGATGGCAGCTGCAAGGCCTTCGATGAGTCGGGCAATGGCTATGTCCGATCCGATGGCTGTGTTGTGCTGCTCTTGCAGCGTACCGCAGTTGCCAAGCGTGTGTACGCCTCCATTCTGAATGCGCGCACGAATACTGATGGTTACAAGGAGCAGGGCATCACATATCCCATTGGCAGCATGCAGAATCGTTTGATACGCGAAACGTACGAGGAGATCGGTCTCAATCCCAACGATGTTGTATATGTGGAGGCCCACGGCACTGGCACCAAAGTGGGTGATCCCCAGGAGGTTAATTCCATTACCGATTTCTTCTGCAAGAATCGCACCACACCGCTGCTAATTGGTTCGGTTAAATCCAATATGGGTCACTCGGAGCCGGCGTCGGGTGTTTGCTCCATTGCAAAGATTCTGATTGCAATGGAGTCGGGCGTTATACCCGCCAATCTGCACTACAACAAACCCAATCCGGATCTCTATGGTCTGGTCGATGGTCGTCTAAAGGTTGTCGACAAGAATTTGCCATGGAATGGTGGCATCATTGGTCTCAACTCTTTTGGTTTTGGTGGCGCTAATGCTCACGTCATTCTCAAATCGAATCCCAAGCCAAAGACCATAACACCAAAGAATGGGGCACCCAAGGTAGTGATTGCATCCGGCCGTACATTCGAGGCCGTACAGGAGATGCTGGAATCCGCCGCGGATCACAACGATGACGATGAGTATCTGCAGTTAATCAACGATATTCATTCCAAGCCCATTCCCTTGCACTATTTCCGCGGCTACACCGTGGTCAGCAACAAGGGATCGCTGCAGCGCGAAGTGGTTGAGTTCACTGATGTGAAGCGTCCAGTTTGGTACATCTATTCGGGCATGGGCAGCCAATGGGCAAGCATGGCCAAGGACTTGATGCAAATCGATGTGTTTGCCAAGTCGATTCAGCGTTGCGCTGATGTCTTGAAGCCCGAAGGTGTCGATCTAATTGAGGTGCTTACCCGCTCCACGGACAAGAGTTTTGAGAACATTCTCAACTCGTTCATCTCAATTGCAGCCATGCAGGTGGCGCTGACGGATCTGCTCACGTCCCTCAACATTCATCCCGATGGCATTGTGGGTCATTCGGTCGGTGAACTGGGCTGTGCCTATGCCGATGGTTGCTTCACTCCGGAGCAGACCGTTCTGGCCGCCTACTGGCGTGGCAAGAGCATCTTGGACACACAGTTGCCCAAGGGCAAGATGGCTGCCGTCGGTCTCAACTGGGACGAGGCCCACAAGCTGGTGCCCAGCGATTGTTTCCCCGTCTGCCACAACAGCGAGGATAATTGCACTATTTCCGGACCGGAAGAATCTATCGAGACCTTTGTTGCCAAACTCAATGCCCAGCAGATCTTTGCGAAGGCTGTAAATAGCAGTGGCTATGCATTCCACAGCAAATATATCGCTGATGCTGGTCCCAAGTTGCGCAAGAGCCTGGAGAAGATTATACCGACTGCAAAGAATCGCACTGCGCGCTGGATCAGCACCAGCATTCCCGAGTCCGCATGGAACACTCCGGTTGCCATACAATCATCGGCCGCCTATCACGTGAACAATCTGCTGTCGCCCGTGCTCTTCCATGAGGCACTGCAGCATGTGCCCAAGAATGCCATCTCCATTGAGATTGCACCACATGGCCTACTCCAGGCAATTCTGAAGCGGGCTCTCGGCCCGGATGCCACCAACTTGAGTCTGGTGAAGCGCGCCCACGAGAACAATGTGGAATTCTTGCTCAGCAATGTGGGCAAGCTATATGCAGCGGGTGCTCAGCCACAGGTCCTGAACTTGGTGCGACCCATTAGCTATCCGGTGGGACGCGGCACTCCCATGTTGAACTCAAAGATCGGCTGGGATCACACACAGAAATGGCTGGTTTGCAAGTTTGGCAAGGAGACCACTTCGGGTGAGACCATCATTGAGATTGATCTGTCCAAGGAGGAGGATGCATTCTTCGTCGGACATACCATCGATGGACGCATCCTGTTCCCAGCAACTGGTTACATGACTCTCGCCTGGATGACATTCGCCAAGATGCGTGGCGGCGAATTCCACAAGACGCCAGTTGTCATGGAGAATGTGGTGTTCCATCGTGCAACGATTTTGAATAAGAGCGCCGTTGTCAAGTTTGGCATCAATTTCTTCGATGGTACGGGCAACTTTGAGATCTGCGAAAGTGGTAGCTTGGCCGTCTCCGGCCGGATCAGCATACCGGAAAGCATTGATATGGAGGAACTGCCTCTGGATGCCCAGACACCCAACACCACAGCCAAGCAGCTGGTCACCAACGATGTGTACAAGGAGTTGCGTCTCCGCGGCTACGACTATGGTGGAATTTTCCGTGGCATTGTCAACTCGGACACCTGTGCCTCTGTCGGCAATCTGCAATGGGTGGATAACTGGATTAGCTTCATGGATACCATGCTGCAGTTCAGCATTCTCAGCAAGAACTTGCGTGAGCTGTATTTGCCCACCCGTATTGAGAAGGCAGTGATTAATCCGCTCAAGCATTTGGAGCTGGTCAACGGATTGAGCAAGGAATCACAGTCGAATGTTGGCGTACCAGTCTACTGGTATAATGACATTAATGTCATCAAGAGTGGCGGCGTGGAGCTGCGTGGCCTCAAGGCTTCACTGGCTCAGCGTCGTCCCAACACCCAGAGTCCACCCACCTTGGAACGCTACTGTTTTGTGGCCAATGAGAACGTTGCAGAATTGAACGAGAATACGGAAAAGGCTCGCTTGCACGCACTGGACGTGGCCATTCAACTGATCATCGAGAACTCAAGTGGCGCTATCAAATTGAAGGGTGTCGAGTTGGCTAACGGACGCAATCCCGATGTACTGATGGCTAATAACTTGCTGGAGATCATTGAGGGTGAACCGGTGCTAACTGGCGATGTGGCTGTTGCCACATCCAACAACAACGAGGAGCTTATTGCCAGCACTTTGGGAGATTCGGGTGTACGCGTCATTGCCAAGGATGTGCTTAAGGAGCCCGTCGAGCAGAACTGTCACTTTGTCTTTGGCATTGACATTTTGTCCCGTCCGGATACAACCACTCTGAAGAATAGCATTGCCAGCATTCGCGAGACCGGTTTCCTCATTTTTGAAGAGGGTCTAGCCACGTACACGAAGACGGGACGTGACCTCCTTGAGAAGTTCGGTTTCGTCGCTGTGCAGGAGCAGACGCTGGGCGGCACCCGTGTCCTTGTCCTGGCCCGACGTGGCGTTGACCTGAATCAACGTAAATCGGTTGTCGTACAGGTCACTGAGCAAAACTTTAACTGGGTAGATGATCTTAAGGCTGCACTGGCCACGGCTGCCACCGAGGAGCAGTATGTCTATGTGGTTTGCCAAAATGAGGAACTCTTTGGTGCTATTGGCCTGATGACCTGCATCAAGAATGAAAATGGTGGCAAGCTGGCACGCTTGGTATTCGTGCAGGATACAGTATCCGCAAAGTTCTCTGTGACGGCGCCATTGTACAAGAAACAGCTGGAGAAGGATCTGATTTCGAATGTGCTCAAGAATGGCAAATGGGGCACCTTCCGTCATCTGAAGCTGGAGAAGCAGCAGGCCACCCTTCAAGTGGAGCATGCCTATGTTAATGCTTTGGTCAAGGGTGACTTGGCCTCGCTGAAGTGGATTGAGGGCGCCAAGGTCGATACGACAACCAAGAAGGACATCGAGACCTGCACCGTTTACTATGCACCCGTTAATTTCCGTGACGTGATGCTGTCCTCTGGCAAACTGGCAGCGGATGCTCTGCCCGGCGATCTGGCTGAACAGGATTGCGTGTTGGGTCTGGAATTCGCTGGTCGCGACACTGCCGGCCGACGTGTAATGGCCATGGTGCCGGCCAAGTCGCTGGCGACTACCTGCCAGGCAAGCAGGCGTATGATGTGGCAAATTCCGGACAAGTGGACCATGGAAGAGGCCTCAACGGTGCCCTGTGTCTATGCGACCGTCTACTATGCCCTCCTTGTGCGTGGACAGATGAAGAAGGGTGAACGCATCCTCATCCATGCTGGTTCAGGTGGTGTGGGCCAAGCTGCCATTTCGGTGGCTCTCCATCATGGACTGACTGTCTTCACGACGGTCGGCAGCAAGGAGAAACGGGAGTTCCTGCTGAAGCGTTTCCCCAAGTTGCAGGCACGCAACATTGGCAATTCACGTGACACATCCTTTGAGCAGCTGGTCATGCGCGAGACAAAGGGTCACGGTGTTGATCTGGTATTGAACTCACTCTCTGAGGAGAAACTGCAAGCATCCATCCGCTGCTTGGGTTTGAATGGACGCTTCTTGGAAATTGGCAAATTCGATTTGAGCAACAATAGTCCCCTGGGTATGTCTGTCTTCTTGAAGAACACCTCCTTCCACGGCATTCTGCTGGACAGTGTTATGGAGGGTGAGGAGGAGATGCAGAATCAAGTGGTCTCCCTCGTCGCTGAGGGTATCAAGAGCGGTGCAGTTGTGCCTCTGCCCACTTCAGTGTTTAACGACAAGCAGGTGGAGCAGGCTTTCCGTTTCATGGCGTCGGGCAAACACATTGGCAAGGTCGTTATTAAGGTGCGCGATGAGGAGGATGGCAAGAAGACTGTGATGCCCAAGTCGCGCTTGATCAACGCCATTCCACGTACCTACATGCATCCGGAGAAGAGTTACATTATCGTCGGTGGTTTGGGTGGCTTCGGCCTGGAGCTGACCAACTGGCTGGTGACGCGTGGAGCACGCTACATTGTCCTAACCTCCCGCTCGGGCGTGAAGACTGGCTACCAGGGACTCATGATCCGGCGCTGGCAGGAGCGTGGTGTTAAAGTGGTAATTGATACCAATGATGTGACCACAGCCGCGGGAGCCAAGAAATTGCTGGAGAGCAGCAACAAGTTGGCCCTGGTTGGTGGTATCTTTAATCTGGCTGCTGTGCTGCGGGATGCCCTAATTGAGGATCAAACGGCCAAGGACTTTAAGACCGTTGCCGATCCCAAGGTGACAGCGACCAAATTCTTGGATCAATATTCACGAACAATCTGCACTGAATTGGACTATTTCATCTGCTTCTCGAGCGTCTCATGTGGACGTGGCAACATTGGACAATCGAATTATGGCTTGGCCAACTCCGCCATGGAGCGTATCTGTGAGCAGCGACAGGTTAGCGGCTTCCCAGGCACAGCGATACAATGGGGTGCCATTGGCGACACTGGCCTCGTGCTGGAGAATCTCGGTGACAATGACACCGTCATTGGTGGCACACTGCCCCAGCGTATGCCCTCCTGCCTGCAGACCATCGATCTATTCCTGCAACAACCGCATCCCGTCGTGGCCTCCATGGTCGTGGCCGAGAAACGCAAGTCGGATCAGTCTGGCGGTGTCAGTCTAATTTCAACCATATCGAATATCTTGGGTCTGCGTGATATTAAAAATGTTCAGGACGCCTCCTCCTTATCAGATCTGGGCATGGATTCGCTGATGGGCGCCGAAATTAAGCAAACCCTGGAGCGTAACTTTGACATTGTGCTGTCCACGCAGGAGATTCGTCAACTCACATTTGGTACGCTGAAACAAATGGATGGTGGTGCCGAGGTGAAACCAGCGACACCCACAGTCACTGATGTTTCGGCTGCTGAGTCACCAGCAACGGCAAAGCCGCCATCACGCACAGCTAGTCCACTGGGCGATGGCACTCAGGTGGTTTTCAACAAAGAGTTGATGCCCATCAAGGAGATTACGCGCCTGGAGACGCTGGCTCCCTCGAATAGCAAAAAGAGTCCCATTTTCTTCGTCGCACCAATCGAAGGATTTGCGAGCGCACTGGAGCCGTTAGCCAAAAGGCTGGAGGTCCCTGCCTACGGATTGCAATTCACCAACACAGTGCCCCTGGACTCTGTGGAGGCGGCAGCTAAGTTTTTCATTAAACAGCTGCGCACAGTGCAACCCAAGGGACCCTATAAGCTGGCCGGTTACTCCTTTGGCTGTCTGCTCACCTACGTGATGGCCGCCATTCTGGAGGAGACCAACGAAATAGCCAATGTTGTGATGTTGGATGGTGCGCCCACCTATGTCAACTGGTATACGAGCAGCTTCAAGCAGCGATATACAGTCGATGATGACAACAGCAATAAGAGCTATGCCCTCGCCTACTTTGGCATTGTCTTGGCCAACATTGACTACAAATCGGTAAGTGTAATCGATAATATTCATTTATACCTAACCATCCATGACTAATGATTTTAATCCTTGTTTTCGTTTGCAGCTGGTGCGTTTGCTTTTGGTGATACCCAACTGGGAGGAGAAACTCGAAAAGTTTGCTGAGATAATGAGCGTTGAAATCAACCAACCGGTGGAAACTGTAAGCATAAAATTTCTAAAATCCTTAAACTATATTTTATTTATCCTTTACGCATCCTTTGTGCAGATTAAATCTGCAGCTACACTGTTTTACAAGAAACTGGAGTTGGCGGACAGCTTCAAGCCCAAGCTGAAACTCAAGTCTAAGGTGACGCTCGTTAAACCCACAGATAACTCGGCCAAAATGGATGAGGACTATCGCCTCAAGGAGGTGAGTTAGCAGCAAGAAAACAAACAATCCTTATCAATACTCATATCCCAATTTGCGTTTCTTCTTCAAGGTTTGCACAAAGCCCGTGGAAGTGCACACAGTGGAAGGAAATCATCGCACTTTCCTCATTGAAGATCAGTCCTTGGCGACTATTCAAAGTATATTGAAGCGACTATTCAACTAGTTACTTTAAAATACACTGGCAACACACGCACGCACGCACATAGACATAAACAATACTCATGCTCTCTATAATCCATATTGTTTTTATGGATACTATCTAAATGTCGCGCTCTACTAATTAATAATGATATTAATATGCACAGCATTCCATCACAAATGAAATCACAGCACTCAGCTAGCACATTTAGTAAATGAATTTATATAATACTATTAAGCCTACAAGGAATGTCTACAATTTGAATCACTAATTTACAATTGGAATAGAGGAATCATCATAATTTGTATATCAATCTATATAATCTTACAATGATTAACTGCCGTCTTGCCGGGCCTGTGGGCACCCAGGTCCAAACAAAAGTTGCCCACATGCTCGGCGATTCTGAGCAGTTAAACTCAGTTTAACTTCATTCACAACTGACATTCCTTGAGAGCTACAGCTACGGCAATGAACGTCCCAACTTACCAAATATATCTATATGCTATATAGCAATGTGCACACTCGGCGCATATTTTACTTTTAATTTGTAGCTTTAAGTCAAAAACCACATATATAATGAGTTTCATTCCACGATATGTATATCCAAAAAGAAAACTGTTTGTTAATTTGATGTATAAAATAGGCGTATAAAATCACTCATGATTATTGAGGGTACATATAAAGTCCATATACATATTTCTATGAGTAAATAAACACAACCATCCTAAATAATGCAAAAATGTTGTTTGATTTAAATACCTCTCTTCGATCATATTTCAAATATATTGCACAAAGTGTGATTTAAAATCTAATTGATAGGTAAGTGTAAATTTTTAAATCATTTTAAAAGCTATTCGGAGATAATGTGTTTCCGAAATCGATAAAATGAGTTATCTTTAATAACAGGATGTGAGCTAAAAATATATTAATCAAATCAACTAAATACGATTTTGGCTTGCAACACAAAATATGCCACAAATTGGTGTCAGTTGAAATTCTGATTTCGCCCTAGGCAAACGTCAACAACCAATTGAAGCCTGTTTAATTAAATAATTTAATGCTAGGTCAGTAATGTCCAACTCCCACGTATTTAGTAAACAAATTAAATTTATTTCGATGTGTTTATTGTTTAACAAACAAATTCCAAATTGCAATTTTAATTCCAGCCAAAAATTCTATTTTGGTTTTATTTGTTTTGTTTTTTTTTTTTTTTTTTGGAATAAGTAATATTCACGCAATAATAATTTCGGGAGGCCTCTAGGGAAAAACGTGATTCTCAAATGCCTTGTTTTAGTTTTAGTTTTGCATGGGAGTTGCATAATAATTATCGCATTTACGCCATGTTGTCGAAATAGCAAATCACAAACAACCAGTGCCCCTAGAGTCATTTAAATTTAAATTTAAATTTAAGTTTCCAAGCCAATGGCTAAATAATTATTGCACATATGCCACTTTGTCGAAATAACAAACCACAAACATCCAGCGTCGCATTTATTAGCGAAACTCGCATCAGGAGTCACTATTTATGAAATAAATATCGCCCAGCACAACATGCATACGAGTATACTCTGGCAATAACCATGTTAAATGTGTTTGAAAAGTATTAGTACAATTAGTAAAATCAGAAAGTTCTGAAGTTGTTAACTAGTCTGTTGAATCACTTCCACTATTTCACTTGGCTCGACAAGTGAAGTTTTGTTAGTGTGTTGGGTCTTGCGAAGCCACAACTCTTGAAGAAAATTTATTGTGGTATTGTGGCATGCTTTCAACGCTGCAGCAAATATGAGACAGCCTGTGCTGCAGTCGACAAGTCAACAAGAGTGCAACAGATAGCCTATTATGCATTTTATTTGTAAATTGAAAACACGAGCACACTTATAATGCAGAATATGAAATGGAATCAATTTAATTTATTATTTGGCAAGTCTGTTGAATGCACAATAAATAATGCAAACAATGCATTTGGTACTGACTATATTAAAGTGCTTTGTTTATTTAAATCAAATTTGAAATTTGACAAATATTTGTACACTAATAATAATGAAATACAATTTTGTTTTCAATTTCTAGACTTTTATAATTGATAGTAAAAACTGAAAATCGAAAGTTTCGCATTTGTTTAAGTGCAAATATGTCTATGGAGAAAGATAATTAAAAAGATAAATGTGCACTTTCATGTTTGCTAACAATTCGCTTACCATAATTCAATAACGTTCACAATCACGATGTGCGTTTGAGTACGAAAAAGGAGAGGGCTTTTTACTGCAGAAGCTGGCGTAGTTTGAAGTTTGTGGGTGGCCCAGCTGCCCAGGGAGAACAACATTGTTGAGGCTTCAGCGACAGCAAATAATGTCGTTGGCCTTAGGTAACTAAATGCTTCCTGAAAGCCCAGCAGCAAGCAATATCACAGCAAACCCAATAAGCATATGCCTGGCAGCCGGAGCGAAGAATGATGGGGTAGAATTACAGCGCTTGCCATGCATAATTAGACTTCCAGCATCTGGCTTTGAATTGTGTAGAAAATGAGAAGGGTTAGCGTACTTTGTTGCCATTGAGCCAGCTGGATCGTCAAGGATACTACTACAACGCGAACACTCGCTTTTTTCATAATTTGCATATCGCTGTCTAGTCACAACAAGTGCTCACCAACCCCAAACCCAATGCGCACCCACCTCCCACGTTTTGGTCACGATTTGGTGAGCTGGGTGTGTGTTTTTAACTGAAATGGAAGGAGAAGACAGAAAAAAAAAAGGAACGCTTTTGCTATTAGCACACCAGGCGGCCGTTCATTTTCGGCTTGTGAACTGACATGCATTATAATTGGCGCTCTGACGCGTCCCATCTCACCAACCGGCACCAACCGGAATATAATAGGAAACTCTATAACAGCACAGTGCTGTGTGGAAAAACACTGGAATTTTGATGCAAAGTAGCAATACAAATGAAGACCTGGGTTAAAAGGTTAAAAGCGTAGCAGTTGAATTCGCACTGCTCTTAATTTTTAGCTAATTAAGACGCAGGCTATAGGTGACTTTAGAGAACACTAATCCGCTGGCTGGCTGAATATATAATTGTGCGCGCATTTCTTTGATATCTGCATCTAAAAGTCAGTTCTATGGCTTAGCTATTTTGAATCTTAAGTCGTTTGCTTTCTATCGCACAGATCTTATATCAGAATACAAACACGCCATTGTGGCACGTGGCCGCACTGCGGCACTCATCCATCATCCTGTGGATGCACCGCAGAGGCAAATGTTGATTTTGGCCAGCAATTCATGCAGTAAAGTATACGCTTCAAGTAACGTTGATGTTGTGCTGCATTCTAAGGAACCTTTTGAGCAGAGTCGACTTTACACTAATAAAAATTGCAATTAATTTGATTGTTCAATGCCACATATTAATTGTTGATGATTAATAAACATGTCTATTATATAATAAAGTGCTTCTTATTTGTTGACTGATAGGATGAGCAAGAATGCATTACAAGCAATTGAAGTATCAGAGAGTGTCCCGGATCAACAAATGAATATTAACAAATATAATTAAATAACATCATATCAGTTACACATCCAGACAACATATGAATATACGTATATATATATATATATATATATATACATATATACCAAAAGAACAATTTGAGATGAGCAAAATCGTGATATGAATTTGTTTGAAATTTGACATAAATGCTATAAATGAATGAAATTTAATTTCATCGAATGTCATTTGAATCGACCAAAAACGCTTATCTAAATTGGAACTCCTCGTCTAACCCCCGACCAGTTGTTAAATATTTGTGTATTTCAAAATGAGTTCAAAATTCGATTTGTTAATTATGCAGCAAAATGAAATTATACAAGTACAAAGTATACGTCGCATATTTCAAATGATATATATTTGTGCCCATAATAACTCTCCCAATTTACCACACATTAAATCAATTTGCAATGCAAATTCGCACCGGAGTCCAAGTGCAGTTTGGTCAGAATTCAAAAATAGTGTTAAATACACTCGTGCGGCTAATCCCCGTAACCAGACTTTGAACTAGTGCAAATGGCATAGCAGCGAATTCATTATTGTCCAATCGTAAGCGCATTAGTTGAGCACCCACAACTCTGATGCACCTGGATTTCTATATAAAGATCTGAAAACTAGTTGATGGGAAACTTGAAATAGAATTTGATTAAATTGAAAATGAATACTTAATCATTGAGTCACTCTTAATTAAAAGCATCGCAGAATTTTTTTACAGCTCAAATCAGACCAAAATACTTTGGGGATCGGGCCAAACAGTTAACACCCACAGTTCGTAAATTTAGCCATAGCAGCAGCAGCAGCAGCAGCACCTCTTGTCAGTCATACGCCATTTCATTTTGGCGGCAGGCCACCCACAGACATAGCCGGGACCGTTACGAAGTGTCCCCACCCGAAGCTGACAGCATAAAAAGGATCCAGCAGCCATCCGCCGAGCCGCAGTCTGAATGGGAACCGTGCTCGAACAACTACAGCGCGACGGAGCAACAAGTGAATAACGATTACGGACTATGACATTGTACGCATTTCGTGCTGCCGCAATGGCCTGCAATTGTGCAGTTCTTCACTTGTAAGCCCCCAACATTCTCTCAGAGTCGTTGTCGGTGTCGGAGTCGGTGTCAGTGTCGCGATTACAAAACTTTATTGCTATTAACTTGGCATTTTTCCCGCTGCAAAGTATCCGGTAAACATGGCACACAACAGCATTTTTTCCAATCTCCGCAACCTGATTGTGGCAACAGCACTGATGTCATGTCAGCGAAACTACATTCAAATAGCTGCCACAAAAGACACCATAAATATAGGATTCCTTGCCGAGTATTCTCAGATGCGTGTAAGTTCCAAATGCTGATCTTTAAATTTACTTCAATTGAAATACGTTTCTTGCGTATATTTTATTATACAACATTTGTAAATGTATATAAAGACATTTAACTATTTATTTATACAAATGACAGAAAGTTTAAATAAATAAGAATATTACAATACAATTGCAATTGAATGCATTTGAGACTATTGAATTAAATTACTCTCTAAAGTGGAACTGGCTTGGAATGGAATGGGTCCAAGGCAGACCGTTGGAATGTGAGGATTAGATGTGGCTAAGAATTTAGTTATTAGGTAAATGAATAGAAAGTAAAAGTAAAAGTAAAAAAGTTAAACATATATAAAGTAGGTGCATGAATATTACAGTGCTATATGTTTTATATTTTTTATAATCTTGCATAACTAACATTTTAGTTAAAAGATTTGCACATCAGACTACAATATAAAATAGCCCCCCAATTGATTTGTTAAATTTAAAATATAATTTAAAAGTGAGGAGCTGGAGTTCCATCTGCCAGGATGTGTTTTTTTTTTTTGTTTTTGGCTTTTTTCTTTTTGGAATATTTAATGAACTGCCGCCTTTGTACAATATACTGATATTAAAATGCTCTCATTTTGACCGATGCACTTTGCACGCTTCAGTTGCAATTTTTACTGTTGATTTTCTGCTCGAATTATCGGACTTTAAATTGCGCCGGCTGTTCGATGTACTCCGTTAAATTATGCCTGAAAGTATACTGCGATCCTAACTATATTATATGGCCATGACCGTGTATATGACGTTATATTTGAATTACATTGTCGACCTGCTGCCAAAATTGTCTTCGCTTGGTATTTGCTTCATGCAAAGAAACAAACAAGTGGCAACAAAATAAAGTTAGTTATGAGCAGCACGGACTTTATGAATAAAATGTGTTCTTATTGCGCATACTTTACTTAAATCCAAATTTACGTTCATTTTGCTTGTCAATGCATATTTGTTTATATTTGGTTTTTACCAATTTCAAAGGCTGCTTACTGGTAATGGAATCATTACCGATGATGATGATGATGTTCAGGCTGTCGTAGAAAATATTTAACTCAAACACTGTATTTCAAGACCTTGCCTCTGTCTGTGGCGTAGTTCTTTATAAATACATCCGACACATGCAGAAAATCTGCAAAAGCAGCGAACGCATTTCCCTAAATAAATATTAAAAATGTGTAATCAATATATCCAAGACATTTTTCGTGCACTTTTCTCAGCTTATTTTCACTTGTTGTCATACGTAAAGCACTTACTTATATCCGCACAACAGACAATATTTGTACAACAGACAATATTTGTTCACCGTCTTATCAAAATTGCATGGAGATACGCAAAACTAGAAGTTGTTATCTGCCAGTAACTGGTAACCGAACCTTAAACTGACCCTCCATTAAATTGTTAGGAATCAATTGGCATGGCAACGATACCGAAAGAGATCCAACGTCAGCTGCAGCCTCATCAAAAGTGGCATCCTTTCAATTGAGTCATATAAATGCAATGTAGCTAAAAGTGCAGAGTTAAGTCTTTTTCAGCCTTCCGTAATATTAAACACACAGCCCAGAAAAAAAGGCTGTATAAAGTTTAAAGCCTCAAAGGACTCGTAATTTTTGCTATATAACAAATAAATATCACCGCAGCGGGAAAGTTAAAGGTACAGGTTAAATAGAAAAAAAAAGTTTATGAACGCATAAGCAATTTAAATAAAATCCTTGTATACAAATATATTTGAACACGTTTCATAGATAGAGCCAATAAATTTATTTCCTAATCAATTGCTGTTTGTGGGCGTCTAATTCGCTTCCGCTGATGTGAGATTAAATCTCAAACAGCAATCAATCATAGATTCACCGGCCAAAACTGAATTGATTACGCTCTTGGATATTAAATAATCTAATTAAAGTAGTATCTTATTAAACTTTCAGAATCTATTTCCAAAATTAGTATTTATATCCAACAAAACAAAAAACATGAGAATCAGTCTTAGGCAAACAATGTGTGATCCATTTGCAAATCGTATTCGCTTGATTTGTGTTCTACTCGAAACCACCCAAATTTTGGGCATAATACAGCCAATAAATGAGCGTGATAACTATAACATTCCGTTTCAACTGGCATATAGTCTATTATACACAGGATTTGCATTAACTTCCTTCTATTACGCATATGGCATTATACATTTGCGTTCAGCAGGACCTATTAATGATTTTCTATGCCGGCTGTGTGGAGCAAGCCTGAGTGTTTGGCTACGATTCAACTTCTTAATGATTGTTCCTTGGGCTCTTAAAATCTGTCTAGAACTAAATGAGCAGTCGTCGCACTTATGGAAATTGCTTACCCATCCCGAACTTGTGTCTTATTTATTTTTGTTTTGCGGCTTAACAATTTTTCTTGCACAGCTTACATTCTTTATGGCTGGTTGCTTTTTTGCCATTGGGTATCTCAAAAAATTAAAATATGCTCTGCAGATAACTCAGGATAGAGAAAATCATGAACTTCGTAATTATGCTCAAGCGCTCAATCAATCAATTGGCTTCGAAATGATTCAAATTAATGCAAGATAAATGTTTCCTGGAAATGAAGTTTTAATTTTCTCAGGTGCCGAAATGCAATAAAAATAAGTACTTGGAATATTCAAGTTTACGCATATTATATAATTGAATATTAATTATTTATTGCATTTATTTATATTATCAGATAACTCTTGGTGGCCTTCCGCTCGCCGTCGAGGATGTCAATAAAAACGTTAACTTGCTGCCAGGCAAAACACTTACCTTCACGCCCTTTGACATAGGTCACCAAACTGGGCCATATCGAGTGAAGCCGTTAAGGTATAATTTAATTATTATCAAAACGTCCACCAAAAATCCGCAGCTGGTCTTATGGACGCACCTTTTACCTATTATATTTAGATTTATGACTGAAATGAGGGAAAAGAAGGTGAAGGCATTTATAGGACCCGACGAGAGTTGCACAACTGAGGCGTTGCTAGCTTCCGCCTGGAATACACCAATGCTCTCGTTCGTAAGTAAATCGAATGAGTGAAATGGATATCAAGTATTTAGGAAACAAATTTCAAATGAATTCTAGAAATGTTCAGACTCGATTGTATCCAAGAAGAGTACATTTCATACCTTTGCACGAACCCTTGCCCCTGCCTCAAAGGTAAATATTTATATTAAATGCAATAATTATTGGTTCTTTAATTGATTGATTAGGTCTCTAAGAGTGTGATAAGTCTGTTAAATGCCTATGACTGGAAGAAATTTTCTATCGTTGTGAGCTCAAAGCCAATTTGGGGTTCCGATGTCGCAAACGCTATTCAGGTAATAAATCTTTGAATTACATTTCGCTTACAAATAACACTTTTATCACTTTTATTTAACAACGAACAAGGAACTTGCTGAATCGAGAAACTTTACCATAACGCACTTAAAATACATATCGGACTATATACCAATTAAGAAAACCTTGTCACAAATCGACAAAATCATTGATGAAACATATGCAACAACTCGAAGTAAGTTTTTTATTGACGTTTTCTTTTTTATTCACTTGGCATTTATTTAATTTATTTATGTATATTACTCATATACTCGATAAGTATACGTATTTATTGGAGAACACATCGCCATGGTGGACTTTGTTCGTGGCTTGCAAAATCGTAAGCTCCTTGAGAGCGGAGATTATATTGTCGTATCCGTGGATGATGAGATCTACAATTCGAATCGTCGTGTGAACATTATGGAGCGGAGTAAGTTAATTGCATAGCGGAACTGGTTAATTCTTGAGGTTTAATGCATGCAACATCTTATTGCAGATTACTTAGATCCTTATATTAGAAAAGAAAAGAGCAAATCACTGGATAAAATCTCATTTCGTTCAGTTATAAAAATAAGCATGACATATCCACAAAACCCTCATATTCGGTAATTTTATGATCAAACACCTGGTATAAATCATTATCGTTATTATATATATTCATACACATAATTATTATTAATCTAACTAGTGGATATAAAATAAATCAAGACCATATTTGACTTATTTTTTCTTTATATTTTTTAAATGAATACAGTTTTGTTTATTTTAAATATACATGCATACATTTCATTTCAGCGATATTTGCGCGAAAATTAAAGAATATGCACGTAAAGCCCCATTCCTGGTGCCCTACCATCAACGAGTTTTCGAGAATATATCCGTATGTAATACTCGAGTGCCATTAATTCATTCTAAAATATTATCAAATATATAAATATGTATATATAGGTGCCCATTTTTGGATTACATCTGTACGATAGTGTGATGATCTATGCACGTGCAATAACCGAAATTCTTCAAATCGGCGGCAATATCAACGATGGAAGTCTTGTTATGAGCCACATTTTTAACAGGTCCTATCACTCAATACAAGGCTTTGATGTAAGTGAACTTTGCATGAGACTAAAGAAAATAAGCAAATATTCCACTAAGAGTCGGGTATTTGAATTTTAACTAAAATTTAATTTATACTTTTAATTTAAACTCTTATTAAGCTTACATACTTATTTCTATTAAGTCAACACTCTTTTAATTTATTTCGAGTAATTCTTCTTTAATTCTATGTGCTATTTTTGATACTGCTCTATATGAATAATCGTGTTATATTCGCAGGTATTCATTGACTCAAATGGCGATGCAGAGGGGAACTACACGGTTATCACTTTACAAAGCGATGCTAGCGGAGGATCTGGAAATTCACTGGCCAAGATGTCCATGCAACCAGTTGGATTTTTTGTCTACAACAAGGACTCCGTAATACCGGTAAGTAAGACTACGTCATAAGTGATACATTTAGCACTTTATCACTTTATGTACATATGCCGCAAGGAATTTCGTTACATCAAAAATGGAAGACCCATTCAATGGCTTAATGGACGACCCCCATTAGCGGAGCCAACGTGCGGTTTCCATGGCGAGTTGTGTCCTCGCAAAAAGATGGACTGGCGTTATTTAGTAACTGGTCCACTGTGCGCCTTCGTTTTGATCATCGCTATTGCCCTATTGGTCAAGTAAACACAATCAATATTATATATATATACATATAGAGAGAGAATGACTGAGTACTCTTAAAGGCACTATCGCTATGAGCAGACATTGGCTGGCCTGCTGTGGAAGGTGGACATGAAGGAAGTGACTGTTATCAACTTGGGCGAATATAACAATCCAAGCCATAAGAATATTGTGCGTAAGAATTTCACATTTTCCAGTGCTTAATAGTAATTCCATTTTTGTTATTTAAGGTGCAAATATGCCGCCAAAGTATTCTTGTTGTGGGAGAGCCAAACAAAAGATCATTTACAAATATTGGTAGGTCTCCGATCGGGCACAGTAAAAAACATTAATAATACTTAACAATATCTTAATGATACCTTATAGCGCTTTTTCGTGGTAATATCGTAGCCATGAAAAAGATTCATAAAAAGAATGTGGACATAACTCGTTCAATCCGTAAAGAACTCAAATTGATGCGGGAGGTGAGCCATATATGAAATATGTATGAAAGGCTGCCAGCCAAACCGGTTTGAAATCAAATTTCAGCTTGTTTCATAGTTTTAATGGAACCGTGACCCGAATTACTTATCAACAATCTAGCAAAACCAATTTGTATTTTATAACCTTTGCCAAAGATTAAATTCTGGCTCAGTTTTCTTGGCTTACAGCCTGGCAGACTCTATTTGTTGAATGAAATTTGAAAAATGATTTTCTAGGTTCGACATGAGAATATAATTAATTTTATTGGAGCATCGATTGACCATGGGTCTGTGATAATATTCACAACATACTGTGCTCGGGGCAGTCTTGAGGATGTGCTCGCCAACGAGGATTTGCATTTGGATCATATGTTCATCTCGTCCCTGGTTTCGGATATACTGAAAGGCCTCATATACTTGCACGACTCGGAGATAATATCACATGGAAACTTACGATCCAGTAACTGTCTCATCGATTCCAGATGGGTATGCCAAATCGCTGACTTTGGCCTGCACGAACTTAAAGCGGGTCAGGACGAGCCAAACAAGTACTACAAATTTTACTCATTATTCTAATTGAATACATTTTAAATTAGCATTTGACTTTTTAAAGAGCGGAACTCGAAGTGAAACGTGCTCTCTCAATGGCGCCCGAGCTTTTGCGAGACCCTTATCGGCCAGCACGTGGGTCCCAGAAGGGTGATATTTATTCATTTGGCATTCTGCTATACGAGATGATTGGCCGAAAGGGACCCTGGGGCGAGACAGCCTATACAAATGAGGGTATTAATCAATAATCACCATTTTTTGGCTAATAATAATATTTTTAATTTAAAATTTTTGATTCTTGCCAATTAGAGATAATAAAGTTTGTAATAAGTCCGGATCTACTGCAGCATGGCGTATTTCGACCAGCCCTCACCTACTTGGATATACCAAATTATATACGAAGCTGTTTGCGTCTCTGCTGGGATGAAGATGCCGAAGTCCGTCCGGATATAAGACTGGTGCGAATGCATTTAAAGGAACTGCAGGCTGGATTGTAGGTTGCAATATTTGTTTGTGAAAATATTATTATGATATGAATATATATTATGATTACGACATTTGCAGAAAGCCCAACATATTTGATAACATGCTGGCGATTATGGAAAAATACGCCTATAATCTGGAGGGCTTAGTCCAAGAACGCACCAATTTGCTATACGAAGAGAAAAAGAAAACGGACGTGCTACTCTATCAAATGCTACCCAAGTAGGAAGATCTATATAACATTTTAGAAGTTGAAAAAAAGTCTTATGTGTATTTTATCTAGGACGGTAGCGGAACTACTAAAAACTGGTGATCCAGTTAAGGCCGAATGTTTTGATTGTGTTACCATATTATTTAGTGATATTGTCGGCTTTACCGAACTCTGCTCTACCAGCACTCCATTTGAGGTTGTCGAAATGCTGAACGATTTGTATACATGCTGCGATTCCATCATATCCAATTATGATGTTTATAAGGTTATTTCACCAACATTCATTCCTCATACAAAATGATAAGTTTGGAATACTCAATTAGGTGGAGACGATTGGAGACGCGTATATGGTTGTATCTGGGCTGCCGCTAAAAAATGGCAACCGACATGCCGGGGAGATAGCTTCGTTAGCACTGCATCTGCTGGAAACTGTTGGAAATCTCAAAATTCGCCACAAGCCCACGGAAACGGTGCACTTTCGCATAGGCATTCACTCGGGTCCCTGTGCAGCTGGTGTCGTTGGCCAAAAGGTAAAGTCTGCGGTTCATAAATGCTAATCAAATGCAAATAGCAAATGAAGCTATTCATTTTAATTCGAAATTCGATACATCGTCTGTCTATCTTTTATCTAATTTTGCTCAAGTAAGCATACAATTCTGTAATATTGTCTGCTTAGTGGTTCTAAAATATATCCCTCCCAGGAGGCTCCACTTTCCTAGTACTATTATTATTTTTATATTACATAATATATTCACAAAAGCCTATATCTGCCCCAATTTAGATTACTCTGAACCTCTTTCGAATATCATGTAGGACCTGTTATGAGATTACTTTTTGATATCAGATATCAAACGTTCCCACTTGTTTTCTAATACAAAATATTATATATTCTAACAGATGCCGCGATATTGCCTATTTGGCGATACTGTGAATACTGCTTCGCGTATGGAGAGCACCGGCGAAGCAATGAAAATTCACATCTCTGAATTGACCTACCAGTTGCTGCAGGATGTCGGTGGTTATATGTGCGTCGATCGTGGAATTATCAGCATCAAGGTATAACCTTTCTATCGAAGTGAGAGTATCACAACTAATGAAAGCGTGTCTTCTCACATTTAGGGCAAGGGTGATATGCGCACCTATTGGTTGAGCAAGCGCTTGCAACCGGAAGCACGATCGCGTTTGATGAACGATTGGGCACCGGATCTTATAAGTACTGTGGATGCCTCCAGTGTTTGCTGCTCAAAGACAAGGGGCGAGGACTTGCCGCTGCTGCAGTTTCAGAGGACAGGTTCGTGCAACTGTGCCACCAAATCCCTGTACAGTCGTCGCTCCGACGATAATGTCACCAACTCTACATTGACGAAGATCAGCGAATCCGTGCAAATTAATTGCAACCAGTTGTGCGTCTGTCGATTGAACGGCAGTCAGCTGTTAAACAATCGAAGTCCACGATCTGCGCCCACCATCACATTTAGACTTTAAGAATTTAGAAGGAGAAAAAAACAGATCAATTTCGGAGCAATTGTACCACAAGGTTGTCAGCTATAAATGTATCATTGCAACAAAAGAAATACCAAAATAAATGTAAACTTTAACCCGTAACCTTTAATGCATAGTTTTACATGGATCAATTGTCAATTTTAAAGTTATTCTTGAGCGCCTGCCAGCATTCATAGTACTGGGCATCCAATTTCTGGCACGTCTCCACGCCCCACTTGGTCACAGCCAAGCTAAGCGATGACTCGAACATAAATGCCTTTCAAATTTCAATAAAAAATATACATTTTTTGTTAGATCTTACAAAAGTTTGTGCGGCAAACAGCAAACCTGAGTTCCCTCTGCAATGCGTTCCGGTTTAAGGTCGGCTTTCGAAGCACCGTCAAAGCACTTCACATCTGGACCATGGGGCGTCATAATGGAGTGTAAAGTGGCACCGCCAGCAGCGAATCCTTCTTCCTTCGCCTCGTAGCGACCCAATATGAGTCCCATGAATTCGCTCATGCAATTTCCTGCACCACAATCCAAGTAAGTGATTAGTTTCTGGGGCCGACTATTAATAAATAGAAGGAACACTTACTGTGATAATATGGTGGACGGAAGGTGTGCTCCTGCACCGACCAGCGCGGCGGAAATATAACAAAATCGGCAATAGCCGTGCCCGGCCTTAAGCTCGGACAAGTAAGCACTGTAAAAATACTCGGATCACAATGGTCAAAGCTAACCGAGTTGATGACCATAAACTTCGATAGATCGTATTTGTAGGGCACATAGTTGCCGTGCCAGGCAACCACATCGAAAACGCTGTGCTTTTGCTTTGCCACAAACAAGCTGCCCTGATATTTGGAAATTACATTAAATTCTTTAAGCAAAGAAAATTAAGTTTATTAATTGAACAATTGGTAAATGAGTAGAAAGCTTACCGCTCACATCTGCATTGTCAAACCAAGCCACTGGGGTCTCAAAGTCCCTGGGATTGGCCAGACCATTGGCGCCAATTGGACCCAGATCGGGCAAACAAAAATGTCCATCATAAACCTCTAGAATGTAGCCCCTGAAATGTTGTATAAGCGATTAGATATACAAAAAAAATAGCAAACAAAAAACAATATTAATAGAAAATTGATGGTCTTTTAAATAATATATTTAAGAATGCATGATAATAAAATAAAAATCAGATTTAGAAAATTGAATATATAAATAGAAATACATATACTAACCTGCTTGGTGCCTTAACCTTAACGGCAAACCGTATGCCCTGCGGAATGACACAGATCTCATTCGGTGCCACCGTCATGCGACCGAGCTCAGTTGTTATATCCAGAATGCCCTCTTGTGGCACTGTTAAAGGTATTTAATATTGTAAGAAATAAGATTGAATTGAAATTGAAATTGAACGATTGAATTCTATAGCAACACACCTATGAGAAAATCACCATCGCTATTATACAATGCCGAATCATTCATGGAGACGTTGCACAGGTATATGTGGACAGCTAATCCGTGGCGCACCCTTGCGTCGCCCGCACCACAAACCGTGTGAATTCCCTCCACAAAGGTAACTCCTTTGCCACTAGTTGCAGGCATATCAAATGGTTTCCAACGCATCTGAATAAAATAAAAAATAAATTAAAAACAAAAAATAATCCAGTTTAATGGTCAACAACCTGATTTGGATTTGGAGGCTGCTCATCCCAGTTTTGCGTCAAATACTTGGCATTGTTATACGGTTGAAACGGCATGTGAACCGCACTGGGCAGTTTCCTATATAGCCAGGTGCGTACATTTTCATTACGTGGCGCAGTAAAAGCCGAACCGGACAACTGTTCCGCGTACAAACCGTAGGGGCACTGCTGTGGCGAATTCTGTGCCACAGGCAACGAGTTGGGGCAGCGTTCGTCCTCTGACGAAAAATGGGAACCAAATCCCGACAGATACTGTAATTTGTAAGTCATTTGAAACTTTAAGATTATCGGATTGTAAATTAACTGAATTGATTGTATTTTATTATTATCTTTAATAGAAATGATTTCTTCTTTCCAATATTTAACGATCTTATTTTTATACCTTGTATTGAGGCATGTGTTGATTCTCTTTGCGAGGAATTGAATAAAAGACTAAAGTCGCCTGAGCTTTGATCGCTGCTATTTATATGATAAGTCACTTGATTCATACTCCGTATCATAGGTAGCTGGGGTATACTAGAACACTTTAAATGCCAAAATGATCCATTTTTACTGGTTGACAAACCCAAGCACCTTAACGATTACCGACTTATAATTAGAGATAGATAATAGTATGGGATTAGGGTATCATACAGTCACGACTCGCAATAATTTCGATATCTTGTTTTTAGCATATTTTGTAAACATGCCGTTGGAGAAACTAGTCGCTGCGATAAGCCGGTCCCCCCAGAGAGCTAATCGGCATGCATACACCTGCTCCTAGAAGTGAGCTTTGCATCTTTATCATTGCCACACTTCTCGATTGCTGTTGTTTTTCGTGTATATTCTGTGGAAACAAGATAACCATACCAAAAATGATTTGCATAGTAGTTCTTCTAGTTCTCGATTTACTCGAATGGATCACAACAAAATTGGAACCGGTATTTCTGTTTTACCGGTAAGCAAATGGGGGGGGGGGGGGGGGGGGCCAACAACAGGTGTTGTTGTTTGCCTAACACACATGATAAGAAAAGCATTCAAAATTGTATTTACTATTTAATATTGTAAACTAAATACCTAGTTTATAATATATATTTTATTGCGGCAAAGTCAATTCGAAATTATTACGTGTATTACAATTTATACGTATGTGTCTCTGTGTGTGTGTGTGTGTGTATGTGTGTTTGAGTGTGTGTTTGTCTGTATGTACTATGTTTTTAAAATACTTAAAGTACCTTTGTGCAGTAATTAAACCTAAAATAGTATAAATTATATGTTTAAGGACATCAAGCGCTTAAGAGACTTACAAAAATTCCATTTGCACCCAACAACAACGATTGGGGCTGCACGCGTATATGCATATGTATATATATTTATATATATATATATATATGTATATGTATTTATCTACATTCTGGTTATATTGTTGGTTTGTTGCACAACAATTTTTGCTTACAACGATCAGCGATGCAGTATGGATGTCAATAAGTATTTACGAGTTGTTGTTTGTTTCTTGTTCTTGTTCTTGTCACTGTTGGTTGCAAGTATAAAATTATATATTTAATTGGCATAAAAATAAATTGATTTTGTTTAGCATGCGCTTAAAAACAATTACGAAATGTAACGCTGGAAATACTGAATCCCGTCATCTAATTCTATTTCATTGTACATATACATTCTCCTGCAGCATTTGCCCATTTCACTCATAACCGGCGTATCGAGTTGGGAATTATGTTATGACTTTTGGGGAGATTCGCTTGAGATACACATGGATGTATGCTAGTTGAATGCTATGCTGCATTTGGGGCTAGAGTTGTAAATACTGATGAGGAAATACTGCATTCACTGGGACATAGTGCGCTTGGTAGGCTGTAACAACCCCCTGCGAATCGCCTTTCCTAATCATGAGATAGATTTAGCACATCATCGGCAATATTATTTTTCGGTATCTTCGCCGGTGGCGGTGCAGCCAAATCGGCAACGGAGGCAAACTCCATGCGCTTTTTGGGCAGTGCATTGCCGAGGAGGGCGCCAGGTGGCGCCAATTCGCTGTACAAGCGACTCAAGTCCGGTGACGGTCGACGGTGCGAGGATCCACTGCTGCCATCCGATGGTGCCGGCGATGGTGTGTTCGAGGGCACACTTGATATAGCCAGATCAACAGCACTAAAGTTGTACTTGCCGCCTGAATTCGAATTTCCTCCGCCGGTGGTGGTGCTGCTGCTGCTGATGGACTTGGTGGGCGTGAGCCGTTCGAGTGCCGGCGAAGCGGACGATTCACGGGTGCGTGCCGACGATGGCGTTGTTGACTTTGGCGGCTTCATCATCATGGCCGATAGTGATTCCTGCTGGATTTTAAACAGCGCCGATGGCGACATAAACATATTGTTAGCCGCTAACGTCGTCTTCGACAGTGGATCTGGAATGCCATATTTGCCGTGCTGCTGCTGAAAGAATGACGCATAATCTTGCATTTTCTCCTGCGCCAGCGCATTATAGTAAGCAGCCGAATTGGTCAATGTTGATGGCGATGGCATGCCCGTGGCAATTGTGCCCGCACCGGATCCGGCTGAGCTGCTGCTGCCCGATTTATTGTTGGCATTCCCAGTGGCAGCTGCCACAGCGGCAGCGCCAGATGGCGTTGCAAACAGTGCATCCAGATCGGCCGCTGCCTTATTCTGGCGATAAAGCAGAGCTTTTATCTCCGATTGCATGTCCTTCTGCTTCTGCTTGAGACTGACAGCGCCACCGCCGCCGCCACCAATAGCAGCAGCGGAGATGCCACCAGCTCCAGCGGCAAGCAATGCGGACAACTCATTGTGTGCACCACTCATGTGCATGCTGCCCGTCGAAGCCATCGCAGCGGCAAACTGATTGTTCGGATCGAAGAGCTTCGTATAGGTCTGCAGCAAGGCTGTGTAGTCCGCCTGGGCGGCAGCTGATTGCTGCTGCTGCTGTTGCTGCTGATGCTGCTGTTGTTGCTGTTGCTGCTGCTGTTGATGCTGTTGCTGATGCTGTTTCTTGGAGTTGCTGCTGCTGCTGCTGCTGGTGGAAACAGGCGGCGGTGGTATCGAGGCAGCCGCAACTGCAGCCATCTGTTGCTGTAGGAACGCGTTGAGGTTGAGGTCATTGCTCTGTTTGCTCTGCTGCTGCATATAGGAATCATAGCCCAGCAATTTGGATGCCTGTATTAAATTGTTATAGTCGGCACTGATTGCCGCAGCAGCTGCTGCTGCCGATGCTTGCGACGATGATGTGGCGGACGATGACGTTGATTTCGATGATTTGCTGCTTGTGGGATTGACAACAGTTGACGGAGTGCCCGTTAGATAACTCAAATCGGAGCCAAAGCCCAGAGTGCCCAAGGTGGTGGCACCCAATGCCTCCGCCTGCTGCAGCAACAGCGCTGCATACTCCGGCGATCGAATTAGTTCGCTCATTTTTAATGGATCATTCTTGAGCTCGTCCAGCTCCTTCATGAGCTTCGTTTTGTACGAATTTGAGGATGAGCTCGAGTTGGATGACGACGATGATGACGCCGATGATTTGGAGCGTTCCATCTTTGATTTGCTGCCGCTATTATTATTAGTGTTGCTGTTGTTGTTGCTATTATTATTATTATTGTTGTTGCTGTTGCCAATGTTGCTGTTGTTATTGCTGACCGATGGCAACGGCATGTTGAAGCTATTTGAATAGGCAGCTACTGCTGCGGCCACATTGGGATCGTTTAGATTGCCCAAAGCTGACGCATTGCTACTCTGCTTGGAGCCACCAACTTTGGCTGCCGCGGCAGCCAGTTGATTGAGCGATGAGCTGCCATAATCCTTGCGCTGCTGTTGGAAGAGCGCCGATAAGTCGGCCTGCAGAAAATTGGGCGGCAATTGTCCGGCCAGCTGAGCCAGGCTGGCCGCCATCAGATCATTGGCCGTGGGCAAGCAGGCAGCTGACGGCGGCACCAGCGGTGTGGCCAGCGTCTCATATTTATTGGGCGTTATGCTCGGGCTATTGCGCGCAATGTCGCTGACACTGAACTTGCCCGGACTCGGCGCTGGCGAATTGCGGGTGCGGGATGTGTGCGAAGAAGCATCCGATTTAGCCGGCGATGGCGATGCCCGCACGGGCAGCTCAAACTTAGCGGGACTGGCGGCATTCGATTGTAACTGTAGATTTGTTGGGCTGTCACGCGGCGACGCGGATTGTGCGACAGTTGCTGCAGCCACTGCTCCTGGAAGTGTACCACTGTTCAGTGTCATCGCTTGTGGTGGTAGTAGTTGACTGGCAGCAACTGCATTCAGTGGCATGGGTGGCGCCACGACATTCGAGGCCGCGGCTGGCGTGGTGTGATTCGTGGGATTTGGTGTGGCCAGCGGTGATAGCATGCGCACTGGATTCATATTGAGGCCCGAAGGCATGCAAAGCTGCTCCTGCAGCGACATTACTTTCAGCTCACTCGCCTTCTGTTCGGCTTGCAGGGAAGAGTCCTCCTCCGCTTTGTTGCGTGCGGCGACATCATCAACGGAATTTAATTGAATGCACTCGCCCATTGGCTCCTCCTTGGGCTGCTGCTCCAGTTTGATTTCGTTGAGCGTGTCGTTCTGCGAGTGCGTCTCCGTTTTAACAACAACTTCATTATCTGTGTCATTGTCAATGATCTTAATGGTTTTCGGTGGTATAAAATCATCCTCCTGCTCACAGTCCAGGACGGCACACAACCAATTCCACAACGCCTTGTCACTCTGCTTCGATGGGAATTTCGGATATAGCGTGTTCTTCAGTTTCTCGTTGTAGGTGACATCATTGCTGTAGATGTTCCGAAACTTGACAATCTCGCCCCGATACTGGGTGTAGTAATCGACGCAGGACTGAATTTCGGTGCGCACCTCTTCGGGTATCTCTTTATCGGGCAGCACCGAATATTGCATTAGCATCGGTCGTCCATATTCCATAGACTGTCTATTTTCATTTGGTGGCACTATCCATATGCACTTGACCACCGATTCCAAAGTGGGATTCTCCTCATAATAGGGTGCTACAATAAATGCAGAACAGTTTAATTAATGTGTAACAAAGCGCAGCAGCTCAAATCAAACTTACAAATGAGCAGTGAAACACATGGCGTATATGTGACATCACTGGCGCCGCGCATGCGAATTTGATAGTCAAGTTGGGCATCGCAGTCGCGAAGAGTGGGCTCAGCCTGGAATTTGGGATGCGAGTGATACCAGCCGACAAGCAGCACTTGATCCTGTACCATCATCTTCTGTATATCGCGCTCCACATCCGCGGCACGCTGTCGATCGAATCGTGTATTGCGACATGGATATGTTTTCGTAATTGTCAATGCTACAAAGTAAATATGCAGAAGTTTAGAAAGGCAATTGATAGATATGTGAAATTCTTAGGGCCGGACTCACTGTGCGTGTTCATGTCCCAAGTGCCACCCAGATAGCCGCACACCTCACGCACGGTCAAATGGCAATGAAAGTCGGCCAATAACAGAGCCGAGGACGTGATGGTCAATAGAAACGGTTGCAATTTACCAACAGATGAGAACGGCACGGCCTCGATCAGCATATTAGCATCACTGCAAAAAAAAGACACATTAATCAGATTCTCCAGTCACTCAACAAACACCCAATTAAAACTTACTGAATCATATTGCGATTGGCGACAGTGTTGTGCGGAAATACTGTACGCTTCACGACCAGATCTGGCGAATCGGTTTTTCGTTCGGCATCTATACAAAGTGAAAAAAATATTATGAACATGTCTCAGTTTGGCACCTTATTCGTTTGCATTGCACTACTTTTATTTATTTGCAATATGACTGTATTAAATAGGTTATTTTTCTGAACTGCCGCATATAAGTTAAAGCTATGCATGGCATTATATTATATATTACCTGGATCACCGTCCTCGGGTGTCGACTCTTTTTGTAATGCACACTTTCGCAAATAGGTATTTTTATAGGCATCCAGTTTTTTGCCCTTATACTTAACGGATGCCCAGCCGCAGCCACTTTTCTTTTCGGGATTAATGATCCGTTTGCAGTGCATGGCCCATGCACTTGGTGTTAGAAATATGGTTTCAGTCTCTTGAGATTTAATTTTACCATCTGGCAGTAAGTCGCCAACAAATTTTTGCCCTAAATAATCTATAGTCATAAGCGATTTGCCTGGCTGCAGGACATTGGCAGCCATGAGTGTTTGTAGCGTAACTGTGCGCCCAGTGCCATTAAATCCCTCGTAATTCTCCTTTGCCTGTTACCAAAAATTGAAAGGAAAAAATATATGATACATTAGCTTTTGGTTTGTAATACTTTTGCACTATATAGGGACAGTCACCTCATCATCATTCTCGTCATCGGGCACATCGCTGTCTACATCTTTTTCGCACAGACTGTCCTCCAAAATGGAAATGCGACATGGTGCCACATTTTCGGCTGGCGCTGTCTCTGCGTCCGCTTCTGCTTCGGCTTCTGCCTCAGCCGCGTCCGACACAGACAAATCGCGTTCCCCATCCGCATCGCCGTCGCTTACATCGTCATTTGTTGTTTGCGGCGGCAGAGGCGTCGCATCGCCCTCGGCTTCACCCTCGCCGTCTGTGCTGCTGCCCATTTGGTTTTCACGCGTTCCTAGTTGGTCGCCATCGGGCAATAAACCATTTTCCACACCGTTTTCCATGCGCCTTTTGTCTAGCGCTTTAAAAAAAAACCTATTAAAAAATCACAATTTGCCGCAGCAGCCGCAGAATTTATGTATGTATTCCACGACTTCGCTTCTTCTTCTTCGTGCCTCAAACGAATATTGTTGTTGGCCTGTTAACTAACATTTAATAAAATGTTATTAACAGCCCGTACCGATTATTTGCATCGCTTTGCTTAAATTAAATAAATGGTTAAGTTAATCGTTATAGAATCATCTCAGTTCAACAGGATTAAAATCATTCTAACTGCCAAGAACAACAAAAACACCAAGTTTGCTTAAAATTTGAGAAATTATAAATATAACAGGTGCTACACTTATTTTAACATAGCCATTCCAAACACAGCTGTTTTTAGCGTTCATCGATAAAATAATTTGAGGAAATTAGGATAAATTTTTTATCGGCTAAGCATCTTGCTCTCTGCGAACATGTTATGTTTCTCACCAAAATTGAGAAAATTAGTCAAATAAACTCAGTCCAGTGCTTAACGCCAACATGTAAACGTCTGTGAATAAATAAACATCTTTAGTGATGTTGCCAATAACGCGTGCGACACTTGAACATTTTTGCAGAGTGTGTTTGCAGAATTTAGATAAATGCAATAGCACAAAAGACCTGAAATATGACTTAAAAGATGAACCGCAATTTTTACGCATTCTGGAGGCAATGGCAGATGACGGTCCACAAACGATAAGAACTGTTACAAATTTGGCAATGCCAACCCGCTTGTGCCATTCCTGTTACACAAAACTTAGCATGTTCTGCAAATTTGCAGAGATGTCCATCTGCACAAGTGTTGCACTGAATGAATTGGCTGTCGAGCAGAAAGAATTAACAGACAGTGCCAAATTTCAAATGATTTGTGCAACATGTTTTACGTTTAAGTCGGACCATAATGTTGTACCGATTGATAATGCACATGTTGCACACAATTTGTTGCGCTTAATATTTACAGGAATTGACAAAAGAAAAGTTAAGAACGGAAATAACATTTGCAAGCCTTGCTCTCAAAAATGTCGAGTTTTTCAGGAATTTCAAAGCACATTACAAGAAAGCCAAAAATATCTGGAATCCACCATATTGTCAAAAACAAACGATTTAACGAGATGTGTTGGGAGCAATAAAATATACAATCAAGTAATTATAAATTTAGAATATATATATTTTCTACAAATAAATGAATACATTTTCTTAGAAAGAGCAGAGCAAAATAAATCCGATTGACTCGGCCAGTGAGAGGAGTGGTGATCCCTTCGACTCAATGGACGGAATTCCACTCACTGAGAGCAGCTCAAAATCTTCAAATCAGCTTTGCTGCTCAGCTTGCCACAAGGAGTACAAATCAGAAGCCCAGCTGCGTGTGCACACGAGACGTGTGCATTGCAAGGCGGAGAACAAGTGTCCATATTGCCAAAGGGCGTTCAAGCGGAAACATCACTTAACGGATCATGTGAGATTGGTGCACGAAGGCGTTCGGGCACACAAATGTGAGTTTTGTGAACGCTCATTTGGATTGGCCCGAACGTTACGCATCCATCTGATGGGTCACACAAATGAGCGTCCGTTTATGTGCACCATTTGTGAGAAGACATTCCGCCAGAAGACTGATCTCAGGATTCACATTGATGACCACGCAGCGGTACCGCAGTTTCGATGTCCAATTTGCTCGCATGGCAAAGCCAGCCAAGAAGATCTGGACGCCCATTTGGCGCGACACAACAACAAGGATGGATTCCAGTGCAGCACGTGTGGCAGGAAATTTAAAAAGCTATGCCATCTAAAAGATCACAACAATGCGGTCCATCTGAAATTGCGTCCATTTAAATGCAGCCAGGATGGTTGCGAAAAGGCATTCGCCGCTCGTCGCACTCTGCAAATACATCTGCAATCACATGCGGGCATTTCTCCGTACAATTGCAATATTTGTGGCAAGCGATTTTCTAGTAAGGCAAATGTTTTGCGTCATTCTCTCTCCCACAGTGAGACGGTTGTCAAAGCCGAGGATACTTGAAACTGTCTTGGAATAAATCTCTGTTCCACTTAGTTTAATAATTCAAATTTGTGCCTTCAATAAAATACAATTCTTTATTGGCAAATCAAATTTAATTTTTTAAATCAACTTATTCGATTGCGATTACCCGCCATTCGGCAAGCAAAAATACTGCATGCAGTGTATATCGATTAATATGGACTATCGATTGTTTTGCAGCAAAAAAAGCGCGCATTGCTTCAGGGAAGCTGGCATATTTTTGTATATTTTACTATAATTGTTTTGCATGGTGAAGAAGTAAGCTTTCATGGCACTCTGGGTTGACAAATATCGGCCCCGTGAATTATCCAAATTGGATTATCACAAGGTAAGTATTAATTTTTTGCATTCATTGTGAAAGCAACGAATACAACTGCAAAATTTGTGTAATTAGGATCAGGCCGAGAATCTGCGTAATCTATGCAAGCAAAGCGATTTCCCACATCTGATGTTCTACGGACCATCTGGCGCTGGTAAAAAGACGCGCATAATGTGCCTGCTGCGTGAAATGTACGGTGCCGGCGTGGAGAGGCTTCGCAACGAGACGATGAACTTCACAACGCCATCGAATCGAAAGATAGAGGTGATGACTGTCGGCAGCAATTACCACTTGGAGGTGAATCCCTCGGATGCTGGCATGTACGATCGCACCGTTGTCATCGACCTGATCAAACAGGTGGCGCAAACGCAACAAATTGATATTAACGGTCAGCGGGAATTCAAGGTGATTGTCATTTCGGAGGGGGATGAACTGACTAAGGACGCCCAGCATGCGCTGCGCCGCACCATGGAGAAGTACGTTGCCACATGTCGCATAATACTCTCAGTCAATTCCACATCCCGTATCATTCCGGCTATCCGATCGCGTTGCTTGGGCATTCGGGTGCCAGCGCCCAGCGAGTCCGACATGGCGGCTGTTCTGCAAAACACATGCAAGCGAGAGGGTCTCGTCCTGCCGCCCGAGTTGGCCAAGCGGGTGGTGGACAAATCCGAACGGAACATGCGACGAGCCCTACTGATGCTGGAGGCATCCAAAGTGCAGCAATATCCGTTCACGGCGCAGCAGGAGATCGTCGAGCTGGACTGGCAGGTGTATCTGCGTGAAACTGCCACGCAAATTGTGAGCGAACAAACACCCGCAAAGCTGGAGAAGATCCGCGATCGCTTATACGAGCTACTATCGCAGGGTGTACCGCCAAATCTCATTTTTCGCGGCCTCGTCGAGCAGCTGGTCAACAACTGTGATATGTCCATTAAGGCAAAGACTCTGGAGTTTGCCACACAATACGAGCATCGCATGCAAAACGGTGCCAAGCATATATTCCATTTAGAGGCATTTGTGGCCCAATTTATGAATATTTACAAGAAGTTTTTGGCCGAACTGGTAATGACAGATGATTTTTAGCTGCTCTTACATTGATAAAAATATATTAGTTTATTTGTTTTTTTAATGAGCCTACACAATAATAAATGAAAAGCGCCTAATCGAACTGTTGTTGCTGTTGTTGTTTGTTTTCCCTTTCCTTGAGTATGGCTAATTTCATTTTGTCCTCTGTTGTGCGCTGCACAGTCTCAACGTATCTTGCGACTTCGTCCTCCAGCTTGATACGCATCTGCAAAAGGGTGAAATGCATTAGGACGACAAACAATAGATAAGGTGACATCTACATTACCATTTCGTATTCAGTGTGCTTGACACCATTGACTTTCAGGCCATGCAACAGCAGATCAATTGTATGGACGGGAAATGCGAGTTGTGGACTTGCAACATTCACCGAATGCTTGAAATCAAAGTATTCACTGCCTGCGCCCAGCATGCCGCCAATCATTTCACATGCCAAATCGGCGGCATCGAGCAAATGGTTGTGCTTAACATAGAGATGGAGCAGCTCCCGTGTGTTGGCCAATTTGTAGGAATTGTGCAACCATTGTGGCACAGTTGCACTCAATGTTAGTATTCGGTTAACAACGCTCTTGCGTATTGAAGTTGTTTCATTGAGCTCATGGTCAACAATCAACTTCTGCAGCAATGACCAAGCCATGTGCGCTGCATTGTTGCGATGTGGAAGATCTACAATAGATGGCAAACAAGTGAAAATAAAATAGACCGAGAAAAACAACTAGCATGTGTTGTTATCCTACCTGCCAAATCATTGATTTGCAGCCAAGCCCAAGCATCCTTAGATTTCTCCTCTGTGATGCTTACGCATGCAGCTGTCAGGCTTTCAAATATTGGCAGCATAGAGAAATTATTTCCGCGAGCAAGCTTTAGTGCCGCTGTATACAGGCCGCAGGTGGCCAAAAGGTAGGAAAGTTCTTTAGCATCTGTCAGCTTATAGGCACTTATATCTTTGCGATGGTGAGACAGTTCCCTCAGCGCCTCTGCGTGCAGCAGTTCACGTCGTATATCGACTAGTTCGAGTACAACGACTTCTTGGCTAGTAAGTTCATCCGCTTGATCCTCCTGGTCGATGACAATTTTCTCGTCACCAATTGTGGGCTTTGCAATCCATCTATATCGCTCATCGACCAAATACAAGCAATTAACGCAAACCAGCAGTGAGTTGAAGCGCTTCTGCAGAGCATCGGGCGATTCGCTGTCTACCTGGAGGCGCATCGCTTGTTCGTACATAACAGTGGCAGCTGTTGGAGGACGAAAAATTCGTATAAATTGCAATTTATTAGATACAAAAATTAAAAACAAAACTTCACCTTTGCGCATATTTCCTTTTTTGGCATTGAATGCATACAGAAAATTATAGACTTCATTCTGATCGATGCTCAGGGAACGAGCGCGACATTCCACAATGCTCTCGAACTCGTCTTGCAAGTTATTTTCATACGGCGGCTCCATGAGCAGATCGAATCGATTGCACTGAAACAACATTATGACCAATTGACGCAGGCAATCCTTGCGTCGCGACGTATCAGCATTATTGGCCAGAGCGTGATAGGCTTCCTCATAATGGCCCAGTTGCAAATGATTGTTAAATACTATCGATTGAAACATGGGCAACTGTGGGTCCTCGACATCCAGTTTGCTCATTGCACTTTCAGCCAATTGAATGATATAATCCGATGCCGAATTCTGCTCGAATAATTGTATAACTTTCAGATAATAATGCACAAAAGCATTTTTGGCATCCTCTTCTGTTGGCTTACTGTCCGGCTGGTTAAAAATGCTTGCAAGCTTAGAATAGAGCGGTGTGTTTTTCAGCACTTGCTCAAATAAAAATGGTTCCTTTAGCACGCTGTCGGCAACTTGTTTAAAGAGATGAATCGCTTTTATCGGTTCCCCACAATCCAGTTGAGAAACGGCCAACATAAATCGGCCTGCAATTAACAAGAAATAAATGTTTACTACCATATACGAATTGATGTTAATATATTTAAAGCAAAACACATACGTGAATCAGTTTTCTCGGTGCACCAGCCAGACAATAGGCGCACATAGTCCTGAATAATAATGTGATGGCAAGTTCCAAAAAGCCACTCAGGGAATACATCATTCCAAGCATCGGGCCAACTGCAAAATGTTCCCCAATATATGTTTATACCAAGACCAAAATACATTCAACTTACAGCATCTGATTGACAAATCCAACCAGCTGTAGCAGCGTCTGTCGCATTGATAATTGATCCTCCAACTGATTCTGATCCTTTAGCAGCATTGAAAGAGCACTAAACAAACCCTTTGATTGCAGAAACAAGCACAGCAAAGTTGTCTGACTATTTAAACGCATTTGACTTGAATAAGGTCGCGTATAACCACTAAAGAGTTGTGCTCGAAACAGACGCTGTATTGAGACCTCACTGCAAATGCAAAGTAATATATCAGAATTAAATTTAAATACAGGATACGAAAGGGAAATCAATATGATATACTTACAAATTAACTGGCGCATTGAGGGAAATCGGTGTTTCACAGATCCACACGAGTGTATAATAGGAGTTCAAGAAATTAATATTGGTAACGACTGAGTACTGCTCAGCCGCAGCTGATCGATGGATTATGTATTGTAAAATTAAAAGATTGCGGCACACAGCAAAGCTGAAAATGTTACCAATTAGTAGAGGAGCATTAAATTGTGTAGTAAGATTAAGATTATTCACCGTATCATTGCCATTTGCTTGACTGACTCGGCTAGAATGGAAATGCCATATTCGCTGCCAAACAATGCTCCAGTTGATTGCAGAAAGCGCGTCGACTTTGTAGGGCCACCTAAATACAAATCAATTGTCATTAAGCAATCTAATAAATGTATTTGCGTTTGTGATAATATATATTATATATATACCTGTGGGATCTTGATCTGCGTCTTGGTCTACAATTGCAAGGAAATCGAGTAGCATATTTATGGCCGCATCAAGGTCTACTATTGTCCTTAGCTTTCTCTGGATATCAATCACACATTGGCTTGACAACGTAAATCCATTAGCGTCTTCATCGCCTCCGGTGATTCGCATTAGCAGTTTGTTAATCAGGCTTGTATCCCGCTGGTACAATTTCTGATCAATATTCATTTTAATATGTCCGGGTAGAAACTTTTCCAACTGACTGATGATGGTCATTACGTCAATGAATCCCACAGCCATATTGGAGTCATTGCGGCAAAAAGGTGCAACAAATGCAGCCACTTGTTCTTCGTGCTCACCGAGAATCATAAGGTGTTCCAGCATTTCACATGGCCGAAGCAAAGCAAATGATTGTCTCCTCACAATGCAAACAGCATTCATGTCGCCGAGAACGGCCAGGCCCGTGGGCTCAGAGAACTTAATATGATACTGCTCACAGCAAGAGTAGAAGCGTTCCCAGAGTTTGTTTGCAATCTCTAAATACTCCTCGTCGCTCACATCGAAGTCTTTCAACTCATTTTGTATCTCATCTTCGACAGCCTGACACACCTGCTCCTTAAGCATGGCCATTGTCAGTTGCTTCACATCGAATTGCATGTTGACGCGTCTGAACATCTGCAGAAGCAAAATTCGTAATTAGAAATAATCACAGTTACAACCAAGACAACTTACATAAAGTGCCTTGGCAATCACATTACGATCAAATCGGCCGGGATGAAATATATAGGAGCAGTGCGCCTCGCGTGGATCGACACCCTGTTCAATGGTCAAGCAATACCTGTCCGGTGGTGGCTCCAATGCAGCCGATACCCAATGAATATTCGTGGTGCCCATGAAAAACGCCGACACATTGAAATCACCCTCTGAATTGCTCCACAGCGTCCAAATGAGTGAGGACGTTGCATCGAAATCAGCCAGATCCATTTGAGGAGCAGTAACCTTATGATGCACGGTCATGCTTATAGTTTTTGTGTTCACATCGCTTACATTGCGTGCAATGCTAAGGCAGACGAATTCAGCGTCCTTTTCATGCGACAAAAATACACAAAAATTGTGATCATCTATTTTACGCAGTAAACTATTTTGCGCTAAAAAAAGAAAAAACAAATAAAAAGATATAACGCATTAATGCAAATATATACATAGAAATAAATCTAAAAGTTGTACTTACGACCCTGAGGTCCTTCAGATTCTTCACAGCTAAGTAGGGCAACGCATTGAAAATTGGCCACTGACCACAACCGTAGCTTATTATCCCGGTAGAGCACCAGGAGATACATCTCGCCCTCGATGCGACTGAATGCCATGGAAATGGCTGCCTCCAAGTTTTCACCTCGTCCACTGAAATTGCATTTGGGAAACGCTTATATACATATATTATATTTTATTTGTAATTGACTTACGTTATAGCGCCTTTTAAGTTGGATAAGAAACGTGGCATTAAATTGGGCTCCTTCACCTCATGCGAAATCGTATGTCCAGTGCGACAGTTCATAATGTAAAGCATTAGTTTTGAATGGTTGTCGACCGCAAAATATGCCTCCTCGCTATCTTCACACATCTCGGAAGATGCGAGATGCGGCACACTTATTGCCATGGTCCCATCCAGCACATACAACATGCTGCGATCCTTCAGTTTTTCATTCGCATCGTAAAATATTGAATGTGTTTGCGAATCGCCTCCTGCTGTTGCGCTTAATGATGGATCGCCTCGTAATGGGAACAGAATTCGATGCACGCTGCTAACTGTGACCACTAACAATGTGACGCTATTTGCCTGCTCGGACAGCGAGACATTTAGCACGGCGGAGTCCGTAAAGCGTAGACGCAGATGGTTTCGCAGCAATGTAATATCCAGGCTAACCTCTGACAGCTCCAAGACATCTTGATATGTACGCCTTATGTACAACAATTGCAATGTAAATGTGAATCGCCGACACAATTTGTCTTCAATTTGCTTACCAGTAAATGAAACGATTCCTGTTTTGGCTGTTTGCGTGACAATCGTAGCACAGGCTTCCTGACTTTCCGAATGTCTTTATGTCCTGCAACGTACTTTGTGTGCCTGTCCAGAAATGCAAGTGAAAACATTATGACGAAGACGCTTGCAAACACTTCTCTCAGCTCAAGGCACACAACAAACCTGTATTTATTTCGACTTCTATCCATTCCTCTGGATTCATGTTTTTCGGTATGACTTCTCTATAACTCATATTTGTGTGGCTGTTCATCTTGAATTATAGTTTAAATCAAAATTATCCTTAAAAAAAACACATATACGGACACCGGCAAAAAAAACACGCGCGTCCTATCGGTTGTCGATTACTATGATTAGTGATGGTGCTACCTTTCCAACAGCTAGAGTCGATATTTTAATAGTAAGTTATTATTTAAGAATTGCCTAAAAACAGTTTAAATATTATCTTGATTTATAAAACTGCGCACTATTGTATTAAATTATTCTTTCTTTCTCTTGAGCATATACTTTTCTTACCAACAGTATATTGAAACCTATTCGATATATTATTCAGATAATATAAATCGACAAATTGACAGCAGGCCTATTTTTGTTTATAACTCTCGGCTGATCATTTAAATTCAGTTCTTCTGCTGATCTAAGATCTGAAACTACCTTTAATAACTAAATATATTTTAATCGATTTTCATTAAATCGCACAAATAGTATACATTAAATTTATTTTATAGAAAGCAACGGTCAAATTTTCAATTAAACAGCTGTCCACTGTTAATAACATTTCATCAATCTGTTAAGATCTAGACGCCAAAGCCATGTGCCTGTTGTTGTTTTTATTTATATGAACAAAAGTCATCAATCAACATTGTGCGATTTAAAAAATTCAAATATGACTGACAAGAATACACCTGCAGCAGATATGTCTCCCAATGAGGAGGATTTATTAATCTGCCTACCTGGTGAACGCTTGTGCCGCGTAGAGGATAATGTTATAGTTGGTGAGGGAACCTACGAGCAGGGCGGCTACATTTATGCCTGCAAATCAGGAATAGTCAACATCGATGACTCTACGGAAAAGGTGAGTATGCCTATAAATAATAATGCGGTACTCATGTACTTACAACCGATTTCCATTTTAGTGCCAAATTGTAAGTGTTCACAAGCCGGGCTTCCATTTGACCATTCCGGCAACGGGAGATGTTGTCACGGCACGCGTTCTTGTGACGACACCTAAATTTGCAAAGTGTGCGATATTTTGCGTTAGGAACGTGCTGCTCGAGAGCAGCTATCGTGGCCTGCTGCGTAAGGAGGATGTGCGCGAAACGGAAAAGGATCGAGTGGACATCTACAAGTCATTCAAGCCTGGCGATATCATACTGGCACGCGTCATCAATCAAATGGAACAATCCTTCACGTTGAGCACAGCTGAAGCAGAGCTCGGTGTTGTGGTTTCTTATGCGAGTGATATACGGAAACACCGCATACCCATGGTGCCCATTGGTTGGGGCGAGATGCAGTGTCCCCAGACAACGATAAAGGAGCCCAGAAAGGTAGCAAAGGTTCTACCCGAAAGTTTAATCAAAATTGAACCATAAATATAATTCTAAATAACTTTGCCCTGAATATTCGAACTTGTTTTTTAATGAGTCTCGTTTCTTGAGTATGGCTATAATTCATAATTTGTTAGCCATAATAAATAGTCCGGTTCGTGCAGAACATTAAGTAAACATTAGTCAGTTGTCAATTTGGTGGCAAAACCAATAACAATAACAATGAAATTATGCTGCCAACAAACAAATCGGATCGCGTGCGCAAGAATTCAACAAAGGAGTTGTAACTAATTCAATTCATGTTGCAAATAAGTAGGTTCGAGGGTCAATGACTAAGTTGATGCTACAAATAACTTGGCATTAGTCGAGTTACAGGTGTGCGCAACAAAAAAAGAGGCTTGCGTGAGTGGACTCAGCACTTGCAGGACTCCTCCCCACCACCAATATGTCCAATATACACGGGGGATGGATAGCCAATCATTGTTTGATCGATAAGCAACGAAACTCGTTTGCCGGTTAATATTCAAATCGAAATAAATAAAAACAAATATGATATTTAAATGAACTCTGTGTGGCAGTAGACACTGTCTCAACAATCCGAAATCAAATGCTCGACAAGTGCTCATTCACAAAATAGCTACAACGACAACTAGTAGTAGCTGATAATTATAATAATAATGGTGCAGATTTCGCAGACCGAGGAGGATATCAAAATTTCAATTGAGCTTAATAGGCTGGTCACGCGTAAACCGGATGTTGTCCTGCTGCCACAGTATTTGAAATTTAATAATCCACCGATATTCTTTGAGCGGCATCTTGCCCAGGAGATTGATGAGATGGCCAGTTTCTGTCGCATTTTCAAGCATGAGGCACGCATTGTGCTGATCAAAAAGCAGCCAGGCATCTGGCCGGAGTTGTTCCAGAAGCTCAACAGAGAGGCGCTAATGCAAAAGCGACTCGAGATTGCCGATCTGATTGTGGAACGCAATAAGAAACGTGATGAAATGGCTTTGGAGCGTTATGAGAACAAGCGCCGCACTGAAATCGAGAAGGAAGTCAAGCGTGAAGGCGACATGAAAGATCGCGTCAAAAAGTTTCAGGAAGCCTCTTGCCAGGAGGCACTTATGGTAGGAGTGCGTAAAGAGACCCACGCCAAGCCACATAGCAACAGCAACAATGACATCAAAAGCACCAATAAACAGGAAAAGCAACAGCAGTCGGCAACGGACTACAGACAGGCCACTCCGGTGGTGCGTTATCAACCACCGTCGGCAATGTCAGCGGTGCGTGGCAATGGACGCATTAATGTGTCCTTCTCGGGCCAACATAAGATGGAAACGCCGAAGCGTGAATCTCAGGCGGGCATTCAAATGCCATTTACCATACAAGATCGATTAAATGGCAAACCGCCGACCATAGAAAAGACACCAATGGAGACGCTCGATGAGTGAAAGTGTGAAAATATTTTAGGGGCAGAGGATGAGTGGAAGGGTGTAACAATTATTTAATAAAACATAAGCTCAAATCCGCTCGCATTTGTATGATTCAATTGGAATAGTTTTATTTTAAATAAGATAAAATATACAACAATTATTAAATATGCATTATATCCATTATATATTTAATAAGCTTTTCAAATAAAAAATAATACACGGTATTGTTACTATTAATGTACATACCGTAGCGAGTACATGTTTAGCAATGTTTAGAAATTCCAGTTAAGATTATGATTTATTTAGAATATATATGTATATATATATAGTACTTGCATATTTATGTATGTAAGTTATACGGTATATACTTTAGATATTGCGGTTCCATAGCGTGTGTAAAATGCTTTCGACTTTCTTTCTTTGAAATATTTGTTTTTCTTTTTACGTACTTATGTATGTTTTTCTCTATTTACAATCTTCTAACCTAATGCTTGCTCTTTACGTATTTAATATGCCTTTTTTGCTATCATTGTTAATGATCATTTTGAATTCGAGTTTATAATTGATTATTTAATATCGGTTTAATATCGAAAAAGCAAGTCAATATCTACATATGAATGTATGTTTTTTTTTTCTTTTTGTTTTGTATTTTATTTTAGTTTCTGTTTTGCGCCCATACCACTAAATCCTTGACATGGGTAGCGCTCCAAAGCAAACTGAAGACAAGAGTTAGCAATTTGCATTCTTATTTGCATTCTGTATCAACGAGACGAGTATTTATTCCCTCACGAGGCCTTAGGCTTAGCCATGCTACGAATATGAATATATGAATACATATACATATACATATGTAATTGGAAATCATATATGATTTCATTAGCGATTACATATACATTATTAGCCATAATTACTCTTGGTATGCGCATATGCGGGTTAATACATATATATACAATTCGATTAATATTTTGATTTAAGGTTTAGTGTGTAGTATGTAGATATTTATCGGGTATAGGGATACTCTTATAAAGTATGGTAAAAAAAAAGCTTTGGCGCTTTGTCGTAATCCCAACTGCCTGTCTATGCTGGGAGCCCAACCCCTGCATCAAATTATTTTCTTTGGAATTACTTTTTCTTTTTGTTTTTCGTAATTTTATCCAGCTTAACCGAAGCCATCAGAGATCAAGCGGAGGTTTCGTTCGGTTCCATCCAACCCTCGCTGTCATCTTCACTATCGGAGTCCTCCGACTCCGACAGCTCGATGGCCACTCGCCTGGCCAATATTGAGGCCACATCCAGCATTGCCGTATTACGTTCAATTTCCTTTAGCTCCGACTTTTCCACCTTTCGCAGTATAATGCCTGTAATCGAAAATTGTTTCGTTTTATATGGGGGGTTACTTTAAAATTGTCTTTGACATTTACTAACCATCTCGTATGGATTTCATCAAATCGTTGCGTGGATCATAAATTGGAGGCTGTATCTTTTTAGCACTCACAAGGTGCGCTCCACCATTTGGCTGGCACAGCTGCAGCTCCCCATTGGTCATTGCCTTGGGCAGAATTTGGTGTGGATGCGACTGCATTTGGACAGCGCCCATGCCATCTTCAACCGGTGGTGGAGGTGGTGGCGGCGGTGGCGCTACATTAGGCGGCGACATTTTTGGTGAGTGCTGAAAAAAAGCAAAACAATTAATATAAATTAAATGTGAATAATTTTATGATTATTATTGATATAGAAATTGCCGTACCTGGTCGGGCACGGGCGGCGGTGGTGGCAAATCGCTAAGCGAGTTCAACTGATTGCTATTCACAATGCCCATGTTGTTGAAAGTGTTGTTCAGCTGGGCCAGCACCATGTCGTTGGCATTCTGTGCACTGTTGCTCGGCGCCATCTGCGGAGAACCAGCTCGCGATGTGCTGTTGGTGCGGCCCAGCAGCTTGGCCGCCATGTGGGCACTGGCCATGCCGTTCATGGCCGACAATGGCGACACCGCATCCGGCACGGGCGGTGGCGGTGGCAAAGCATCCCGACTCGTCGACATGCTTCGACCGCGTGTCGGTGTATTTGCGTTCGATGTGGTCGGTGTGCCACCACCGCTGCCATTTGATGGAGGCGCCGGTGGCGGCTGCGATGGTCGCGGCTTATTGCGCGACGGAGTTCCCGGCCCATAAATCTGTTCCGGCGACATTGCGCCCTGTCCGCCCTGGCCGTAGATCCCATGCGATTGGTGATAGAGCGTGCCGTCGTAAAGTTGCTGCTGCTGCTGCTGATGATGATGTTGCTGCTGTAGATGCATATGCGGCGAGGCCGAGATGCCGTTGGTGCCGTATGCGGCTGCATATTGATTGGCCGCTGCCTGTGGTGTGAGTTGCTCATAGCCGGTGCCATCGATCTGCTCGGACTGGTAGCTGCGCCGCAGCTCAATTGAATTTGGTCGCGGTGGGCGCGAATCGTATATGCCCATATCTATAAATATGCACAGAACTCACATTAATATCCTCATTACTCATTTGATACGATTGTAGTACACAAAAATAAAGAAACTCCAATTGGAAACAAATAGAAATCCAAAGTAGGTAAAAAGGATACACACAAATATGCAAAACAGGAAAAACAATTGTTTGCAAGCCAAAAAAAAAAATAAACAAAAAACAGATTTATATTTATATTTTTGTAGAGCTGAGAAAAAAATGCGACGAAATAAATAAATAAATATAAATAGTATGTAAATATTTTGAACGATTATTGCGAAGGGTCACGGAAAGTGCGTCGTGTGGCATAACAAAGTAAGACTTATGAGCAAGGCTGGAAATTGCTGGCCAAGGCGCGAGAAGCTTTTTATTGCATTTTGCACTACTACATATGTTATGATTAAAATTTAAAAAACGAAATGACGTATTTTCAAAATGCACTCCTCTATTAGTCGGTGATAGTGTGTGTTTTGTGCTCGTGATATGTTAACTATTGCAGCTCCCACTCTTTCTCTGCCCCTCAGCTCACTCTCTCTTAGTCCTACCGTTTCCTAGCTCTCCCAATCTCTGTTTAATCTTCTTACTCTCAGAAACTTAGTCAATCCCTTTCTCTCCCAGTCATTCTCACATCTTAGCATATGGTCTCCCAGTTTGATTCTTTCGATCTTTGCCAGAGATACTTTCTCTCTCAGCAAGACTCGTTCTGTCTCTATCAGAAGCACTCTTTTTCTCTCTCTCTATTTTTATCAGGTTAATTTCCTTTCTCTCTTATCTTGCACCCACTCTAATGTAATTTATCTCTACATTATCTTAGCTCTCTAACGAAAGATTCATCAGCAATATACTTATATTCCAGATAATAAGTACAATATGCAAAGTGTACGCTAAGGAAAGCAATTTCAGGCCCCGTCTTATGAGTCTTACGAGTTATGATAGTGTAATATTTGCCAAAAAGAGGATTACAAATACCGGCGAACTTCTATCAACAGCTGTTTGCCAGATAAGTTTTATATAGATAGTAGTAGTAGTAGTAGGAAAACAAAAGCTGTTTAGGTAAACATTGTGTGGGATCAGAGCGAATACTAATGCGACGGGAGTGTCATTGATATGGGGTGTTATTTTTGATGTAAAAATTTATAAATTCCAATTGGTTGCCAATTTGTGAGTACTATTATTAAGTAATTACCATAAACTACTTAGTGACAGTAAAATCAATAATTTTTCTTTTAATTTTCTGATTGTTCCGAATTTAAACAACAACAAAAAACAAAAATAATTGTTTTCATTGTTGTGCGATATTTTCTATCATATATATCATCTGAACCTAAATCAACAGAGGCGTTATAGTTAATTACACATAGGTGTGTATAGATGGGTAGATAGGTACATATACATATACATATATATATATATATATATATTGATTGTATTATATTGTAGGTGGGAGGGGGGAGCGACTAAAGTGGCAAGTTATAGTTGTAGTTGTTGTAATAGTAGTAATAGTAGTAGTAGTAGTTGTAGTAGTAGTAGTAGTAAGTACGATAGAAGTAGATGAAGGAACATTTACACACATACAGACACAATTGACCGTGTGTGTGTGTGTTTGCATTTAATCTGTAAATCTGACCTGTAATAGCGATAGCCGTTTGCTTTGTGAGATTACTGTTATTCTCCAAATGTGAGAGCATATTATAGGGCTTAACTGAATCTGGAAATGGAGATGATCATGCGGTGTTCGTTTAAGCTACTTGAAATTGAAATTGAATATGTAGAGTATACACAAAAAATATAGTTATTACAACAAATAACAACAACAAACAAAAGCTATAAACAAAACTAACCAACACACACAACAATGACATATCTGAATTCTCGTTGGTTCCCAATGAATCGTTTTCAACAATTAAAAAAACTTATTAGCCCATATATATATATATATAGATGTATATATATATATATACATATATGTAGTTTATGTCGTCAATGTGCCAACTGTACATACAATAATATTTCAACTGCTGCGCTTAGTATTATCGCATGGGAAACATATAGATTGTTGAAGGATTCGAATTGAAAGCAGCAGCTGAGGCTTGCCATATTGATGAGCTGTGCTCAATTTCAAAGTAAAAAATATTAGTTTAAGCATGTAACTGGGTATATATGTATGTATATAGTATGATGTGATCGAGAAGAGCTATGTACATATGTGCGGAGCATATGTATGCACTATATTATATAGGATTGTACAAATGAAATGAATCATATTCGATTGGCGAGCGGGCGCTTTGCAAAGCTAGCGAGCGAGCGAGCGATTGTAGGATATTCAAATTACATGAAACTCTTTGGGTAACACTAATTTCGATAAACATTTTTCAACTTTTGAATGAGAACTAAAACGAAAGCCAAGAAGTGCGCACAGTCCTTGAACGCCAGACGAGGCTGCAAAGCACTGATGCCGTACCTACTTGCACATCAACATCATTATTATCTTCATCATCATCATCATCATCGATATACGCCAGCTGATGCTGTTGTTCTTGTTGCTGTTGTTGCTGCTGCTGTTGCTGTAGCTCTAGTTGCAGTTCAACGGGTCTTCGACGCGCCAAAGTCCCCAGCTGCAAATCGCTGTCAGCGTTTACAGTTTGGATTTCGACTAGCTGGGCTAAATGTGCATACGGATTGTACATAACATACATAATACATGGGCGTTAAAAACAGTGTCCAACAGCATTCAATGTGACAACATTCTGAATGTTACTCTGAATGTTGTTCGAGCAAAGCACTTTCAAAATTATTACACTACTAAATACGTATTTTTTTCTGCTCCATTTGAGATAGCGGATAACCGATTGGTGCACATTTATAATTGGGGGTGTGCTACAGAATTTTTCAGGAAATTAGGCGCTGCAAATTTCAGCTGTTTGTTGACAAAGCCAAATCACAAAAGTCATTTAATATTTCTTTCTCTAATAACAGGTGTTTTTTTTTCCCACAAATCTCTAGTCAATATTCTAGCAACATAACGAGTTTCTGTGATACCGATTTGATGGAATTGAGTTGCAATTTGGTTGAAAGAAATTTCTAAAGAGCTTAAAACTTGAGTTTGACATTGCATTAAACAGTTGTGCAAAACATCTTACTAACATTTGAATGCTGACAAAAGCTATTTGAGTTTCAGGTACTTAGTCAATAAGCTTGTATGGCCAATAGGTGTTCAATTTGATTACACTCGATTTGTTTCCAATAGAAACATTTTTTCCTTGAAGTTGTACACACAAAATAGTTGACATACTAATGATATCATCACAACCAATTTGACACATACACAGACACTTACAGCACATTATAAAATGCCTTACTAGTTCTAAAAGTCTAGTTAAGATAAAGGGCACTCAGTCCGTCTGTCTACTTACTGTCATATCCGGCCTCTTCATTGGGCATTGCATTGGGCGTGCGATAGATGACGTTGTTGGGCATCAGAGTCTCGCCGTGTCCCAGAGCTTTCTGTCGCTGCTGTTCACGTGTATTGTGGGGTGTACGGACGCGTTTCTTGTGTCGATTGTTGGGACCGCTGCCGCCGGCGCCCTCCTGCCGTGGACGATGCGTCTTCTTGCCCTTGTCGTGCATTACACGCTCCGTATCCTTGAGCATCTCTTGGCGCCAAAGCTCGAAGAAATAGTTGGGATCCGTGTAGAACTTGAGGCCATCCTTGCCATCGTCCCGATACACGTTGAGCTTGTCCAATGGCGGCGGTTTGTCGCACAACGCATATGTCTCCAGCATTGGGGCGGGCATTGTGGAGCGTGAGAAGATCTGCTGATCGAATATCTTTGCCGATTTGAACGCTTTCTTGCGCGTTATATCCGTGAGTGGAACCTCCTCGACGGTGCTGTCCAGCTGCGTTACTTTAATAGCCAGCCGATCGATGCGCGCCTGCAGCGAATTCGCCCGATCCCCAATGTTGCCCACATCGCGCGCCAACTCGCCAAAGACATCCTCGGCGTGCTTTGATAGGGACGACAATTGTCGTATTATATTTGTCAGTGTTGTGTTTGTCACCGTTTCCAGCTCCACGGACTGCAGCTCATCCTGCTGGTAAACAGATCGCGCCACATGCACGGGCTCAATGGATCGCTTGGGCAACGGCATATTCTTGTGTGTTTTAGATCCGTAAAGTCCTCCAACTGAACACTTTGGCCGTCTAACGGGTATTCATTGACTGCAAATTCCAAACAAAACAAAAAAATCAGTAAAAAAAATTGATTCTTATGAAATCTGCGCAACCCGCTTTTAGATGCGAAAACCAGAAAGCTGCAAGTGCGTTCCGCTCAATGATTTTGACTACATATTTTAACAATGCGCTCAAAAGAAAACTCCTTAAATTATTAGAGCTTATATCGCGTTTAATTCTAAGATTGCAAACCGAGCTTAAACCGAACCGGTTCGAGCATATTTATAATCTATGAACCGAATTGAAAATTGAGCATTGTTATTTAGTTTTTTAAATGTTGTTTCTCATAATTTGCATTTTTCGAAAAAGTATTATTTAAAAAAGAAAATTCCATCATTTATTATGGATATGTAAAATCAATCCATCCATAATAAAATTTAAAAAAAACCGTGAGCCGAAACACCAATAATTTGTAGGTGGGTTTGTAGCTTTGCATGAGACATAAATCAAAATACACTGTAACAATTTTTCAAGATGTATTCACATTTTGCAAAAGCCAAGTCACCCTCTGCATTTTGTTTGTGTATTTGAGAATGTGTTCACTTATAGCCAATCGTTTGTCGTCTGTCGTTTTGTCTGGACCACACCCACGAGATATGAACCGAAATTGTGATAAGCCCAATGACCAATACACCCTGCACAACTATTTCTACAGCATAATATTATCTTGTGTTATTGACTGCGTCTTTCAGCTTTTATCGTTCGCTACTGCCACCAAAATAAAAAAAAAACGAAAGATATATATATATATATATATATATATATCATAGTTGTTGTTTTTTTTTTTTGCCAACTGGAGCCCCGCCGCACTTGTGTTTGTGTGTGTGTGAATATGTACACACACACACACATAGACATAACTATAATGAAGGCTATGTAAATTTCGATTGAAATTCGCACACACACACACATTCACAAATACACACACACACAGACGCGCACATATTACTTTCAAAATGATCAACTTCCTTGGCAAGTTGTTAAACTAGATAGCACTTAAAATTTCATTTGGTTTCCGTCACCCCCTCGCAACTCACCTCACCTTACACACACACACACACACGCGCACTCTTTTCACACTTCACAACAATATCAGTTTGAGGCTTTGCTGTACGTTGTTAAATCCCTTAACATTACAGTTATGTTTACTGTAATTTGTGAAAGTTGATTATAATATAATTTGCACTAAATATGTGTATTTTTGCTTTTCTTTTTGTCAACTTTTTGGATTTCCACACCTTTATTGTAGTGGTGCACAATTGCATTAGCATTGCAGTTATCGATGTGTAATCGAATATATTTGAAGAAATTTCAAGTTGGAATCTTAGAGTTGCTTTCGATAAAATAGTCAATAATCTTATAATTCTATCAAATTTTTATAGTTTTCATAGAATTATTCATTTTTGAGTTATTATGCAAATAAAACAGCTGTCAGCAAGGCAATAATTTTATATACGGTTTTTATTTCATACATCGTTATCGATAATATATCGCACAAATGAGCAAGTAGAACGACCCTGTTTCATTGCATTCTGCAGGGGTAAGGTTTTCGCACATTCTTTATAAATTTTTTGGCTGCGTAACACTAAAATTCTGTTTTCTTAAAGATTATCATAAAATGGCGAGCGTAGCTACTAAAGGATCCGGTCTCATAAACAGTAAGATATATTCTTCGGCTACAATTGTGGAATACGTGACATGAATTTTTTCATAAATTATGTAATGTTTCACTTTAATAGGGCTGCTTGTGCAAGCAAGGCCTCAGTTGGATGTCTTCTTAAAATACGCCAAGGTGGAGCTTACTCCCCCAACACCGGGTGATATTCCAGCGATTCGCCAAAGCATGGGTAATCTGGTCAAGAGTGCAAAGACCGGATCCTACAAAAACCTTTCCGTTAAGGAGGCTTGGCTAAACACACTCGTCACCGCTGAGGTTATATTCTGGTTCTACATTGGCGAGTGCATCGGCAAGCGTCATATTGTTGGCTACAACGTTTAAATTTGCAGTTACGAATAATGTAGTGAACGAACTTATCACTAACGATTATGTACGTGAACGAATAAAAATTCAACATTAAATGTAATAAATAAATGTGCATATAACTATGTAAGTGAATATCCTAGAAGTGGTAAAGTCGCGAATAATCAATTAGTGCAAGTCTAAACTTAAACGAAGTAGGAACAGCTAAGCAAGAAAGTAGCGGAGTCAATCTGTTGACATATATAAATATGCAATCGATTGTTCCATTTTAAAGCTATATGATAAATAATCCGATGTTCACAATTTGTTATTCAAATGCTAGGAGCGTACATTTTGAGATTGGTTCGGATAACTCGATAAGCAAAAATTGTGCATGTACGAACTAGTATTTCAAACAACTGTTCCTAGGGAAGCTTTATTATAATAGGAATTTGCCCGCTCCAATGTATCTACATTATAGTAGAACTTTTGACCATGTCTGAGTACTAATTCCAAGCTCAAAAAATGATAAATTTTTAAGATTTGTTTTAATCATAATATTCAAAAATCAAATAGCAACCTTCGGCTAATTTTATTACATTTCGAAATTATTTTCAGAGGTGTAGTTTTAAATTTGCTTCAAATTAAAAATTTTTTTTTTTTTGTTTGACAGATAACTTAAAAAAGATGGATAGCTGCTTCAAACGTTCTTAAATATACGTATTTGATCATAAGGATATTTCTTTCTCAAGACTTTAAAATAATGGCATCTTCAAAAAATAAACATAGTTGAACTTAGGTTAGGTTAGGTTAACCTAGTTGAACTTAGAGGTAGTAGAATTTATTCTTCAGAAACTTTAAAAATAATGACAAAAGTGTTCTTAAAGATAATAAAATTTTTTCTCAAGAGCATTCTGTGGTATGGCGTGCAAATTAGTGCCAACAAGTGTTGCCAACTTCTTAGCATATTGACAAACAGCTGGAACACGAGTAGTTCCCGACCAATTGTAATACAAATGGCACATTTTGTATGTAAGCTTTTGAATACGATCGGGACTTAAATGTATCTTACTATAGAGAACATTATAACTGGTTGGCGAAACTGTTCCCTGCCGCACTGTCTGCGAAACGAGATAAAAATCATAACGTTCGGGCAACGTGACCACATCATCAACAACCGTGCCCGGTGGCGGATTTTCCCTACGATCGCCAAAGAAACGTGTATTTGAAGATTTGGTGACTACTATGTAGGCGAACTTTGGTGGATTTGCCTCAGCCTTTTGATATTCAGCATCTAGTTTCTCGACAATATCCTTCACCTCGTATTCGAACAACTGTTTCAAGGAGCCTGAACTAACGCCATCGCGATAAAATATAATACGAGCTGGCAGTGCATTCTGTTCCTCTCTATACTTCCTGAGGGCCTTCAAAACCATTGGCCACAAATTGTTGGCCAATACATCATACGCGCTGCACTCAGCGACCGTACTAAAAAAAGTGGCATTCCGTTGTAGGTCCATTGAAGCCACCAATGCTCCATAGGCTTTGTTGCGATCACGCGTACATTTGGCAATATCAAAGCCCATCGTCATCAGGCCAGCCATCGGCACAGCGATCATCCATGGTGTGTAGCCCAGCTTACAATTGATTTGTATGGCAATTTTAGTGGCAACGCTCATGCCTTTCTGATTAGCCCTGGTGGTTACCACCTGGGTGGGCACAGATCTATCCACACAACCACGTTTTTTAATCGATGAGTATCTAAAAAGGGATATATTTGAAAATTCAATTTGATTTTTGATAAATATATATGAACCTTTCAACATTGTTGCTTGGCACGATGCAGAGAACCAGTTTTGGATCACTGCGAGTGCAATCGTCCAAGGCTTGTATGTAGCTGCCTGTGCGATCATCATAAATCATTACTCTAGAAAAAAAAAATATAAACATTACAGTTACAGAACATCTGTGGTGCTTCTATTGGAAGACTTACTCTCGAGGGCTACTTATCTGAAAACCCATGCCTCTTGCAACGCGATTCAGATTCTCCAATAGTTGTCTTAAATCACGCAAGTTGCGCTGCGGCGCAATCACAGCCCATCGATCCAAGCCATTCTTGGGTGTTGTAAACATCTGTTGATCCCGAAAGTATCGCGTCCAATCTGCTTGTTCCCCAGCACAGACCCTGCTCAAAATAATTGTTTCTTTTTACTGCTGCGAGAAGTGGGACATTCGAATAGGCAAAACATACTTATTTGATTTGAAGACAATGTTCTGTGGCTCAATCACACGTCCCTGAACCTGTACCAGATTCTGACTCAGCTCCATGTTCCAGTCGGTCAAGACCTTGCTGCTTTCTGCTGTCGTTTGCAATCGCTGGTTAAAAGTTTGCAAACGCTCAATGCGTCTGCTTGGATTCATGCGTGTATGATTGGACATCGCGCGCATAAGTCTAAAGCGAATTTATAAACGCATAGTTTTAGATTTCAAATCTACGATATGATACGCAAGTGAATAAGAGAGACGTACTGGAAATTTGATCGCATGCTATCGGTGAGTCCAGTTACGCGACACAGCTCGGGTATAAGGATAACAATTTCATTGGCATTGCTGTTTTGGGCTTTATCTCGATTTTTTGAAAGAAGCAGAGGCTGGTTTTGGTCCCTGATGCGTATATTGTATTTCTATAATTCAAGATCAATAAACAATTTGGGCAATTATTCAAATTCCAAGTGTGCAAGCACAAGCACTTACCGTTTGATAGTACTCAACAAAACTAACGTCTTTGCCCTTGCAACTGAATGTGGTTCGCGGCGTTTGTGCAAAGTCAACATCATTGATGCGATAAGTTTTGTTATTGTAATCAGTGAGTACAATTAAGCCCAGGACATTGACGCGGAATTCTTCCTGATGGGTTGAGGGGTTGGCAGAGGTGCGACGCATAATATCATAGACTGTTTCGGTGCGCATTACCTTGTGAGTGATCTCAGCGCATAGTAATATATCCGTTTCATGCTGACGGATTGAGGTCTCGTAACCGGGCCACAGTTCCAAAGAGAACTCACGCAGAGGTACCTGAATAAGTATGTCCCAAATGAAATTGATCATAATAAATCAGTTTCTCAATTCAAACATTACCCGTGCGTGCGGATCGAAAAGATTACGTCCGACCTGCTCCAGTTTTAGACCTTTCATGGAGCGACGCAATATCAAATTCAAGACCTGCAGAAAACGGGGCTCGACCGACGATATAATTCCCACGCTTTTGATGGTAATAGTATAATCGACGCCTTGCTTTGAGGTTGCTTTCAGCACAGTAACATCCTGCTCGAATTTCTTGGTCGTAAACAGCTGCATGCCATCGAAAAGATAACCAGTGCCCAAGGCAGGAGCGTGCTGAGACAACACGCCACAGCGCACCCGCACCACCGCAATCTCAGGCTCAAAATTCACATGATAGTGTATAATGCGCCATTGCGGTCTAGTTTTCAGACTATAAAAGTTCGATATCAATTTGATGGGTTTGCCCTCCTCTCCACGTTTTGTGAGCACATCCGCCGGTCTGCTGTTAACAATCTCATAATGATCAATTCGCCTGCGTGCGTTTTGTGGGCCACTGCCTTCGCCGCGAACTGGCGCATTATGTGAAACACTAACTGCTGGAATATCAGATCCACGCGATGTGGAAGCGTCACGAGATGTTGAATCACCAGTGCCACGAGATGTGGATGCTCCATGGTATGTAGAAGCTCCATGGGATGTGGACGCTCTGCGTGAACTCGAAACATCCGATCTATCTCTGTCGCCAGGGGTATGCCTGTCAGATTGATTTCGAAAAATCTTCGATTGCTGTTAAAGAAAAAACATTAAAATCAAATTTTCACTATTTGAGCTAGCTTGATCTGTGTAAAATTGTTTAACTTTACTGATATATGCAATCTCACGAGCGATTCAGTTATATCGGGATGTATAATTGTGTCCCTACTGTAAGTCTCATTTGGATAACAATGAGTCTTAATTTGAAATGTGCCTAATACCAGCCAGTGTAATTTGGGTTTTCTAATAGTGATTCGATTGAGAAGTTAGTCTGGATGATAACGTCTCTCTAGTGTAAATCGATAAGACCATATATCTCACAAAATTTGAAAAGAAGTTATATAATTTGCAAGGTATATTGTTAGTAACACCCTTCAAAAATCCGAAAAACAAATTTTGGACCACGTCCACTCCTGCTCCCAAAAACAATAAAGGCCTATATCTCGCAATTTAAGATCTACAGTTAATAAACTTGGAAGGAAAATTACTAAGAACCATCTCTATAATTTTTACTATGCCCACTCCTAAAATTTGCAGAGCCCATATCTCCCGTAATTTAAGAGCTAGTTACCAAACTTCAGAGAAGCCTATATCTACTGCAATTTGAAAGGCCAACTTGGACGGTATTTCTTGGCTACACTCACCCTGTTATTTGATACTAGTTATCAGTTGGTATTACTTATGGTATCAAAGTATTTCGCAGTCGGTTGTCCAAAAGACTGTTCCCTGTGTATATATGTAAGACAGAGACGACGAGAAAAGAGAGCGTTAAAAAAAACTACGCATCTGGAATATATCCTCGATCACCGAGAGGAATTGGGAAATGTGGTTTTCACATTGGTTGAAATTAGCATAAAAAGCAAAGCAGCTGCATGATATGCAGGCAATGCGGCCGGCCAGGCGCCGTCAACGCAACACGAATAAGTCTAGAACTTATTTTTGCGCAGCGCATATTTTGCAATTCCCTTTTTCGCAGATTCCGTTAGAAATTCGCGTTTTTTTCTTTTGTCTGTGACTTTGGTAAACATATTCTGTATACCATATTGGCGAAATTCGTAAATAGAAAACTTTTTGTCCAAACACTCTTGACATACGGTACGTTTCATTGTCGAGATTCAAAAATTATTGATCGTGTCTACTCGGCCTTATAAGCTATGTTTACACATGGTTTGTTTGTATTTTGTATTTATGTATGATTTTTAAGAGTAGTGAGAACGATACACGTACACACACACATTTAAAACACTTGTGTGTGTATGTACAGGAATTAACTGGACTACATACTTATATATGTTTGCATTTTATTTATTTTATGCATTTTACTCTTTGAAAACTGCTTCTCTTTTACAAATTCAAACTTATAAGGAGAAATATCCGCATCAGCAAAAATAAACCTCAAAAAAAAAAAACCACTTGAGTGGGTCAACGATACACTATTCTCAAGCACAGATAACGGAATTCGAAACGGCTTACGACGACGCGCTCGCAAGTGTACATATGTATGTATGACTGTATTTGTTTGCTTACGTATATAATGTGCATATACAAATACATCCAAAACAATAATATGCCATCTGATGAAATATATATATATAAATATAACTTACCGGCTCCTGTCCTGATCTTTGATGAACGTCCAATGGACGACGGCGTCCTCTTTCTTGGTCACCCATGACGTACGCTTAATTTGCCGTTATAAAAGCTCTTCACCACAAGAAAACAAGATCCCCACAATCGAAGACGTGAGATTAGAATGAACGATGCTCGAATTCCCAAATTTAAAACACTACTCGATGTACGGTTTTTAAGCGACATCGATATTTGAAGTGTCGATAATACAAATTATGTTAACAACATGTTGAGAACGTGTTAAGTTAACAGACAACAGAAATAACATTCTTCTTCTTCTGTTCAACTGAGAAAAAGCGCAATTGGAGGAAAGTCGAAAAGAAAAAGAAACAAACAATTATTGAACCAAAATGGAGGATATCAAATTAGTTCAACGATTTCTGAATGATATGCAGCATATCAAGGACTTTGAGCATTTTAAAAACGCAACTGGTCTCCCCAGCAAGCAAATCAACGCCATAGAAATTAACAAAGTGAAGAGACGACGTTTCAATCCGCTGGATGAAATGAATGAAATTGAGTTCCGTAAAAAATATCGCTACACAAAAGAGAATATGCGGCGTATTATTGAAATTGTGCGCGACGATCTGGAAGTTGACTACTTTGAGTCAATGAAAAGAAATCAAGTGCCCATCGACCTGCAAATTTTATCGGCCATTCGATTCTTCGGTGGCACGGAGGTAAATGTTATACACACGTACAAACACACACACACTTTTAAACCCTGTCTGTCTCGCTCTCTCTCTTTCTTTCTCTCTCTCTCTCTCTCTGACTGCCTGTCTGCATTCTGTTAGCATCCCCAACTGACGGCAATGGCGCATGGGGTCACACTGCACACACTGGCAAAGATAACACGTCGTGTTGCCTCCGTGCTGTCATCGAAGGCTTCCAGCTATATTCGAATGCCGACAACGCTCTCCGAAAAGGAACGCATGATGCGCTCCTTTCAGGCGCTATCGAATATGCCCCAAGTGATTGGGGCTCTCGTCCAAACCACTGTGCACTTACAGCTGGAAAGCTCGCGGGCGCAGGCTAACCGAAGCGCTTACAGTGGAACCGAATCTGAATCATCGGTGCCAACCGAGGAACTGTTGCATTTGCAGCTGGTTTCAGATGGCGAATTTAAGATCAGGGATCTGGACATACATCTCTCGGAGGAGCTTGATCTCAACAATGCGTCTGAGCTGTTTTCGCTATCACGAATTAAAGAACGTTTTGAACAGAATGAATTCCGTGGACGCATTTTATTGGGCAATGATTCGCTTTCTTGCTCCAACAGTCTCTTCACACCCGTGCAGCATCCAAAAACCAAGTCTGAAGAGCTTTATAATCATGCACATGCACTCACTTTTGCGCCGGCCATTAAATGTCTCAATATATGGATGCGTCGCTTTGGAATTCTCGACAGTGAACTTTTGGGCACATTTGGATCTGCAAAGCAAACAATTACCGCATTGGCTCTGCTTCATAATATGGCAATGGAGTGGAACGATCCAAGTATAGGTGAGACTATTCTATCCATATATCATTCATATCAAGTTTTGTTTATGTATTAATCTCCAGTCTCTGTTTTCAGATGCCGATAGCATTATCTCATTCTACAAGCCCAACTTTTTAAGTTATGCCCCTGGTATATCGCTGGTCGAAGAACAACGTAATAGAAAGTATTTTATTAAATCACATTTCGCCAGCAACTAAACATTATTAATCCATAAATGGAAAGAATATTAATTTGTATAAAACTTAATTTTACTCAATTAATTTTAAGCAAGTAATGTTAATTTAAATTATACTATTTAATATATGTGCAATCTACACTAACACTTTTATTATACATTTTGAATAATAATATAAATGTAATTTTGAAATATAGGATCCACACTTATACAAATTTTTACCCCTAATTGAGCCGTTGAAGAAGTTTGCCCTTTATTATGTCCACCAGTGTGCATCCTAATAGAACATATTCCTTGCCGCTGTTGTTGGTATTTCACTTCTGCATCAAAATAGCTCCAACTACAAAGAAGAAATTGTGCCCTCTTTTCAGTTAAAAATGAAACAATAAAATGCATAATTCTTAATATTTTGCAAAGCTCAAACACAGGTAACGGAAAAAGGCGGGGATTTGTTCTCGCTGTTAAGTTAACAGGGAATGTAAATGTTCATAATCTTCTTGGCGTTCATGCTGCGAACGAAGAACCACACTGTTAGTTCAGTAGTGAACTACACGTGTTGAGGTCGCAGGTTTTGTGTATTGTTTGTTTTGTTTGCTCTATCTACAATTGAAATTTACATCAAAATTAAGGCACTGTGTTTTTTCGTAATTATAAGTTTACAAGTTTAACAAACGGAACTTAAGCATCATCGTTTACAAATTTTACACAAGTGTATTTGGCTTATCAAATAAAGAAGTAGCGGTAAATAGATATTGTGAATCTGCATACAAATCGCCTTTGATTGAGTTTTTAAGGTATAAAAACAGTATTTCAAACTTTTGATAAGCTTCAACGTCGATTTTTTGACTAACCAATCGACTCACAAGCAACATAACGATTGCACTTGAAAATTGCAGCATACTATACAAATGAGTTATAAAACCTTTCTAAGGATATTATGTTTGTGACCTAAATTTAACTACCACCAATACGAATACAACACACACACACACACACAAACAGCTGATACCCACTTGCAAAAGTAGCACAAGCCGTAAAAAGTGAAGGTCACCGAACGAAGTCGGACGCGGTATGTAAATGAATATCTTTAAATTGAATTTCGTTGCTAAAGCATGTGCAACATATAAATGAAATAAAAACACGTGTTTACAATAAAGATGTGTACATTTGTAATTGATGAGATAAATATATGTGAATACATACAAATACCATTGCATTCAAATATGTATGTTTAATCGGTTAGTTATAGAAGAATCCTCGAAATCGAAGCTAAAAAGTTTCGAAACAAAAAACCAGTGATTCGAATATAAAATTGTAATTGTTTAACTAAGTGTTTTCTGTTTAATCGGCTAATAATGTTTACCAGCTGTTATGGTATTAGAATGTTCTCAAAATTAAGTTTCTCTTGCTGGCCAATTCTAACATTTCCAGTTAATCATAACACAACTGTATTGTTCTCTATTCTGTTTATTCAGCAGGTGTGACAACACATGTTGCATGCGCGAATCTATCTAGATATAAGTATAATATGTTCATGTATAACGCATCAGAGGTGTATGGAAGAGCTCCACCCGAAAAGCACCACAATAGCCAGCCTAACAACCTAATCAATAACAACATCAACAACAACACCAACAGCAGCAACAATCGCAATGAACATAATGTACGCTATTGCAGTGTTGACAATGCATTTAATTACTATAAGAGTGCAAGCGCCATCGCTCCGTCTTGGAATCTAAACAGTCCAAGTCGTGCATCCAATCCGAGTCCATCGAAAAATAAGGAGATCGTCGGCAGACAGATCGAGAGAGCCAGCTATTCAGTACCTGTATTGGATCCAGTGAAATACTCTGATGCCTACGCAAATTCCTATGCACCAGCCCGCAAAACAGCTGCTGCTGCTGCTGCCAACAACAATAGTTACATTTATCAGCATAGACAGAAAGCCGACTACTACAATGGTCCCGCCCAGCATAAAGTGCGACAATATGCACAAACCAATAATGCGCCTGCCACCCAGGAGCTAACGAAGTATCCTCAGCTTACCATTGAAAAGGATCAGCTCAAGCGGCAACTCAGAGTCCGGAATAAATGCGAATATTTGGATGAGGGCTCCACTTACTCGCATAACCGAAGATCGCCCGCGCTGGAGCAAACATGGAGTTCGATAACGTAATTGCTAAAAACAAAAAGAACAAAAACCCAAAAACAAATATCCCCATTGCGTTATACATTTTATAGTTGATTACACTAATTATAATTTCTATTTTAGAAAATGCTTACTTTCCCTTTTTATTTTTACATGTTTACGATACTTTTAATATTCATTTTACTATAAACACTCATACGAATTTTTAATTTTGTTTGTTTTGCTTTTGCATTCCATTCTAATCCATTTACATTCCACATTAATTCTAATTGTAGCCCTGAACGCCAAACAACGCGTTTCCATTCAACTGATCAGCACTACGAGCACTATTTCTCCTACTTTTACAATCGTGGAGCTGAGAAGCTGTCCAAAGCCCCGCAATCATCCAGCTACAAAACACAAATGAGCTTATTTCAAGAGACGCCCATTAAGCGATCGTCCAATAATGCCAATAATGGTCGTCGAGGCATATCCAATGATAATAATAATCAAAATGTAGAATATGATAGTTACTTATTGAAAGAAAATAATGCAATGCCTTTCGGCTATAATGATAGCGATTGGAATGATATACCCGTCAACGAGACAAATTTGGAAATAATCAATATTAAAGATGTTTATGACACAAAAGTAATCAATGATGATGATGATGGTGATGACAATGATGATCAATTCGATCCAACTATACAAACCCATCGTCGCTACGTCCAGCATGGTGATACTAACAATGACTTAAGCAAAAATGGAAAATCCGTCGTGAAAATCAATAATAATGTATCGAAGAAACTACGAAATGCCACCGAATCTCCCGCTCTGCCTCGCATGCCGTTGACGCCGAAGAGGATCCGAGGCGGACAAGCAATAACAACGACAACAACAACAACAACAACTGCCAAGAAGGTACTGCCCACTGTGCACCGTGTTCTCCTTTATAATAGTCAAAGTCCCCGTTTGGCACGTAAGCATCAGTCGACTAATATGCGCAACCAGGCTGTAAAAAACCCTCATCCAAAAGGTCATAGTGCAGGTGGAGTTCAATTAACTAAATATATTTTAGACGAACCAGATTTTAAAAGCAACGATTTCCGTGATGTCGATTTTGATAATGATGACGATTTAGATAACAGTAAGTGCCATCCATCTATCTGAAAAGTGCTCGATTCGCGCATATTGATTATTTTGCATTATCTTTGTCCGCAGTTTCCAATTTTGATGAGAGCGACACGGTGAGCATTAGCTCCGACACTGAAGATGGCTATCGGGCGCATGCGTATAAGATGACGCATTCGGGCGATCGTTTATTATCATCGCCGAAGGACTCCACATCCTTGCTACTGTCACAGTCATCAGATGAGGACTTAAGAAATCCGGAATCAGTCCTGGTGCCCAGTCTCTTTCCATACGTTCCACCCTATCTATCCTTCTCGTCCAACACCAAAAAGGGACCCAGTGTGCCGCCGGAGCTGCATCGAGTGCTAAAGTGGCGCGTGACAAACATAATGCCAAAAGTTGTGCGACTTATCTTGGCCAACAGCGGCATGCGAATGTTGAAGAGTATGTTGCCTACACTCAAGTCTCAATCAATAATAACGAAATTCACATTTGTTATAGAAACCAATGACTGGATGGGCGTCTGGGGCAAGCATTTAAAGTCGCCCTGTTTTAAGACAATTCGTTCGTATCAGAAGATCAATCACTTGCCCGGATCATTTCGTATCGGTCGCAAGGATTCATGCTGGAAGAATTTACAGCGACAAATGAAGAAGCACAGCAACCGAGAGTTTGGCTTCATGCCGCGCACATATGTTATACCCAACGATCTATGCGCTTTGCGCAAACGTTGGCCAAAGTATGCGCAACGCAATACAAAATGGATTATCAAGCCGCCAGCAAGTGCCCGTGGTGCTGGAATACGTGTGGTTAATCGTTGGGGCCAGATACCCAAACGTCGTCCCCTAATCGTGCAGAGGTGCGTACCTACAACTATAGCTACATTTAATAATTACAATTTATTTCAGATATATTGAAAGACCGCTGTTAATCAATGGCAGCAAATTCGATTTGCGGCTGTATGTACTGGTGACGTCTGTGAATCCATTGCGGGTGTTCATGTATCACAATGGACTAGCGCGGTTTGCATCGGGTAAGGTTTAATCTCAGCCATTTATTATGTCAACTTAACTCTTTATTACTTCGTAGTTAAATACAGCGCCAAGGCGGATACATTGAACGATCGCTGCATGCATTTGACCAACTATAGCATCAATAAGTTCTCGTCCAACTACTCCAAGAACGAGGATGTGAATGCATGCCATGGCCACAAGTGGACCATCAAATCGCTATGGACCTATTTGGCCAATCGTGGTGTGCGCACCGATGGCCTCTGGGAGGCTCTCAGAAGTCTAGTGTTGCGCACGATATTGGCCGGCGAGAATGGCATAAATAGCATGATTCGAGCGAATGTCGAGTCCAAATATAGTTGCTTTGAACTGTTTGGCTTTGATGTGATTTTGGACTCGGATCTGGTGCCCTGGCTACTGGAGGTCAATATATCGCCTAGCTTGCACTCCGAGTTGCCACTCGATGCACACGTTAAGGCACCTCTGGTTCAAGGTGTTCTCAACACTGCCTTGTATAATGTAAGCATTCACAATTGACGGACAAATACTTCTATAACCATCTATTCACACAGATACCCCCGAAACTGAGTCAGGAAAAGCAAAAGGAGCTTGCCGCCGAGCTGTCATTTCCAAGTGGCACACAACTGTGCTATGATAAGCGACTATACATCAACTATTTGTCGCGCGAGGAAAAAGTTAAGCACACCAACTTCACGCGCAAATCCATGGAAAGTCGTGAGGAGGTAAATGAATGCAACTATTTAATATTTATTCATTATGTTAAAGTCGCTTTATAAAATTGTTAGTACATCGATGCAATACTTCAAAAATTGACGCCTGATGATGTCCGTTGTTTGATAATCGCCGAGGATGAGTTGGCGCGTTGTGCACCACTTGAGCGGATCTTTCCCACTGATCAGACGCACAAGTATCTCAAATACAATGACACGCCTCGCTACTATAATCGCCTCTTGGATGCATGGGAGTCACGATACGCCAATAATCGCACAGAGGGCATTGCTCTACTGCGAGATTATTGTCAGAGCAAGTTTCACTTGCAAGTTCCTGCGCCGCCTGCCAAAAAGGTAAGTGTTAATTGATTAATAACAAAAACAAAAGAAATATCTGTACTCTTTATAGAGTGCTCACTACTCATGTACACCTTACACAAAAACGAAAACAAAACGATTGAGGCTTTTCTGAAATCGAAATCTGTTACCAGCTTATGATCAAAATAGTATAATAATAATCTCAATGTTGGCAATGTTGCATACCACCACCCCATTGATATTGTATTGTATTTTATTGTATTGGCAATGCCAATGCATATAATATTAATAATAATAAGTACAAAGATCAACAGAAAAACCATTTATTTACAAACAAAATATTTACGTTCTTAATCCCATTGAATTTGAGGGCTGTTGGCGAGCTATTCAATCATTTTATTGGCGCTGTCGTGCTCTTTATTGTCGTAAGTTCTATCTGTTGACCCCATAGATAAACTTCGTAGGCTCGCAAATGCAAAGTTGCTAACCACAAATGTATACATTTAGGTAGAATAATATTGTTATTACATATATATATATATATATATATATATATGTATATATTTAAATTGTATGTAGAGGCATTTAATCGAATATAAGTATAATATATTGAACATTTCTATTCCATTGTCGTATATTGTGCTTAAGTACTATATATATATATATTTATATATAACAACAGAAATTAGGTTTTACGTAAAATGCGTCAAAGCAAATTAAAAAAAGGTATAAAGTAAATTTGAGTTGTTCAAAATAAAAAAAATATATATTGTTTTCTTTTCTTTTGTTCATTTTTGTGCCTAGGTCAAAGTACTGATTAAAGTAAGAACGTAATTCCGTTGCAGCTGTTTCTCCAAAATATAATCATAAATTGTACAAGTATTTAATTGGCATTTAGTTGCTAACACTAATTTTTAAAACTATAACTTAAAGTTTAGTTACTCTTAATTGTCGTTATGTTTCTGCTAGTGTTTTTAAGTAGAGTTAGGTCCCGCGTTTAAATAATTGTACTTAACATTAATATAGTATCTGCAATCAATCAAGTTAGTTAGCTAGTAAGTGTTTTAACTAAATAAACTCGAAATTAAAAGCTGGCTAAGTCAAAAACTAAATAAGAAAAGTTGCCGTGCTTATGGGACAATATATAATAACTTTATTTCATGGTCGGAAACAAAATAATATATTTAATCTCTTTTTTCGAAAGACATTCTTACATAAAAATATATGTATGTCCATTCTGTTCTTAGCTGTTGCAGTTTTTTCTTAATGTACCATATAAATTATATTGACTATTAGGTTAAAACGATAAAAACAAAAAAGAACACCTTAGAATATCTAATCCACTTTAATCTAATTATATAAACAGACTTTGTGCTTAGAAATCTTTAGAACACCAAAGAAAAATGCATCTTAGTTTTTCTCTTTCACACTTTTTCAACAATAACAACAAACACGATTTCGTTTTGTTTCATTTAATTTAATTTTATTTAATAACTAGAATTTAATGATAATTTAGATCTTTCCATTCATTGCTGTTGTACATTCTTATTATTGTGTCACACAACAAAGTCAAATGTCAACCAATTTACAATCAATGTTTTGTAATTGTAAAATTGCAGGACTACTTCATCAAATTAATGAGATGGATATTAAAGTGATAAACGCTGCTATCGTATTTGTATTGGTCTCTTAGTGATTTAATAGATAATTTTCATTAATTTTAACTGCACGTGTATATATGTACATATACATACATATACATACATACATGCAAAACCAACAATCTAGTGATAAGCCAGTATTAAAATGTATTCCATAAGTATCAATAATTTATACATTTAATTTTTTTCTATTACAATTAGATTTAATGTGAGCGTATATCAAAATGTACAAGCACCATCATACTACATACATATACATACATATATGGATAGGGTATTTAGTTGAGTGTTGATGTACATACATCAGCGTATGTCCCGCTGTTATCTAAATTACATACATACATATGCATACAGGGTCACAAAACAATATACGTACTAATTACTAATCAAAATTGTTATTAAAGAAGCAAATCTGTGATTTGGTTGTGTTGAGAAGAAATTGATTTTTCACCTTGTAGCCCTTGTAGATGATAAGTAATGATTTTAAGCAGCCTTTTATTGCTGCACTCTTTACAGATTTGCCTCTCTAATCGCTTCTCCAATTTCTTTACGTAGTTAGCTGTTCTGATCTTAGTTTATTCATTATTTCAATACTTGAACGCTATATCACCACTCTCTGTTTTAAGTACCTGATATTGTAAGACTTAAAGGTCGTCTTAAAACATTGTGATGTTATTTTTAGTGGTTCCTTATTGTTTTTTTTTATATATACATAGTTTATTAACCCAACAATTATGGAATAAGCTTTTTTCTAGATGTAATTATTTATTTCAAATCCAACACCAAAAAAAATGTAAATTCTGTACATACTGACTGCAACAATAATTTGATAATGGAAAATCTGAATTTAGTTTTGAACGGGTTTTTTCCTTTTGTTTATTTGTTAGCATACAATTCTTTTAAAGGGAAGGCCAGAGCGTATTGTTCCATGATAGCTGTACTTAAATAAAAAAATGAGAATGTTGCAGTCGAGCATAACCGACTGTGGAGTACTCTGATACACCAGGAGGAGGCTGAGGGCAGATGAATTTATTTATATATGTAGCTTTTAACTTGTGGGAAATCTAAGGGGTAAATTCAATATTTGGAGACTATATCTTAAAAACTAGGTAAGATGAAACTGTGGAGGGTATTTCCGATTTTGGGACTGAAGTGATTGGGGTGACGGAGGTATTTAGGGAGGTATATGGCTATCCTTGAAGGAAAGCTTACCAGTAAGTCCCTTCAAAGATAGCCACATTAATTTCTACCCACTACATTTATTAAATCCTTCTTCTACTTTCGATATCAAAGTTTAACAAGTCAAAATTTGAGCAAGTTAGTTTGCTGTTAGCAAGAACGCTTTGATGTCTTATCTTAAAGCGATCAATTAAATAAAGAAATTTGAAAGTATTCTGATTTTCGTTATCAACAGGGGTCTAAATATACATAGATACACATAGAGTAATGAGTTAATTTGATATATAGAATGTTATACAGTTAACTCATAGTCTGGTTGCAACGACTAGCTTTACTTAACTTTTGTTGTTAATTAAGTGGCAGCAGAAGCAAGATATTTAAATGTATGATTGACTTGGCTGTTAGTGCTATTAGTGTTGAAATTTAAGAACAACCAATTAAACAATAAATCTTATGCAAATTGTATTGTTACATAATATATATGTATATTGTAAACCCAATAACTGAACATTCCACCAGTGTCACATGTTTCTAAAGTAGATACATAAGTATAACTAATGTTTACATCGATTGTACGATATCGTCTGTGTGTGTACTTAGCCTTTTGTTTTTGCCAACTTATCTATCAATTACATACATATATACTGCGTTTATAACTTCAAATCAGTATAAGCGTGAGTTCACATATATCAGGCATGCTCTCTATATTTTATTTAATTTACATTTCACATGTGTTGTTTGGTTGAGTCCATAATGATTATAAATACTTAGTCTACTTTAATATACACATAAATTTACCGTTAAAGCAAAGCTACTTAAAGTTTGACTCTTAAGTCGCTGTTATTTCTTAAAATAAAAAAAAAATATAAAGAAAGTATAATTGGAATACCAGCAACACATGTATTTATGCATTTGAGATCGATTTGGAAAATATTCATACAATTTATATGAATATTTATGATACGTTGTTATGTGAACATATCGCTATTATTGATTAACAATTTTTGAAATGACCAAATCTGCATTAGAATTTGTTTAAAAAAAAATTGAAATTGTGTTTGTAAACATAAAACAACATCCTTATGATTTCAAGGATACTACTATCATTATGTTTTAAGCAGATTTTTGCATTTGAAAAATTCAAAATTCAATTAAGGAACTTTCGTATAAACGGACTATATGTGTAAGGTAAAATTTGACAAATTTACATTGTATTTTCCAACCAATTTTGTTATGTTATGTTTTATCCGCTCTGTTTCCCATTCATTGTTCTCATCACGCATGTCCTACATATATATACTAATCGAACTTCTAAAATGTAGGACTTGAACGTTAGCGCTGAGGAAAACACCGCCCAGAAGTTACCGAGTGATTGCGACGAAGATACCAATGAATAACAGTAAATGTCAGTCATATAAACGCAATCAGAACGAAGATTTAAGTAAACAATTTATTGACTTGAATCAAAAATGTTATGGTAATTTGTGCAATTTACAATTGTCAATGATTGATTAACTTAACTAAATCAGATTATTTCTCTACTTATAGATTCACAAACTGTTCATCTTGTTATACAAAAGACTGATCATAATGGATCATTTATTAATTGTTGGCACACGAAAGTAACTTGTCGTCGGACAAATATGTCGGTCTATCAAATCATAAGGTCAAGTTTTAAGGCTCAAAGCGTATTCAATGTGTTCGAAAACTAATAAAATTTTATGTAATTGTTGACTAGGAACCAAATTTGAAAGTACGCCAATAAAATATATATTACAATATTATTTATGAGAAACAAAATCTAAATGTTAAAGCTTGTTAATGCTTGTTTTGTACACTTTTATTTTTCCGTGTTCACTTTTTGTATCAGCATCAAAATTTACTAAAATTTTGAATAATAACGGCCAGCGGTCTGTTGCAACGGCAGTTGAGTGTCGGTGTTAAAACTTCAGTGGGTGAATCTTCTCTTTTTCCTCTTAAAACAAAGTATATCGATACTTTTCGTAAGATGACATTGAGCCATTTTGAAAGGATCCACACTTAATGAATTCATCGACAAAATCTAGCTTGCTTCTATCACAGATTGCAAGTAAAGTGCTGATTGTGCATGCTTTATTGCCTACGTAAATTTTAAAGACACAAAAATGTTGAAAGACAAAGAATGAAATAGCACATATCGATACTTTCGTAACATAAAGCATCAGACATTTTTGACAGTTGACAAATCGAATAATTTTATTCGAAGTTCGCAATTCGAAGTCACGTTTCAGTCTTCTACTCAATTTTGAATTTGTGCTGTGACATTCTGGCAGGATACATTGTGTTGTACGCGTCTATTTAAAATACAGTAATGTATAATTTACCGGCAAATTCTGGCCATTCGCGCGGTCGTGGTCGCGGAAGTAAACGTAATGAGGAGATGAATCGAGGACTGACCCCTCAGTTGGTACGTAAATGATATTAAATGAAAACTCGTAGAGGTGTACATATGTATAAGCATAACTTATGCTTATTCCCGTTGCTTTTTCTTTTTACTACTAAGTATGTATACGTATTCAATTAAAATTTTACATTGCTTGCACGTGCTTTGCTGAACGCCATTCTAACTGTAGTTCGAATGTTCGATTGTATGTATGCTTGCATAGCAGAATGTGAGCGCATAAGGAAGATGAAATCAATGTGCGAAATACAGCGAATAGAATAATCATTGATTGGAAATAGGAAATTAATCTCATTAACATAAAATGTCTATGTGCATGTATGTGCATATGTAAATGCACACAAGAATGCATATATATGTATATACATAAAGATGGTTATGGCGACGAGTTCACTTCGCGCAGAAGGAAGGTATATGTTAAAAATCGAGTTAGGTTTTTTTTTAAGAATGCCCAATATATGTGATCGAATTGAAAACTCTCTAAATACCATATAATTTTCTATTTACTTTTATGTTTTTTTCCAATACAAATAAGTAATGAGAAAATTGATTTATGGCTATGTGATTTCCCAATACTTCTAATACCCACGCATAATATAAAATATATTTTAATTTAGGGGGGCCAATCTGGTCAGTCTCCGGTACCGCAGCAATCACGTCCCGTTGAGCCCGAGCCAAGTGGCAGCCAGGAGGGTGCCGATGGTAAGTCTATACAATTTTCAGATTCAGAACAAGACACGCAAAAAAAAATCGCCTTAAATCATTTTTAAAGTTCATGGTGAATTTTTCTGAAATTTAGAAAGACAAAGACTTTATATTTAATAAGGCGATTTACTGAAACCTGAACCCAGCTTTTAATATATTCTAGCCTTAGTGTCTGCCTTTAAATTTGTGTATTTTTTTTTGCTATCGAAATATCGATATTTGCGAACCGGTGGCAATTATCGATTAAATGAAGGAATCGGCAATATATATAGTGAACCTATATTTAAAATTTGAAGTTCGGAACGGCGGATACCGCCAATAAAATGTTTGTACACAGGAAAAATTTCATATTTTCTAACTTCTTTTGCCAAAAAAAAAGTATTTTATTATTGACTTTATAATATGAATTTAATAAGTGGACTTCTTAAGACCAACTAAAAAATTAACAAGATTCGGTCATTTAAATAATTGTGAAATTTTAAAAACGAAAATTATACATTCTGTTTACGGGCAATAAAGTTTTTCGACACAGGAAAAAATTCATTGACTGACTTAAGCGGCGGAGATGCTTCCTTTTGCCAGCTGCACACATTTGCATAAATCATTTTACTCTTTTTATACATTTTCAATGGGTTCAGGGTATGTGCAAATGATTAAACTCAATTGAAATATATTGTTAATTTAATGCAGGAGGAGCCGGCGATGCCCGAGGCTCGGTGCGTGGAAGACGTGTAATTACCGAAGTGGTTCCATCACGTCCGAGAGGAATGACGACGAAATTGGGTACTAGTGGCCGTAAGGTCATTGTGACGACGAATTATTTTAGACTGCTCAAGCGACAAAACTGGACACTTTACCAATATTGTGTCGATTTTTGTCCTGAGATTGATAACACGAGACTGCGTCGCGGCCTATTAAGTGAGCACCGAGCGCTTCTAGGTGGCTATATTTTTGATGGATCCGCTTTGTTCTGCACCACCAAGTTCGAGGAGAGGCCTGGCAGCTCATACGCCTTAGAGCTGCTGACAAAGAATCGAGCGGGCGAAAATATACACATTCGGATTAAACTGGTTGCGACCGTTGAAGCAGTGGACAATCAACAGTTTCAGGTCCTTAATTTGATATTACGACGGGCCATGGAGGGACTCAAGCTTCAACTTGTCTCTCGAAATTTGTTTGATCCAAAAGCAAAGGTAAAGTTTTATCATTGTTTATTTTATTTCTGTTTATAATACTATGTATATATCCAGATTGTCTTGGATAAATTCAATTTGGAATTGTGGCCAGGTTATCAGACCTCAATACGTGGACACGAGTCGGACATTCTCCTATGTGCTGATATCACTCATAAGGTGATGAGAAATGATACTTTGTATCATGTCTTATCTAAAGTCATACGGGAAAGCGATGACTTTCAGTCGGCATTCAAGCGGGAGGTGATCGGTAAGCTAATCTGTCCCCCCTGTTTGATATAGTAGAATTTAAGGTATGTAATATTTGAATCTGCTCTTTTAGGTAGCATTGTATTGACTGATTACAACAATCGCACTTATCGCATCGATGATGTTGATTTCGCAGTGTCTCCACTGTCGACATTCAATAGCAAGAACGGCGACATTTCCTTTGTGGAATATTATAAGAAGGTAATTATATATTTTGTATATTGAATATCCAATTAATTTTAAATATTTTTGTTAACTATTAAGCGATATAATATTGTAATTCGGGACATTAAACAACCGCTGCTCGTGTCCCGACCAACGGAGAAGAATATGCGTGGTGGCGAAAATCAACTTATTTTGTTGATTCCAGAATTGGCTCGCGCTACAGGATTAACAGATAATATGCGTGCTAACTTTCAGTAAGTTTTTAGTTTTGATTTGGCTTTCTCTGCTTTGTTTTGCTTAAGTGAATCGCTCTAGATTAATGAAAGCCATGAGCGAACATACCAGGTTGGCGCCTGATCGCCGCATTGATCGCTTGCGCGTTTTTCATCAGCGCCTGCAGAAATCGCCTGAGAGCATGGAGGTCCTAAAGTCGTGGGATATTAAACTTGACTCGGAATTGGTGGAGGTCACCGGTCGCGTTCTGCCACACGAGAAAATTGTTTTTGGCAATGAGATACGCTACGTATGCGATTCTCACACTGACTGGACGAACGAGTTCCGCAAGAACTCCATGTACAAGTGTGTGGACATAAAGCGCTGGTACGTGATAACACCACGGCGCAACGTACGCGAAGCCCAGGAGTTTGTCAAGCTTTGCATACGGGTAGCGAACGGCATGCGAATGCACATTGCCGAACCGAGATAGTATGTATAAAAAAAAAACCCTATTTAATATCACACTATGTTATTGACTCTAAAATGTAATTATTTTTGCAGCGATGAAATGCCAGATGAGCGCAATGGAAACTATTCCCAATCGATCGATAACGCAGTCTCTAAGGATCCCCAAATTATAATGCTGGTTTTGAGGTCACCAAATGAGGAAAAGTAAACGATTAAAAATATGTACATATATTTGGGGGACTCTTACTAACCATTTTTTGTTCTATTTTGCATTAACAGATATAGTTGTATCAAGAAACGAGCTTGTGTGGACCGTCCAGTGCCATCGCAAGTGGTGACACTGCGCACAATTGCGCCACGACCGGATCGGGCAAGTGGCCTAATGTCGATCGCAACTAAAGTTGTGATTCAGATGAACGCCAAAATAATGGGGGCACCATGGATTATTGAGCTACCGCTGCGTGGCCTAATGACTGTTGGATTTGATGTTTGCCACTCGTCCAAGGATAAAAACAAATCGTATGGCGCCCTTGTGGCTACAATGGACATGAAATTATCCACACGCTACTACTCGTCAGTCACAGAGCACTTGAAGGGCCAGGAGCTCTCAAATCAAATGTCAGTGAAAATGACATGTGCTCTGAAGGCATATCGAGAGCTTCATGGCACATTGCCCGAACGCATTCTATTCTTCCGCGATGGCGTTAGCGATGGCCAGCTCTTCCAGGTTGTGAATACTGAGATTAAGTTCCTCAAGGAGCATCTCGATCAAATCTACAAGTCCGCTGGCAAAGATGACGGATGTCGGATGGCATTTATTGTTGTCAGCAAGCGGATCAACACACGTTACTTTGTCAATAAGCGCAATCCCGAACCGGGAACTGTTGTCGACGACATCATCACATTGCCCGAGCGCTATGATTTCTTCCTCGTCTCCCAGTCCGTGCGACAGGGCACGGTTTCACCCACCAGCTACAATGTTATCCAAGACAACATGGGCTTGAACGTTGACAAACTCCAAATACTCTCCTACAAGATGACCCACATGTATTACAATTGGTCGGGCACCTGTCGCGTGCCAGCCGTGTGTCAATATGCCCACAAATTGGCGTTCCTTGTGGCCGAGAGCATACACCGAGCCCCTTCGGCTGGCCTCGAGAATCAACTTTACTTTCTATAAGTCCTTGCCTGAGTTGCAAAACATTTAAATTTAATGTACATTTAGAAGAATGTACGACTAACTAAATCAAAAATATTTGATTTCTATTCTAAGGCTGATGAAGATGGCTGACTCACAAACTGCATATTTCTACAAATGTTATTGCGTTTATGTTTATTAATTTGATTTGGTTTTTACTTTAAATGCAGAAGTGTTGCTTGTGTAATTTTCTTTTTTTAATTTTTAATTATTACGAAAATGGTCCAATAAAGTGAACGATTTTTAATCAAAACTATATACATGAACCAAATGTATTGTAAAGTTTTCATCAGCGTTTTCCTTTATTATTAAAAACTTTTAAGTGAAGCGCATTAGGTTTCGACCTTCACAACTGTCGTCTTTTCGGACACGTACAGACCGTCCAAGAATTTACGGATATCCTTGTTCTTGACGGTGGTTGACTGTTGGATGAGCGCCGCTGATCCGGAAACAGCCTCGATATCATTGCCCTCAACGATGAGCTCGTCCTTCTGGGCGGTGGAGTTGACCACGGTCACGCCGGGTGCCATCTCCACGCGACGAATATACTTCTCGCCCAAAAAGTTGCGGATCTCAATCACGCTATTCTTCTCGGACGTAACGCAATTGATGGGGAAATGAGCGTACACAGCACGCATTTTGTACTGGAAACCGAATGTGACACCTGTGAATATCCAAGGATTATAAGTCAATGTTGTTGTTATTGTAATTTATGTTATATTGCTTGCTTACCCTTGATCATGTTCTCAATGTGACTGCAAACGGTGCGCACGGCGGCGAGCTCCTTCTTGGTGCCGAACCATTTCTCGACTTTGAGGGTGCGCTTGTCGGACATGTACATGTCCAGGGCGAGATGCTTGAAGCTGCGCTTGAGGACGCCTCGGGTGCCGGTGATCGTGACCACGCGCGCCTTCACCGACGCCTTGATATCCTTGGGGATCTTGACACACTGATTCGAGTTGATCGTTCGCATTTTGACGACACTGCAACAAAATCATCGTAAACAAACACTTCAAATTAATAATTATGCCAAAATTCATTATTAAATCCATAGATTTCACAATCTCAACAGTTGGATTTGACTTGCATTTTGTTTCTAAGCTAATTTCACATTTTGCACCTAGCAGAAGAATAAACAAAAATTACTTCAATGGATATGTTTTCGTTTCGTGTTTTTAAATTGGTATATGGGCCATTTGTTGAGGCAGAGAGTGCGAAATAATAACATTTGTAACACATTCATTGTCATGTCATGAATGTAACACACTTAGCGGTCGATAAAACACATCCATTGAGTTGATGTTTTAAAATTATTTTTGTATACAAATTGCTTAGAAACTTACACACTGCAGACCGACCGGAAAGAGGCTGAAAAAAGAAAGGAATTATTTGACGTTTATGCTGATGTTGCCACCCAGGCAAATTAATTTGGGATTTTTCTTCGGCAATTTTTTTGGGCTGCCAACCTGCGAGAAACTACTTTACCTATCGAATTTAAATATCGCTACTGAAAATTTCCTGATTGGTAACTGCAAATATAATACAATTCTAATAAACAAATGAGTTTATCATGAGCTAATTATGGTTGACAATAATATGACCTCGTTTTGTTGATAACTTAACGGAGGTTATTGGCACGATTGCATTCAAATATTCTTTTATTTCCTAGCTCATGCTTTGAGCTCATATCTCAAACCAAAATTCTTATTTTAATTCTATGAAATTGTCTTAGTAATTAATACAAAATCACACAATATACAAATATTTATTACTACCAAACAAAGTAAAATATAAGCTGACAAGCAACTTTCAAAGACATTTCTCCATCGGATTCGGATGAAAAAGAAGAAAAACATATTCTGCATCACCATTTAATATTTAGGGCTGTGTTTAGTTTTTCCACGGCATGATAGCTGGTATGCAAAAGCTGTGCGGATTTGTCCGTATGTGTTCCGTCAAAGAAATCCGCATAGATCTGTTTGGTGTGGGTATTGTCCGGATTGGAGCGCGGCAACTGCTTGTAGAGTTCCTCCAGCTGTTGGGTTAGCTGGCGCACATGCTGTCCCGTTGTGGGACGCACCTGGGCGCCACCATTGATGCAGCCGGAGGGGCAAGCCATCACTTCGACAAACTGATAGCCCGGTCCCTTGCCACGCTTCAGCTTCTGTACTAGATTTTGGATATTGCGAAAGCCATTAGCAATTGCAAACTTGAGGAGTACTTTGCCCTCCTTCTCCAAGCAGATCTCACTAAAGTCCCGATTGCGTAGCGCCCTGAACTGCAGCTCAGTGGGAGTGTCCTCGTTGAAGAGTTCTTTGGCTGCATATTTGAATATGTGCTCCGCATAGCCGCCGGACATTGTTGACTCGTGTGCCCAGAGCATCGACTCTGGCTGCTGATCCGTCCATGGCCAGTGCAGATCTTTTGGCTCGAATTGTTGCAAGGTTTGCTCCTCGGCCTGAAGCATTTGCTCCACCTCAACTGCAAGCACAACACAATTAGAATCGTCCACTGAAATTCCCCCAAGGAAGCATCTGATTTCACTCACTTGCAGTAATTACACAGTCCACATCCCGTGAGCTGCTTACTTCGCTGTAGAAATCTTCGCGGGATGCTTCCAGTTTCTTGTCGTAGCATGGCATAATTGTCACGTGGTAAATACGTGAGCCGGATACGCCCAGCTTCTCGGCCAACAACTGTTTGACCAGCACACCCATTATCTGTTGCGGCGAACGTGTGGTGGCAATGTGGGGCAGAATGAAATTGCCGTGCGTCTTCTCCGCATAGCAGACCCAGCCGGGACACGAGGAGCTCAGCATGCTCAGCTCGGCATTGTTGCGAAAGCGCTCGACAAACTCCTGCCGGCACTCCAGGAGCGCCAGATCATCGGCTATCTTTGTGCACAGCACATAATCGGCGCCCAATTGTTGCAGATAGCCGGCCAAATGGCGACCCGCTTCCTCCAAGCTGAGATCATAACGATGCGCCAGACTCAGCAGCGGTTGCACCGAGATTGTAAACACAATTGTGCGCACCTGTTCATTGTCCCCGGAGGCCTTGAGCGTTTGATTCTCGCGCAGCACCTTGAGCAGTTCCTCTTGACTCTGCTGGGTGATCAGCACCCCCTCCGCGGACGTAATGCAGCCGGAGCAGGCAAGGCAATCCTGTAGTGTGATCTCAACTTTCTGTAGCTTCTGCTTGCCGCTCTGTGGTGGGCATATAGGTTTGTCATTGTATTCAGCATACATATTTAATTCTTAATATTCACCTCAGATTCCTCGTAGTAGCCATCAGCTTCCACTGTAATTTTAGCGCCAGTCTTTGACTTTGTCTTATCTATCGTTACGGGCTTTATACACTCCTGAAGTCAAAAATTAAATTGGTATTTATGCATTTATCGCTTGCTGCACATTTCAAGTTTACCTGGGAGGGAGTTATAAAGTCATCCAGGTCGGTCAGTTGCAGAGCTCCGCTGAAACGCGACATGCTTGGGTATTCTCTGGATTAAACTCTGTAAGCTTTAAAATAACGCAGACCAGTCAATGTTTTTACTTTGCCCATATGTTTTGCGCGTGAACAAGCGAATGGCAACATCGCTTGCAGCACAATGTTAAATAGTCGTCATACCATTGCTTGATAGCATAAACCGAGCATTTTTGACATACACTACAGAATTTTAAATTTTCATTCGACAATTATAGTAACCGTAACTTGTAAATATATGTTAAATTTCGCTGCGTTTAATCTGCGCTGCTACCAATGGCAGCCCTACTCTGAGCAAGCGACAAAACAGTTGGTTTCCACCGATCTGGCAACGCTGTACATTCTCATCGAAGACATTTCATTTTTGCACGCTGAAAACGCAAAACAATTCAATGGGGTGGAGAAGTAAATTCGTCACCTCAACGCCAAAAAAGGTAATCAAAAGCAACAATCGACACACCTAATTATTCATTGCTAATCGAATTTATCCGTTTTGCAGCAGGTGATGCAGCACGGCGAGTTCATGAACCGCATGCGAAAGACGCTTTACTATGGAAGTGTCGACACCGCGGAGGTGGAGACCTTGGAGGTTTCCAGGCCTTTCGCCGAGTACGCAGCCGATCTGTTTTCGGAGCCACATCGCGGTCACTCGCTGCACCGTCTGAGCTCGATTGCTGCGGGCAAATCGCACTCAACACCTTGTTCCCTGATAATGGCATTAATTTACTTGGATCGCCTGAACATCATTGATCCGGGCTATAGCTACAGAATCACGCCACAGGAGCTCTTTGTTGTCTCAATGGTGAGTGTGTGTGTGTAAGTGGAGGTTGTATTGATGTTGGCATCACGAGCTAAGCGTACAAAACCTGTTGATTGATAATCCACCGTTAGCCCAATCACACATATACAGACGTGTGTGTGTATATGTACATCTGCGCACACTCATACACTGACATAAAGCGAATTGTTCTAAAACAGTACTATACGTATTATACATACATGTATGTATGTGTGTATTGTATGCAGTTAGACATGTATTGGTGATCGCCAGCAAATTTGTTTGCTTTGTTTTTGTTCTTTAGCACATATATATTTAATTAAATGAGGACAGCTGGCAACGCTGATAAGAAACTGCAATGGCAGCATATTTTTTTGTTTATGTAAGCACTTGTTGTATTGAACGCAGCCCATGCCAAAGCGATGACGTCACTACTTACCATAATTTTGATCAAGTTTGGCATTTTTAAAAATGTTTATTATTGTTTTAGAGGCAGCTATTGTCATAAACTACTAATATTCTCATACAAATAGTTTGCTATAAATATAATTAACGAATTTAGATTTACATTAATTAAAGATTATTTGTTATGTTTTTGCTTGCAGATGATTTCAACGAAACTCTATGCCGGCTACGATGAGCGTTACAATTTCTATCTATATTGTGTGAATGACTGGGCAAAAGAGGGCAACATGACCGAGGACAAACTTAAGGAAATGGAACTCGAGTTTCTGACAGCCATTGTAAATGCAAATATCATCATTTAAAATATAGACTGTTGTTAATATATAGATTTCGTTTACTCTCATACAGGACTGGAACATATACATATCGAACGAACAATTCTTTGAGAAGCTAACCAGCGTGGAACGAACGCTTGCGGAGCGCGAGGGATTGCGACGCGGCTGGCTTACGTATAGCGAACTGATGCAGCTGCTGCCCGATTTTACGATAATGCGATTTTTGTTAAATAACCTGGCTGTGCTGGCGCTGAGCTATGCGGCGAGTGTGTTCACAATTGCGGGCGCCTTTTTCATTGCCAGCCAAGTGCCGGGCACTCTGTGGCACCGTCGAACCGCGACGCATGCAACGGCAGCGGTTAGCACAACAATTACGACTCCGATTATCACACCCAATGTCACTGAAGCTGCGCCCGTTGTTAGCGATGAGGTCGCTATTGGTGTCGCATCAAATCAAAATTGCAGTGCTATGAATGTGGAGGCGGAACTTTTAAAATTGGAGCAACAATATTGTGCCGAGGCAAGACTGACAGAACTGAAACGCAGGCAACGCTTGAAGCGACCGCCCAATCCACTGCTGCCGCCCAATTATCGTATGGAACTGGACACCACGCAGCAAGACGACACGCAGCACTGGCTCAACATCAAGTCACAGTACAGCGATGGCATTGAGGATCGCGTTATTATGAAATACACACGAAATTGGGATCATGTCAAGAATGCATCTATTTTTTGGCAAGCGCTCAGTGATGCTATATCGCATCAGTCGTTTCTAGTGCGTTGGCCGGAGTTGTGGTCAAAGTTGTTCTAAGCTACTGACCTGAAGCATTTGAAGAATTCAAAATTTTCACATGTCATTCACTTTCTTCGACTTAGAGCGAGATTGCAATTCTTTTCAACTGTCGAATCAATTTTAACTTTGCCTAATAAATTGTATTTTTTCAAAATAAACTAACTAAAAATCTAAATAAATTGATATATATATAAAGTATTTTATTTCGTTTTTACGCATGTTATAAGTCTGAATAACAATTTTATTTTTCAATTTGGTTTATTTATTTGGTAAGCTCTACAATTTGGACTTTAATATTGTACATAATATGTGTATATATCTTGCTACTGATTTATTTTCAATGTACTTTAAGCCAATTCATTCAATATAATGTGGGTGGAACAGCTTCGAAATGTAAGCATGTATATATTTAAAGCATTTCATAGGCACTTTGCAGTGTGGCGAGTTTAAAAGTCGGATAGCCAATTGCGTTTTGATCGTTGATTTTGTGTGAATTTTAAGACTTGGCGGGTTTTACTTTATTTGATGAGTTTGGAACTTGGCATACAGCATAAGCCATTTTATTTTAAATCAGACATTTTAATGGCAATTAATATTCGACACAAATTGAATAATTATTTCAGTTAATTTCTCTACAAAACTGGCTATTTTGATTTTGGGTGTTACATTTGGACCTTTGGCAGCTACATTACATTGCCATATATATTTACCACTAGTTTAATTATCAATCCGAGAATTACCAAATTATTATTATTTATTTGGTTTTTGTTTATTATGTTGGCCGTGTTATGAAAACTTAAGCAAGATGATTTGTAGGTGCAGTCAGAATCAGTGCGAGCTTGAAATTGCATAATTTGTAGACTAATTAGCTAGAACACATTTAATCTTAACTTTATGAACTAGACGAGCGTTAATAGTAGTTAGTTAGTAGGTACTTTGAGTGTTATGTGAATTCGTTTTACATGGCGTGAAAAATGTAAATACAAATATAATTTTAAATTCAATGCAAATCATTGTCTGATTTTAACAATGATATAAACTTAACATTTATACGGCGTCCCAGGAAAATGGCAAATTTTTGTAAATTTATTATAATTACACTTAGCATTCGGATTGCATTTTGTTAGGATTCCCCATAAAATTGACTGTTTCATTAGTTATGTTAGCATCGATTTCGTCATCTTAATCCTTTGCGCTCGCTTTCGGTTCTTCCTTCATAAACCATAGGGGACACATGCCGATTAGGCAGCCAACTGTGATGCCCATAATACGACCCTGTAAAAATCAAGAATTTATATATATATATAATAGGATATGGTCTGTGTAAGCAATGTTATGCGTACCCAACTGGAAGCTCGTCTGCTCGATTTCAATTCAAACTGTGCCGGCGTCATCTGGGGCGGCTTGAGTCCCAAAAGCTGACAGCCTTCCTCTACATAGGTGGCCATCGTAATGCCCATAACATCACTTATAGTATTGCCAAGTCCAGCGGCAGCCATGGTCGATAGAGTTATAAAATGACCCAGTGTGCTTTCAATGTATTCACCCTGCGAAAATTATGAAAATAGCTTGAATTTATTTGTGATATGAAAGGAGTATATATAAGAATGCGCCCTGTAGGATATCTTCATCTATCTGTTCTATACACATTTGTAAAAGTTTCTTATTGTAAGGGAATATTAATTTATTTATCAAAAGTTACTTACGGCCATGATCATAATGAAGTTATCGAGGAAACCAAAGGCTACAAAGGGCACGGCATTCACAAAGAAAACTGAAAATGAATATAGCTATTTTAAAAAAACCAAGGAAAAGTTTGTAATTTCACTGTACTTACTGCTATACAATTGCCTGGCGGTGGGTGGTTCTGCCGCTTCCACTGTGAAGAGAAGAACAAAGACAAACTGAATCAGTTTTCAACTTAAATTGGAATTGGAGTGTTGTTTTCTTTTAGTTCCTCGTTTGAGCAAGCGAGCCTTAATTATTGCCGTTGCTTTTACCCAATTTCTTTTTCAGCCATTCATCGGGCACCGCACAAAAAGTGCCGCTCGGATCCACCTGGCCCACCTTTGTGGAGAGTCTTCCGAAGCGTGTCCGCCAACTGCCAACAGCCAGTTGACCTTTAATTTGATGGCAGACAGAGTGTTGTTCGGTGTTTATGGTATATATTTAAAGTTGTAATTATTTTGTTGTTGTATGTTGTTGTTTAAATGTGTCGTTGTTGTTGTTGTTCAAAATCAAAACACATGTGGAGGAAGTTACGTATGCAAATAAAAAAGAGATTATAGTTATTAAATATGAGAGTACAGATGCGTCGACTCTATAATTACTTATGCGATCATGCTAATACTAAATAAACTAACTAATTAAATTCAATAAAATGTGAAATCATATTATGTTTTATTTGAAAGTCTTGCGATGATAGACATTTTGATAAAGATTGCAGATGATATGACTAATTAAATAATCGAGTATTTGAAAAATACAGGGTATGTAGAGAGAGAGAGAGTATGTCATTATGTCTTTCCTGAATTTTCAAGTAGCTGGTGGTAAGTGTAACTATTATTTTGTATGTGTTATTAAGTGAATAATAAAAATTTGTTAAAATGTATTTCAATTTTATTCAGATAAAAAATAATTAAAACTTATATGCACTTTGTAGTGCATCTCTATATGCAATACGCACTCAACGCCAATTGAAAAAGGAATAAATTCATTTAATATAAGAGCAACGTTTCGCATTATATGTAGTATATATGCACTTTGTCCCCCACTGACAAACTCAACTGCTGTTCAATTTACACATGAAAAATTGCATTAAAATTGCAAGGCCAAACAAAAAGTTCGTAAAATTTCTAAATTTAGCTGGATGCCTGTGCACATCTGTGTGTGTGTCCGTTTGTACATGTGTGTGAGCAAGCGCGCAATTTTCCACGAACTGTGGAGAAATTAAGATAGGTCGTAAAAAAAAATAACTTGATAAAAGGGAAGCAGCAAAAAATAAAATACATTATAGTGTAATGTTGTAGCCTGATTCCACTATGAACAACATTTCAAACTTTCCCATTAACACTAACATTTCGAGCGCCCATTATGAGTCTCAGTGGACGTTAGCATGTGAGTGGCGAATGTATTACTTGATTTAAATAAGACTCTTATATTGAAATGTCAGCTGTTTGTGACATTGATATTGTCATACTAACGTAACATAATTTACATATTGTAGACTGTTGTCAGTCGAATCATGATTATATTATAGAGCATGTGTGGCAAACATAAATAAAAGCAGTCAAAATAGATTTATATTAAAAGTAAATATATATTTGTTGACCTTTCTGTGAATTTATGACCCAACAGGAGTCATTTTCTCCACAGTGCACAGTGCAGTGAAACTCAATTAACATTTTTCAATGGCCTCAGTTGTCGCCCTTTTAACTCTGCATACTTTCACGCGCAGCAAATGCATTCACTTTCCAGCCTGTGTGTGTGTGTAAAGTGTGCAACGGCTGTGTGTTTAAGCGTGTAAGCGCCACTTTGGGTGACGTTAGTTTACACAGCACTTTGCACGAGTTACAATAACGCTTAAAAGCGAAAAGCGAAAATCAACAGCAAGAATGCTTAACACTTGCCTAAGCAAAACAGTGCTCATTAACATTAATGTAATTTTCGTTATCGCTCCCAAAGAGCACAATTAATTAACAGCTACTCGCAGAGCAATTACATTGGGAGACATTAAAAGACATTGTTGTTGTGTTGCCTGCATGTGGACGGCAAATTCAAATAAATGCTGTACTGTATAGATACCCCATAGACAGTATTAAATGGTAAATATGTCTTATACAATTTTATAATAAACTCAACTACATACTGGCATACTTATAAGAAGTTAATCAATACTGCTAGATGAATTTCTTATAAGACTTTCTGAGTTTGCAATAGTTTTGTGGTCGTTAATTTCATTATACGTTGTTATTTAAGAAGCTGTAACTTAAGTACGGGGTATAATAAAGGACGCACTTAGTTGTTTGCCACAGGCTGACGCACATCAGATAGATGTACATAGATAAGCACATATATGTATGTGTGTGTATATATGAACTTGGGCATGTGTTGTTCTTTTGGCCATAAAAATCCCAACCATGGTTTGGCTGAGCATTTGTTTTATGTATGGCTACCGAGCAATTTTCGAGGCAATTATGTCGTTTAGCTGACGGTTAAGTGTTGAGCATGAAATTCTCACTTGATTTACCGAATCACAAGAAACATGTCATAAAACATGCGATGCTAAGTTTATAGTCAATACTCGACTTAGCAAATACCCTAAATCTGGTATGTTAAAAAAAAAAAACTTATCTTATGGCGTACACAATAAATGTGGTTATCAATATTATTATAATATATTCTTTCAATTTAAGTTATTTTAATACAAAATGTTTGTGAGTTTTTTAAATCTGGGCTTCAGTTCAATTGTGAAGTCAAAGTAAATCGATACTGCAATTTTAAGAAGTTTGCAGTTAAATTTATAAATCTTGGGAGCCCGAAGAGTTTTCAGTAGTCGTAGATTCCGTTTTGAAAAATTTAATTTAAACATACTAAGTATTTTTAAATGCTCGTGGGAATATGCCCAATGCACACCACAAATGCGGGTATTGACATAAAGAGGCCACAGGGCAATCAACTGGCCTTGCTTCTCTCATTCTTATATATTTTTGGAGCGAGCTTTCCCTTACTCTGCGACATGTGTGCATACGCCCACACATACAAACACACACACACACACACACACACACACACACACACATACAATTACAGGTTTGGTTTGCGTGGCGAGCGTAAATTGAAAGTGCGCCTGAGAGTAGGCAGCACTCGAACTTTACTTGAACTGAAATCTGAGAGGCGCACTGAAAGTTAACTTTTCTACTGGTTTGCCTCCTACTCTTTTATTTCTTTTCGCTTTACTCTAGACCCACAGGCAAGGCCACAAATGACAAACCGTGCTGCTATCTTGGCCAGGGTAATTTCAGCTGGGAGCTGATGCCATAAAAGAAGCAACAGGAATGCATGAATTAGTGTCTGTGGGTCTGTGTACTGTGTTAGCTGACAAGCCAGCCGAGCGAGAATTTCACTACAGACTCCATTTTCCAGCACAATTCACCTACGAGTTTGTATATGCCGTTTAAGATGTGTTTAGACAATTTGCATAACATTTAGTATCGTTTATTGGCTGTGTACTCCTGTTTAACATTTAAATAGACTAAAACTATGAGTATGCATACACTTTTCCTTTATTTAACCACAGTAGAAGCTCCGAAAATTTAGCTTGCATGTAAAATAAAAAATGTCGTTTCTGAGGTCAGCTCAAAAGCACGCTACACAAAATGGGCAACATGAACTGAAGACCTTGGAAACTGTTTCCCATTTTTGCAGGGGGTGTGTGTGAGTGGAATGGGTAGGAATATGTAAATGCGAGTGTGTGTTGCTTTAGTCAAAAGAGCTGTATGTAATTGACTTCAAAAAGGTTACGTTTCTGGCAGCACTATAATTATCATCGTTGTTGTCTTGAATGTGCCTTGTGTCCCTTAAGTATTCCTTTGTATTGCTTGCAAATTACAAGAGTCTCGCATGGCAAAACAATTTACAATTATAGTTGTAGAAAAGTACTTCTAAATTTGATGGTATTTTCCTATTTGCAGTTAGATGTAAATCTTTTTAAAGTGTTATGTGTTTCATAAATGGGTTCAACAAGAATTCAATTATATTCGTTTTTACATATCTTCTGATTAAAAGAGAATATCTTCATAATTAAATGTGAATTTATGTATATAAACACATACATATCGGAATGGAATCTAAATAAATATACCGAATTCTCTACATATATTCTTAATACCAACTTTTTCGTATCTGAACGTATACTTTCGACGCGTTTGTCTTCAGTTTAGTAATTTATTACACCAGAATTGCAATTATAACTCTTTTACTTAATTATAAAATTCATTTAACTTTCCGCCAAGTGGCTTAAATACGTTCTTTGCCTTACCGTATTCTGCTAATGGTTGGTAATTGAAAACATTTTGGTAGTTGCTTGTTTGATGTGTAAACACAATTAATCCTGCGGCAACAATGTGTTACAATCAAGGAGGTCACAAAACAGAACGTAAAAACTAAGCTGTCAGATATGCTGCAAATGGTGTGCGTCTGTGTGTGTGTGTGTGTGTGTGTGTATACACGTATTTAGTCATGTACACCTGCCTGGGCTTAGGTTTCAGCTTCAGCGAGAGCTCAACGTACACATTTTTCAATTTATCGCTTTGCCTTTCCATGCTCTCTCTCTCTCTCTCTCTCTCTTTCTTTCTCTATCTGTCTCATTCTCTTGCTCTGTTTCGCTTTTATTTTCCTTATGCTACTTCCAATTTGTTGGCTAACACTGACGTGCTGTCTGTTTGTCTGTTTCATTTTCTGCGAGCGATGAGTGCTTTGTTTTATGACTTTCAAGCGCACACATACAGACACACGCACACACACGCACACACACACGCACACACACACGCACGTATATACACAGCAGCAGCAGCCTGTTGCCTGGGAGCCTGAGAAACTTTCACTGGCATCTCTGGGCTGGCGCAGGTGCCTGGTAAATTTGTGTTGCTGTCAAAGAAATCGGCACGTGCTTCAGCAAAGCCAACAGCAGCAACAGTAGCTAAATTGATTTAAATTGCAAAGGGCAACTCGCAGCTTCGCTTAATGTTGCATACTTTGCAGCGCTATGTCATCAATGGCTCATTTACTGTTGAATTATTTCCATTAGGGGCAAGGACGGGGGCATTGGCATTGCTTTCGAAATGCTGTCATAAAAGTTGGCAGCCATCTGTAAATGTATGTATATATAAGCCATGTAGATACTCAACTCACACTTCTGTTGGGTCATCATATTTAAGCTGCTTCCACATTTTTCAACCAAGTTATACTCTGAATTTCTTCCGGCGCGTTTAGCAAACTTTTTCTAACGAGAGTTATTTAAACTTTAAATTAAAACGCAGTTTGCAGTTTGTTCTACAATTTAATTAATAAATACACGTGTATAAAATGCCAATATAAAATGCGTCTTGTGAATTTTGTGGGCACTTAAAATATGCAAGAGAAAAAGCAATTTTATGCTTGATACTTAAATTGAGTTTTATAGCACGGCTTCTTTTTTATTTATGGCCGGATTATGGTTCATGTATAATGGCATAAGGGATTTTTTATTTGCCTAGACAGCTGTTGCTCTTTCTACTTGAAAGTAAAGTACATTTAATGTTTTTGTTTAATTTATTTTGAATTTTTTTGCAACTGCCTTAAAGATTTTTAATTTCCTGAATTTATAAAGTTTTTGTTTTTTATAACCGGTATAACAGTTTAACTGCTGCTTCAATGTTTCACTACAAAATATTTTAACTCTTAATATATACCCTTTTGGCTGCTTGTTTGTAGTGGGAAGTTTTTCAGTTTGACGTATAATCGAGTGATGCATTTGCAGCCCATAAATCCAGTGGTTAGTTTAGTAATGATGCAGCTGTTAAGAGGGATGCAGATGTGCTCGACTCTTTGCCCTTGTGTGTGCTTTGCTAATTGTGACAAATGGAGCCCCAGATAAATGTAAACTCTATACAGGATACAATGTGTTGTTAAGACAGAAATTGGGTCAAATAGGAGGTTTCCTTATATATTTACGCAGTGAAAGGGAATGGCGAGAGAGAGAGAGAGAGAGTAAGTTAGAGTGATAGAAAGAGAGAGAGAGAGAGAGAGAGAGGGAGTGCGAGTGCGAGTGTTGAGAGAGGTAAGGCTCCTTGAGCAGATGTTCGCTTCAAGGCTGATGACTTTTTCGTACAGTACAATGAACATCATTCAATGTGCTCGGGCTCTTGGTCGCTCAGGGCAGACAAGTGGGCGGTGGGTGTGGTTAGATATATATTTGGAGGTGTGTATATAAGCAGAAGGCATGACCACCCTTAATGGCAAACGAATTGCCTGTTTCTGAGTTTTCTGCCTTTTGTGCAGGGTGGTTGGTGCAGATATTGTTGTACATTTTACTTAACTGATATTTCTCATGACTGCTGCTGGCATTTTGAGTGCCCACCAACCGCTAATTTGATTAACTTGGCTTTTTTATTCAAGTACCATAAGCTTTAGAGGCGAATGTCCATAACGCAAAGCTTTGTTTATTGCTCTTGGCCAACATAAATGCAACAGTTAAAACATTTTTGGTTTAACTTTTATACTTGATGCTGAATACTACATATTTGATTTATCGACTTTCTAGGTTACGAAGACCTCAGGAAAATTATTACGAACTTATGAAAGTTTATGCATTGTGGTTTGTCTTAACTCTTCTTATGTCCATAATAGACTTTTATAACATTATGTCCTTTCCCTTCTTTCTTTCTTTACTTCTTTAGTTATTATTTTCCCATTTTGTTTCTAAATTTTTATTTGGCATTCCATCCAGAAACTAATGTTTACGCTTTAGTTTTCTTTACCTTAATAAGAACTAGTCAGACACTAATCAGCAACGTGATTAAAAGTTTTGCTTCACATAATAGTTGTGTTGCTTAAATATTTATCAAATCACTCAACACGCTCTTATCGCGAAACAAATAATTACGTGTGCAAACTCGTGAAACTTCTTCAGCTGATTAAGTCAATCGTGGCAAATTGGCGTCAACCGTTTGGCAAGTGCAGTTTTTGTTCTTTTTTTTTATTGTTATAAGCCAATTTTACAGAAGTCAAGAGCAACGACAAACTTACGCGTCAATAAACTAATCAACAAACTTTTTGCAAAATAAAGAGTGTTGTCAACAAGAGCAACAAGAGCGAAAGTTTCTACGCCGGCAGCAGCGAAATGCTCAGTGCGTAAAGCAGTTTCAACCAGCAGCAGGCAGCGCAAAGTTGTCTATTTTGTTTGTTGTTGTACGATGAAATTTTAATGAGCATCAGCCACAAACGAAAAACAAAGAAAAAAAAAGCCCGAAATGGGCTGCCTGAATTTCGAATATGTATATGCCATATGCAAACAGATACGCATTAATGTATAACTAAATGCGCATATTTAAAGAGCTTGTTGGAATGCTTAGTTAAACGAAGAGTAATTGTATTTAAGTTAGCAGCGTTAAGTTGTTATAGTTACAATTTTGCCAAATGACAAATCACTGGAACGCTTGGGTTGCTTGCAACATTTATAAGCTCGGATTTTTATCGATCAATGATATGAGGCAGCAAGCAAGTTGCTCCCAATCAAACATCAAATGTTGCCACTGCCTGGCAATATGTTTCTGCTGCTCAAATTTGAGAACTCTGCATTTTTAGCATCGAACATCAAATTATGTCAACAATGAGCCTTTGGCGCAGGAAGTTTAGCAAAAAAGGAAGTTTCCCAAAAGCTTTAATTTTCGTCAAATGTATTTATAAATATATAATTTAAAAATGTGCAAACTCTGCCAGTAAAATATACAAAAGAGTAGCGCTAAAATAAACATTATCCAGCCATATTGGCAAGGACCGACAAAAGTTATAGCTTAGGTTGAAATTAGTTCTATAAGATATGTAAATGTTGCCCATCGATTTGCTTGCCGAAAGCGAAATCACTGCGATATGCATCAATTGAATAAATGATGCGCCAACGGCACATGTTGCACAGGTCGATTGGTAGAGCGAGATAAGGATAAAGAGAGATCCCAGCAGGATGAGCTCACAGGAAATGGGAAATCTGTGCGGTGATTTGTTGATGTCTCTCGTCTTGTTTGGAGTCACGTACGTAGTAAAAGCTGTGCGCTGCCTTGGAAACAGGCACAAACATGTGTTTAGACTGAGTTGACTTGCAGATTATTTTTATTTGCTGTGGGAGTCGCTCCTACTAACAATTAAATTGGAATAGGTCTGTGGAAAATAAACAAAAACTGGTAAATTATACTAATTAGAGATTTGGACTATTAATTGCATAATTTGTTAAATTGCTAAACGGATTGAACTCTGTAATTTCACAGCTGACAGACTACAGTTGGCAGCTATAAAACGCGCCTGTTTCGCCGTAAATTTCATCAGTTTGGTTTTGGAATTCATTCAGGTTTTCAACATGCAACGTTTGGTTTACTCGCTGGTAATTGTCGCCCTGCTCGGCGCAGCTTTGGTTCGAGCCTTTGACGAAAAGGCTGCCATGGCCAAGTTCATGGAGGCGGGCGAGAAGTGCAAAGGCGAGGTGGGTGCATCGGATGGTGATATGGAGAATGCCATCAAACATGAGCCTTCCACAACGCATGAGGGCAAATGCCTGCGTGCCTGTGTCATGAAGAGCTTCCACATAATGGATGACAATGGCAAACTGGATGTGGATGCCGGCCGCGAGAAGGCCAAGCAGTACACCGGCGATAATCCCGAAAAGCTAAAGTTGGCAATCGAGATTGGCGATATCTGTGCGGCGCTTACTGTTCCAGCGGATCACTGCGACGCTGCCGAGGCATACAGCATGTGCTTCTCGACGGAGGCCAAAAAACGTGGCCTCAAGTAAATGGCTCAAAGGATGAACGCAAAAAAGGACACAGGCACAAATCCCCCAGGCTTAACTCGCAGACCCAATCAATTTTGTAGTTAAATATCTATGCTTAAAATAGTTTATGTTTATGCAGTTTACAGTGCTGCCAACTTGTGTGAATGTGAAAAATCTAGTTTTTAAAAATGGGAAAATAAAGTATTAGAACAGAAACTACAAATTTCTTTATTAAAAGTGGCAAGAAAAATGTTTCAGATTTCGTTGTTCTTTATTTTTATTAATATTATTAATTTTAATATTATTATTATTATGTTCATTTTAGATGATAATTTGTGGTTGAAGTTTGCTTTGTTGGTATGTAAAATTTGAACACTTACTTTCGAACTGTTTCTTCACCTTGTCGGCCTCCAGCTTGAACATCGCATCCCGCAGATTGTGGCGCTCGTCCTCGTCCAGGTTGCACAGCAGCTCCATGGCACGCTCGCTGCTCAGGTGTGTACCGAACTTGGAGTAGTTGCGGCTATTGGCGAACAATATCAGCTGCTGCTGTTGCAGCTGTTGCTGCCTCAGATTGTTGTGTCTGCTGCTGTTGTTGTTGCAGGCGAGTCTGCGACTGTTGCTGTTGGCCAAAAGTGGCGCCCGCTTTGACTGTGTGTGGTATTGACGCACTAAATGCCTGAAGGTGTCGCGCCATTGTTGTCTCATTTTTGCTATTTTTATTTCACTTATTATACAATTATATTCTGCTGCTGAGTTGCAGAGACACGATCAAAACCTGTGACGTCACTCAGGTGTGTGCTTGTGTATGCATTAATTTTCGTTTTTCGTATGTGTGTGTTGTGTTTGTGTGCGCGCGCGCGTCCGTGTGTATATAAACAAAAACACAAGCTTTACTTTGGCCTCTTCCGTCTGCCACGCACAAAAACAAAACCGCAGCCACACAAAACAAGAGCAGCCGCGACCCACAGACCAATAAATGTGTTGCGTATGCAACTTCGTTGCCCGTTCGACTGAGACGACCAGCGACGCTACCGATGACGACAGGCCCACCGTTGTCGAGCTTAAAAAATAGAGCTTTGTTCGCAAAATTCTCTCGTGCGCTCGCCAAAGTTCGCAAGTACTTTTTAGCGACTAAAATTCTAGCAGGCAACAGCTGTTTTGATGGCAAATCGACAATGAACAGCGTCTTCACGTCCCACACACGTTACAAATTGGACAAATATATTGTTGCTTGTCATGCAGTAAAATCACCGAAAGTTTACAATAAACTGTAAATATCCATTTAATTTTAACATATTAATTTAATACATGTTCGTAAAAAAAAAACCAAAAAATATATTTATTATGTCGCTACGTGTCAGACTAATTGGCAGCGATTTGAGGAGCATGGTCACACTTAATTGTGTGTATTTTTTGCTGGTATTTTTAGAGTAGTGCGCGCTAAAAAAAAAACGTATGTAAAATTTTAAATGTGTATTTTATTTGTATTTTATAGTTTGTATGTGTGTTTGTATGTGTATATGCTTACAACTAATTGGCAAAAATCTTGAGAACAGATTGCGAGCCTAGTCAGCAGCAATGATATTGGCATAAATGTATAAGATAAAATATATATAATAAATATATACTCTGTATATTACTATGTGCAATCGTTGGCCCGCTGGCCGGGAATTCCCCGCAGCTCCTGGTTGAGAGTGCGCAGCAGTGGATGCTTACCGCAGCCGCAGCGACCACGGAAATCATCCAAATCCAGAGCCCAGACCATGCCCCCACCCAAACGCAAATTGCGTACAAATTGCGCCTTGCGTCGTATGTCGGCGACATCATCATATGAGACCCACTGATTGCCACTGTACGCATATGGGCCAATTCGTCCCTCCTCGTCACGCACCACACTCCAGCCGCCACCGCTGACCTTCTCGCATATTTCATAGTAAGCCAAGAAGCCACCGGCTCGGGTGAAGGTGCCCGCCTGACCAGGTCCAATGGACTTATCATTGAGCGAGCGAGCATTTGGATTCGCCAGCGAGAAGGACTGGCCGTAAAGTGGCATGCCCATGATAAGTTTGCTAGCCGGTGTGCCCTGATCCAGCCAATAGTGTATGCTAAAGTTGCCATTGAAATACGGATTCGAATCGCCCTCAACATAATACAGTGGCGCCACGTGACCCGTCTGCTTGTCCCAGTGTCCATGGAAGTCGTACGTCATCACGGCAATCCAGTCAAAGTAGCGGGCGAGCTTGGGCACATCATAGCCAGCATCGATGACCGTTTTACTCGGGGAAACGGCTGCGGAGAGGAGCAGGCCACGTGGCTTAAATGCCTCGGATAGCTCGCGGACGAGTGCGGCAAATCCTTGCTTCTCCGCTGCTGAGCCCTTGGTACAGTCCACCTGCCAGCACACCGGATACTCCCAGTCCAGATCCAAGCCTTCAAATCCATACTTCTCCACAAAAGTCAAAATGCTTTCGATGAAACGTGCCCGTGCCTGAGGATCGAGAACCAGGCGTGCATACTTGCTGCCCAGTGAATCATTCCAGCCACCAATGGCGACAGTTACTCGCAATCCCTTCTTCTTATATTCAACGACACGTTCGTAGAACCTATTGTCAATATCGGCCCAAGAATCGTGCGTCTTTATGGTCAGCGTATTGCTGTTGAGCACCGCAAAGCCGTAGACGATGTGGGTGCAGAGATTTTCATCGATATCCTCGGGCACATACTTGCCCTGACCGGGACGATACCATGCCCAGTTTGTGAAATAGCAAACCACCTTGTAATCCTCATTGCTACCCAGTGGTGGAGATGGTGTTGGTTTTGGACGTGTTATGGGGTTCTTGGGTGGCGTCCACGGTTTCTTTGTGGGCTTTGTTGGGGGTTTGGTGGGTGGTGCTGCCGTGCTGGTGGGCTTGGGCCGCTGCACTAGTGGTGCCTGGGTGGTTTTATCAGCTCGAACTGAGCAATGCGCATTGTTGGGCCAGTCGCAGAAGTTCTCGTTCCAATGCAGGCCAGCCGGACACCTGACGGAGTGAAAGATGTGGTTAAAAATTGGGGGAATCAAGTTAAAAAATTGATTGAAAAGTTAGCTAATTAGTAAGGCTTTGAAAGAGAGTTAATTAAATTGTTTGGCAAGAGAACTTAATGGATTATATGATAGAGAACATGGCTCATACCTTTGTTCGATTAGCTCGCCATATTGACATATATAGTACTTGTTGCAGTCACGATCGTGTGGTACATAATTGCGACCGTTGCAATCCGGCGGAGTTCCATAATCTGGCTTGGCTGGAGTACTTGCTATGAAGGTGGCTGCTGTTGCTGTGTTTATGGTGGGTTTGGTCGACGTCAAGTGGCCATTTTCGCCAGCAACTGCAAAATCACAGACAATAACAAGTTTAAATTTGAGTTTCAATTTCAGTTGCCACCTCACTTACTCATTGTTTTGTCGCGCGACTCCAGGGCACACTTGGGATGCGGTCCCGGATAATTGCGTAGTACTCGATTTATGGTCTTAAGCAACGGATACGATTCGCAGCCGCAGTCGTTCTTGAAATCGTCCAAGTCCAGGGCCCAGATCATCGCCCCACCCAGACCCATGGCACGCACATACTCGCTCTTGTGCCTTATCATGGGCGCATCATCGAAGGAGACCCACTGATCCCGCGAATAGGCATAGGGACCCATGCGACCCCTTGCATCTCGCACCACATTCCAGCCCCGTTTCTGAATATACGAGCAGATCTCGTAATACGCCAGGAATCCTCGGGCACGCGTTGCCTCGCCTGCCTCTCCGCCACCATAGGTGGGTGAATTTAGCTGAATGTCGCTGGTCTGGGCCAGTGAGAAGGATTGTCCATACATGGGCATGCCCATGATAATTTTCTTACGGTCCGCCCCACTGTCAAGCCAATAGTTGATCGAGAAGTTGGCATTGAAAGTATCGGTGCCCTCGGGATGATTATACATGGGCGCCACATGACCCGTCTTCTTATCCCACTGTCCATGGTAATCATAGGCCATCACCGCTATCCAATCAAAGTAGTTTGAGAGCTCCGGCACATCGTAGCCAGCATCGACGACCTTTTTATTCGGCGAGACGGCAGCGGAGAGCAGCAGACCCTTTGGCCTGAAAGCCAGCGAGAGTTCCCGAACCAAATCAGTGAATCCCTGCTTCTCATCGGCGGTGCCCTTATTGCAGTCCACCTGCCAGCACACCGGATACTCCCAGTCCAGGTCGAGGCCTTCGAATCCGTACTTCTCCATAAACTCCATCACGTGCCGAATGAATTTCGCTCGCGCTGCAGCACTTCGGACCAATCTGGCGTACTTGTCCCCAGCCGAGTCATTCCAGCCACCAATGGCCACCGTTACCTTCACACCCTTCTTTTTGTAGGCCACGACGCGCTCGTAGAACTTGTTGTCCAGGTCTGCCCAGGAGTCGTGTGGTTGTATGGTGAGCTTCTCACGATTGAGCACCGCAAATCCGTAGACAATGTGCGTGCAGAGATTTTCATCGATGTTCTCCGGCAGAAATTTGCCACCGCCCTGACGATACCACGCCCAGTTAGTGAAGTAGCAGACCACCTTGTACTCATTGGATTCAGGAGCTTCCATTTCAAAATCACCTTCTTCAATGTCGCCATTGGGATCAATCTCGTTTTCTTGTGAGTATTCGTACTCATTGCTCGCCTCCTGAGGGGTGGACTCTGCGGGCGGCGCAGCTACCACCACTTCCTCTTCCGTTTCCTCTACGGCTTCGCTTTCAACGTCTTCACCCTCGCTGCTTGCTTGGCCAGATGATCCTTGTGACTCTTGCTCGGCATCTACTTCAACTGAAGCAGTTCCCACTTCACCAGATATGGCTTGTTCCTCCACAGATTCCGCTTCTGCTGGGATGAGGCCAGCTGCAGTTGGTTTTAGTTTAATTTAAAGTTGAGTATTTTATGATGTTTATAGACTTACGTGTCGGCTCATAGCCGCTTGGTGGATCCTTTAGCACCGCATGAATCTCACGCAGCAACGGATGCACACCATCACCACAGCGATTGCGGAAGTCGTCTAGATCTAGTGCCCAGACCATGCCGCCACCCAAATCCAAGGCACGCACCAGCTGCGATTTCTTGCGTATCATTGCCGGATCATCGTAGGAAACCCATTGGGTGCCCTTGCGCGCATATGGACCCATCCGACCACGTTCATCCTGCACCACCTCCCAGCCCTGATGCTTGACACGTTCGCATATCTGCAAGGAATTGAAATAATAATCTTATATTCTTATGACTGGTCCCCTAAGCTGCTCTTTGTAGACTCACCTCGTAGTAGGCCAAGAAGCCCGCTGCTTTTGTGAATTCACCCGCCTGACCTGGTCCTGGTGCTTTGGCATTCAGACCATTGTTGTGGGCATTCTCAAGTGTAAAGGACTGACCATACAAGGGCATGCCCATCACAATCTTGCGGGAAGGAGCACCCTGATCTATCCAATAGTTGAGCGAGAAGTTCTGAAATTTATGAGGCAAAAATATAATAAATGAATTGCAAATTATTCGTTGTAGACTTACGGCATTGAAGTAATCGAAATCGTCATCGGGATGATGGTACAAGGGCGCCACATGACCTGTTTTCTTATCCCACTGCCCGTGGAAATCGTAGGTCATCACAGCAATCCAGTCAAAGTAGTCGGCGAGCTCAGGCACGTTGTATCCAGCATCGATGATCTTCTTGCTTGGCGAGACAGCAGTGGAGAGGAGCAGACCACGTGGCTTGAATGCCTCCGAAAGTTCCCGAACCCATGCAGTGAAAGCCTCCTTTTCATCGGGGAAGCCCTTGCTGCACTCTGTTTGCCAGCACACCGGATACTCCCAGTCCAAGTCGAGGCCCTCAAATCCGTATTTCTCAATAAAGTCCAAGGCATGTTTTATAAATTTGGCACGAGCCGCCGCATTTCTAACGAGGCGACTATACTTGTCACCCTGAGAATCGTTCCAGCCACCCAGAGCCAGACTCACCTTGACGCCCTTGCTCTTCAGTGCACTTACGCGCGTATAGAAATTGTTATCAATGTCCGCCCAGGAGTCGTGAGTGCGTATCGTGAGTTGCGAGTAATCCAAGACGGCGAAGCCATAGATGACATGGGTGCATAGATCCGTGTTGATGTCGTCGGGCGTATAGCGACCCAAGCCCTTGCGATACCACGCCCAGTTGGTAAAGTAGCAAACCACCTTGTAATAACCATCAAGTTGCTCCAATTGCGGTTTATCTGTGGGATAGGTGGGTCTGGGCGTCGTATTTGGTCGTTGTGTCGTTGGCGCCGGTTTCGCCACAGCTGGTGGCTTGGGATTGGATGTGGGTCTGGAGCCATCTCCTGGTGCAGCACCTTCTTCCTTGCACTGAGCCGCCACTGGCCAGTCACAATTGCCCAAGGCTTCGTTGTAGTGCAGTCCAGGTGGACAATCTGCACCCTGGAGACGATTCCACAGACAGAACAAATATTTGGTGCAATCACCCGGATATGGAACACGCTCCTCCCCATTGCAGGGATCCTCCTCACTGGACTTGGACTGCGCAATGCGTAAATATGTCTTGCTAGTGAGGCACTGCACATTCTGTGGCCAATCGCAGATCTTTCGGATGGCATCCCAGTGGAGTTCAGCGCCACATTCATTGGGCACAAGGACTCCATTCACACAGATGTAGTATTGGCCACAGTTCCTATGCGTATAGTATTCTCCCTCGTTGCAGCGTGAGGAATTGTGTGGACGTGGTCTCTTGGTGGTGGTGCGATGTGGCTTACGAGTTGTGATTGGTTGTGGTTTGCGACTGGGCTTGCCTGTGGTTGTGGTGCGTCTGGGTTTCTTAGTGGTGCTGCTGCTGCTGGTTGGTCGTCGTGAGGTGCTGGTTGATCGTCGTGTGGTGCCGGTTGGTCGTCGTGTGGTGCTGGTTGCTATGGTAGTGCGCTTGCTCGCAGTAGTCTGTTGGTTCTTCACCGCACACTGAGCGGAAGAAGGCCAATCACAGCCCTTGACCTCGTTATTCCAATGCAGACCACCCGGACAATGTTGCTGACGCAGCTCACCCGCCTGAACGCACTGGTAATATGCATTGCAGTTCTTTGTATCCGGATAGAATTCACCAGCCTCACAGCTGGAGGCTTGCACCACGGGATAAACTAACGCGGGCACTGGTATAGTGGTGTGTGGTGGTCTTGCTGTGGTTTTAGTGGGTGTCGGTCTGGGCTTCGGACGACTCGTAGTTGTAGTTTTAGGTGAAGTTGTTGTTGGTTTGGTCCACCAGGTGGGCGCTGTTGTGGTTGTTGTTGGATTGGTCCACCAGGCGGTAGTTGTTGTGGTGGATCTTTGAGTGGTTGAGCTGCTGATGGGTCTTCGAGTGGTTGACTTGCTCGTCTCGTCCCAGCTGGGCCAGGCAGTCGTTTGCTGATTATGATTATGATTATGATTACCACCCTGTGATCCATCACTACTGACCGTCGTCATCTCTGGTGGTTGTGGCGTAACTGGCTGTGGTGGACGCTCACAATTACTTCTCGTTGGCGGCTCCGAGTCCAGGCGACCCAATGCGCGATTGATAGCCTTTAATAGGGGATACGCTTCACTGCAGCAGCGATTTTGGAAGTCATCCAAGTCGACGGTCCAGGCGGCCACACCACCAAAATCATTGTTGACCGCATAACGTGCCTTGGCCTCGACACTGGCCGCATCCTCATAGCCCACCCACTGATCCCGGAACATGGCATATGGACCACTCTTGCGATCCGCATCTCGGCCCGTTTGCCACTTCTGTTTGCGGATGCGCTGACAGATCTCATAGTAGGACAGCATGCCGGGCTGTTTGGTCAGCTCGCCTGCCTCGCCGGGACCACTGGCTGGAGCACCCTCACCCAGCAATCTCTGACTGCTCTGCTCGAGCGTGAAGCTCTGCCCGTAGAAGGGTATACTCATTATTAACTTCTCGCGACGCGCGCCCATCTTCACCAGCAGTTGCATTGTGAAATCTGTGTTGTACTGCGGATACTTATCCTGCTGCCGTCCATAGAGCGGACTCACATGACCAGTTTGATGCTCCCATGGACCATGATAGTCATAGGTCATCACTGTCATATAGTCCACGATATCCGAAAGCGGGGCTAGCTCGTAGGCCTCGCTGATGATCTCCTTGTAGCCCGATATGGCCACACCCAGCTGCATCTTGGGATTTACTCGATTCAGCTGTGAGCGAATCTCGCGGAGTAGCTTGGTCAGATTGGGCCTATCGCTTGCCGGTCCCTTCGAGCAATCGCTATGCCAGCACTTGGGATAGTTCCAGTCCAGGTGTATGCCACTGAAGCCATGTCGCTGCAGAAAACCTGCCGCACTGGAGGCAAACACCTTGCGCTTGATCTCATCGCCAGCCAACCGCGAATACTTATCCCCATTCGAATCTGTCCAGCCGCCCATGGCAATCAGGACCGGGACACCCGAGGCAACAGCACGCTTATAATACTGGTTCTCAATATCCACCCAGGGATCAAATTCGCGTATGGTCAAATGATCCGGATCCAGTGAGGCAAAAGAATAGACAATAGCTGAGCACAGCTTGGGATCCAGTTGCTCGGGCACAAAATGACCATCGGCCTTGCGATAGAAGGCCCAATTGGACATGTAGCAGAGCACCTTGGATGACGTATTGTAGTTCTTCTTCCTCTCCGTTGTAGTCTTCAGCTGCGATAAGGCGCCATAGGCAGCGCCATTTGACGGGAGATTCGCTTGGGCTAGTGCTCCATAGAATTGCGGCTCCGTAAAGTTATCGAGCTCATCAATGCGCTCCAGTTGCTCAATGTCCACCGACTTCAGCAGTTGCTGATGTGGCGAGCCCGAGCGATAAGGTTGCGGCTGATAGTCATCATCTGAGCTAGGTGCTATAAAGGCAGCATATTTATCAGACACCGACCACGCATCCGGTTCTACGAGGTGACTGAACTTTCCCTGCTGCTCCTCCTCGGGCGCGTCGCGCACATAACTGGCTGGCGATGCTCCAAATTGTTCCGACTCCCCTTCACTCTCATTCATATAATCATCGTCATCGTCGCTGGGCTCTGCCTCGACGGAGTCCCGCACAAAGGAACGAAGTGGCGAAGATTCACGCAACTGGGCCACGTTCCGCTCATTGATGGTGGGCACACTCTCCACGGCGCTGCGCAGCGGCAGGAAGGTGTCCCCGAATGTGGGTCGTATGCTGAACCGACTCATTACAATCGGGTCCTCCTCGAGGGGCATGCTCTCTACGGCGGAACGCACAAAGGCTGGCTTGTAGCTGTACGCCTCATGCACCTCGGGCGCCTCGATGCGAATGTGCCCCGTTGTAGCTGTTGCCCACAGGCACAGCAACTGCAATGAGCACATAATGAGCTTTTATTTTAAGTACAAAATGTATTAGTACGAAATATTATTAGTACCATTAGTAAAATCTGAGCACAAAATATATAAATAAATTCCAAATTGTCTAAATGTAAAATATTTAAATAAATCTAAAACTGTATTTATGACATTTTCCTATTAGTGAAATCGCAATTCCATTGTCTAAATACAAAGCATTTTAATACATTTAAAATTGTATTTTTTAGACAAAATGTTTAACTGTAGAATAATACAAAATTATTGATGATAGAAAACGAAACTGTAAAATAAGAGAATTATTATTTTTTATTGAAAAAATTTAAATTTCATTTTGTTGCAAAATTATATTTGATCTGAATGCTTAACATTTTTATTCAAAGCTTTGCAAATTTCATATTCTTTCTGTATTATGGAAAGTCTTGATCCAATTTTGAGAACATTGTTTTGTTATTAGTTCTTACGTTTTCTATTTTACTTTTTGATATTACTACGAAATATGCAGATTTCGTATAGGAGTTTTAATTTTATTGTATCTAGCTAACATTTGATCGTGACGTGATGACCTCTCTACTAAAAGTAGCAGTAGTAGTATGCTATGATAGTAGTAGTATTAGTAGTAGTAGTATTAGTAGTAGTAGTAATAGTAGTAGTAGTAGTATTAGACTTGTGATTGGTTGACTTACCAGCAGCCCCATGAGCGTAGCTCTTCTACGCATGTTGAAAGCTTTCGCTTGTCCCCCTTTCACTTCTTCTATTTTGGCGCTTTTTTTTAGCTGCAAAAAAGAAACAAAATCATTTTGGTTTAAGTGGGTATGCCAAATATTTGATGTTGTTTTGGGTTTTGTTTACGTCATGGTATGAGTCTGCAGTGAGTTTAGCGCGAAAAACATTTTTCTTATTTGTTGCCTGCTGTTATACTTCCCATTGAATCAGCTTTGCATATGATTTATAAAGACAGCCAGTCGCACGCATTATCACGTCAGCTTTGTCCTCTCATATTATGTGCGGCACATTTAAATGAGTTAAGGCTGAGCTGCGTTTTCTTGGCTGACAAATTGGGAAGTAATTGTTCATTTTTTGTGTTGTGCGTGTTGTCCGGAACTTATTGAACTTAATGTCTTCTAGGCTTTTAATTAATTTGCCAGGCATGTCACGAAATCGACACAGGCCCACAAATGAAAAATAAAATTGCATTGGTTATAGATAAAAAAAATATAATGTGCATATTTGTACTTCTGGTTTGGTTTCTAAAATTGGCTTTCTTTCACACAGTTTTTTTTTTTTTTAAATATTGTTATAAATATGTTTTTAAGACATTTACCAAAGCGAAATTTTAATTGAATTTCATAAATCGGCTTGTTAACATTGAATTAATTTAAAGTGTTGTGTTTGAATTGGTCGTCATAAATTAGGTTGTGATTTTAATCTTCGCTGAATATTTTTAGCTCACAAGTTCCGTTGAGTAGGAGCTGTGACACATCCCTTGCATCTCAATAAACTTCATTTTATTACAATAATTAAGTGAATAAAATTTTCGAACACCAATCGAAAATGTAAAAAAAAAAAACAATTATTTGATGCTATCTTTCAACTTCAATTTAAAATGCTATGGGCGTTTTAATATAGAAAATATTTGTGAAGTATCTGAGATGTGTAAATAACACTGATTAATAATAGTAATAATAATAATAATAATAGGCATTGTGATTCATTAACATTTTTGTCAAGGTGTCTTCAGCTTGATGACCCACAAACGTTGCCTGTTTGTATTTTGGCTTATTCTTTGTTTCTCTTTCGCCGTTTCTAGTTTTTATATTTCTCATAGCTTTTGAATAATTATCTTCCTTTACAACTCTTCGGCCCATTTAAATTTGCGTAGCTTGCTCTGTTTTGCCAACATATTTTAAATATTTATATATATATATATATATTTGCTAATATGCAAATCCGTTTTCCGAATTAGGTTAAGAGCTTTTCGATGTTGACCGGTTTTCGCGGGATTTACTTTGTTCTGGTTGCGGTTAATGAACGATAATGAAATGCGACGTAATATGGACGACATTATGTATGGTAATCGAAAAGAAATGTAATTCCATTTGTGAAAAGATGTTGAACAAGTTTTGCGCTTAAATTTCATAAGCTGGCAGCAGCAAAGCAGGGCAGGTTTTCATTTGGGGTTCATTGAACGCCAAGAACATCACGCATTGATCCTGCTCCCAGTTCGCAAATTAAAGATGTGGCAAAACGAAAGATTGTGCATCAGTGAAAGGCAGCCACTAGAATTTATCTGCTTGCGTGGAACTTTCATCTTTTATTACAAACCAATTTAAATGCACATATATGTATAAAGAATTTTGTATTGAATGCACAAGCTCTTTTGCTTCTGCATAGTAGAGATATAGATAACTTTATATAAGGGTAACTTTGTTTTATACAATTATTTATGTATATGTTTTATATAATTATTTCTGAATTTTGTGCAGTTGTGCATTAAATACAGAATTGCTATTCAGTTTTAATGTTTGATTTACTAAAAAAAAGCTCTTAGAATGCAGATTTGTTAAAAAATCAAGAATCATGTAGAAATATTTTAATTTTTAAAATTAGTTACTTTTGATACAAGCAGTTTAATTTTTTATGTAGAAATATAAGCAAAACAATAAATGTGCATATCCGTGAATCAGTTTCATCCACATATAAAGTTTATTATATGCAAAGTTTTAGCATTTAATGTGCCACTATTAAAAATCCATAAGCCTGGCCACAAGCTGGGATTTGGGACAGTCTCTACTCAGCGAACACAAAGAATTCCTTATGCACTTCACGTACAGACACACAAAAATACCACTTCATATGCATTCTGATATCCATTTACTGTTGGAACAATCGACACAATAACACACAACAGCAGCAACAAAGGTTTACTTAAAGAAAGTATCCACGTTCTCACTTCACTTGACTCATCCATCCGCACTTACTTAACGGCTGTATGTATATATTCCAAAGGGGTGTAGCTATATTCCAATGGAGATTCACTCTTTCAATTCTATGTCGCGAGAACCTTTGCGCGTGCGCGCCCGAAACGAAACTGTTGCCGATCGCACTGGGGAGGCTCCTATTTATACGCAAACTAAGCGTGCTGCAAAAAAGAACCAAAAAGCGCCCGAAGAAACGTTCTAAAATGTTAAAGTGACAGGAGGGGTAAGCTGGCTTGAATTGTCGCAAGCCAAATACTCTTTCATTTCTTATTAAAGTCACATTTCACATTGAAAATGCGAAGAGACATTTAAATTCCATAAAAATATATTTAAAGTAAATGAAACAAATATTTTAAAATGATATAGAACTACTCGTTATACCATAATGAAGATATTTTAAAATCAATTCTCAGTTAAGTTCCACATCGTTTAGAAAAAGCGAAGAGACATTTGTATTCCACAAAAATTAAATTTTAATTACTGTGCTTTTAATAAGTTCATTTTTGAAAACAATTTTATTTGTGCTAATTAAAATGCAAAATTTTAACATGTGCTGCTCAGATCACTTAAACATTAACTTTATTCATTTTCATTTCAGATTTACACATTTCACCTCATTTTCAGTGTAATAATCTCATTGACACTCAATGACTGCAAAAAATCAAAAGACATTCAAATTGTTAGCATGTGTAACATATTCATACAAAAATCAAAACAAATCCGTTACCAGTTTCTGCCCTCTGCGTGTTTCTCCTCCGCCCGACCATTGTGAAGTTAATGCGCGAATGTGAGAATAAAAACAAAAAAAGCGACAACCGGTGAGTGAGAGACGCGATGTCTCATAAGTTACCGATGTCGACGTCCAACAGAAGCTGGTCCAGTTCTTCGGCAGTCTTGTCAAGCAAAATCAAGCAGCGTAATTAATTAGCTTCTTCTTCTTTTTCGATCTGCTGCCCGCATCTTTGATAAATGGGTTAGACTTTCTCAAACATAATATTAATTAGTTACTGAAGTACATTTCTCAATCATTTCATTGTTAACAATCTACTGATATTGGTAGCTCATTATATAGCAGATCTTTAATTTTTTGAATATTTGAATACTGCCATGAATTTCTATGTTATCTGTTTATAATTTATGATTTATTTGATTTTAATATTATTCTTAAATTTTGAATAATGCCTTTTGAATAGAAATTTCTAAACTATAAAAAAGTTAGTTGAAGAATTTCCACAAATAACTCACACTCACAATACACTTAAATTAAAGAGAGTGTAACTTTATTAAATATCTGAAGATCATAATAACATTAACGCATGAATATCACATTCTCAATAAGTTTAAAATTTAAAAGAGGCGCCAATTAAAGCAGAGCCGCTAAGGGTACTAAAAATTACCAAGACGCATGGGGCGATAGCTATTATCGTTTTACCACCACAATGCCATCCATCGCATCGCGTCTATCGATAGCTGCTAAGCAACCTGTGTGCAGCGGCTGGTAAACAAATATTGTTGAAAATTTATACAACGAAAACAGGCGTCCCGCGACAAAACCAATGACGACGGATGTCAAGCAGGTGTTAGCAAACTACTTGTGTAGCCAAGAGTAACACAAAACAGCCACTAGGGAAACTGCAGCTGTTTATTTATAGTAACATAATAACAACAACAATAAAAAAACCACCAACCACCCCCAGTTGTGAGCTGTGTGAGTAGGCGTCGCATAATTGGCAGAAACCGCAAGTGCAAGGATACGCGATTTACAGTTACAGTTACAGTTGTTGTTGTCGTCACAGGCCTATCGTCCCGTCAGAGTCAAGGTGAGCGCCGTGAGCGACCGCGTGACGTCTTCATTTTTGACATTTGCGTGTGTTATGAAATTACATTTATTGGCGGCTGTCCTCAAGAATCCAAAACAAAATTTGTGAAATTGATTTAACTTATCTTAGATTTTAGAAACAATAACAAAATGGAGCAAAGCGTAACTGCTTCTAACATTGCCACGGCTTCCACACCAGCGCCAGGCCCAACGACAGCGGCAAATTCAAAACGCGGCACGCAGCAGGGACGCAAAAAGTCTGGACCGAAATTTGAGTTATCCGAGGCACAAAAATCGGACATCAAGGAGGCATTTGATCTATTCGATAACGAGTGCACCGGCTACATTGAGGTCAAGGAACTGAAGGTTGCCATTCGTGCGCTGGGCTTTGAGCCAAAGAAGGAGGAAATCAAACGGATGATAGCGGAAATCGATAAGGACGGCAGCGGACGGATTGCGTTCAATGACTTTCTACACCTGATGACAATGAAAATGGCCGAAAAAGATACCAAAGAGGAGATTTTGAAGGCGTTCCGCTTGTTCGATGACGACGAAACGGGTAAAATTTCGTTTAAAAATTTAAAGCGCGTTGCACGCGAACTTGGTGAAACCCTGACGGACGAGGAGTTGCGCGAGATGATTGATGAGGCGGACCTGGACAACGATGGCGAAGTCAATCAGGAGGAGTTCCTGCGTATTATGAAGAAAACCAGCTTGTATTAATCAATTATATAATGGATTCCAATTGAATTCATAGTGTTAAGCTGCATTCACATTCACATTGTCTAATTTAAACCGTTATTTAATAAGTTTAAGTTTAAGCTTTTGTGTAGCTAATTTCTATTGCCAAGTTATTGCTACATTTGCTCAACTTGAGCTGCTTTTTATGTAAGTGTTAAGTGTGTTCCTTTCCATAATTGTAAAACATAAGCTAATGCACCGCCTGAATGTTCGCACAGTTATAATCTCAATGATGAATAAAACATCAGCTATTTAACGTTGTCAATTATTCCTGTCCTGTTATGCCTTCTGATAAATTTCCCACTCAATAATAACTTTGTCGAAAGTGTTGAACTAGTTGATGACGCTTACCGAAAATCGAAACAAAGGAATATTTGTTTGTGTTTGTCTTCGTAGATGACCCCACATTCCTTGAAAGCAGTTCGATAGAGTTAGTCCTTGCGATTGTAACGCATAATCTCATTCAAAATCCTGTAAGGATTTGGTCGATCTAGAGCCATTTAGCACACCGTCTTTGTGTGCCTAAAAGTATGCTCCATATTTTAAGAGCGCAAATCAACTAAGAACCGAAGAATATGATATAAAATGATCAAATTTAAAGATAAGCCGAAAAGTTCACACAGCTAATCGGTTATTGATAAGACGAAGATAAAATAATGTACATTTTTCTCTTTGCAATTGTTTATTATCTGCTTTTATTCATGTGAAAATTCTCTAAACATTTTAATACTTTGCCGACTTAAAAACTAAACAAAAAGACGGACCACATACAAAAACTTAAATTCGTCATACACATAATATAGTATTGGTTGATATACCGATAAATAAATGTATATATAAAAATATACACATTTATAGTGGGTACATCTAGGGAACTGGCGTACTAAACGAAGGGCGCATTAAAGTAGATTTTGCGTTTGCTCGGCAAGGGTTTGGTGCTCAGACCCGATCCTTCGATGAATTTCTCGAAGCTTGCTAAATTCTTTTTCATTTGCTTGGTCTTGGCGGGCTCGGGTTTTAGCAGCACCTCTGGCAACTGCTGCTCATTCTCATTCTCCTTTTGCTCTGCCTCCTCTTCCTGCTCGGGCTGCAGCTGAAACTCCTCATCCAGATTGTATTCGTCCGCTGCGGTAACTAAACACTCGTTATCCTCGCTAATCTCCTCCAGCATGCCATCACTTTGAGAGCTCTTCGGCGCCTCATTGTTTCTGCTATCGTACTCAGCATCCAGATTATACCAATCGAATTCGGCCTGAAGTGGAAGACCACTGCTGGCGTCGGCCAACTGGAGCAGTGATTTCGATGTGAGTGTTGTCGGCAAGCTCTTGGGCGTGGTGGGCGTCGTTGGTGAACTGGGCAAACTCATGCGCTTGTTAATCTCGGCCAGTATATTGGGTACATGCTTGCGCTTGTACTGCGAAGGCATCGTCTGCGCGTTGGAAGGTAGTTGTAGACGCAACTGCGTCTTGGGTGCCATTATTAAATAGTCAGCGGATTGCTTGGGCGCTATAATGGCCGCCACATTTGGTAGCTTTGGTATGTCGGCGAAAATCTCTTCGATTTCCTCAGTCTTGTGCGAGGCGGCATTATCCAAACAATTGCGATTCTGATTCAGTTCCGCATCCGTTGTCGTACTCGATTCGGGCGCCTTGTGGACAACGGCCACAATTTGCACGGATGTGACGCCCACCTCGGCAATGGAGCAGTAGTCCGGCTCACTGGTCGTTGTCGTTGAGACTGCACAATCGGCCTCATCCTCCAGCTGCTCCTCCAGTTGTTGCAGCGATTTCTTAAACTTGAGCAGATTCGCTGGCTTCGGGGGCAGAGCCGGCGGCAATTTGTGTGGCGTCTTGGTGGTGGCCAGGCTGGCATCCGCTGCAGCGGCTGCCATGTCCACATAGAGATTTGAGGCACGTTCGGAGCCAATGGGCTCGTACTCATTGCTATAGATGCTCTCGTAGTTGAGGGTATCACTTGGGACGGTAGTCGGGGCAGCAACGCTGGGATGATAGTGTGAGATCAATTGGTCGGATTGGGTTTCCTCCACATCCTCGTGCCGTGGCACGTGCACCATGCTGTTCTTTGTGGAGAAGTGCACACGCTTGCGTCCATTTGTGCCACTGCGTCCGCTCAGCGAGCTACGACGTGGCAGATTCGATGATGCTTTGGGCGCCAGCGAGGATTTGGGCGTTGGCGTTGTAGGTTCTCGCGATGTTTCCTCCATGGACTGCTGGAGTAGGATTTGATTGACACACTCCAGCACGGGATTGACGGCACCTTGGCCATAGTTTGGTTTGGCCACCGCTGGCGCTGTACTTAGCTCCTCCTGATCCGAGGCGCTGGCATACCAATCATCGGTGGTTGTCTCATAGATTTGCTTGGGTGACGCTTCCGAGAAATCGGCGCAGCGACGCTGCACAATTTTAATAGCGCCGCGCGACATCAGCTGCTGCTCCTGCTCCGGATCCAATTCATCGAAATCCTCGTCATCCTGCGTCGGCGAAAAAATGCCATCGTCCTCCTCCAGCTGTGCGGCCACGGAGGAAGCCGTCTTGCTGCTGCTGCGACTGGAGGAACTGTTGCGTCTACGCTGCTGCTGCTGCTGCTGCTGTTCGAGCTCCAAGCTGCTGTGCTCGGAGTAGTCACCATCCTGGAGCGCTGTTGCCTTCACGCCATGCATACGTTCCATGGCTCTGGCATAGTTGTGCAGCTGCTCGTAGCTGGTCTGCGAGTCCTCGCGACTGATGCTGCTCGTATTCTCCTCCGACTGCTGCTCCAGCGCTGCATCATCAATATGCATCGCCCGGGAGCGCATATAATCCCGGAACGTGCCCGCCGTTCGCTTGCTTGTGTAGCGCACACTGCGCCTCGCTCCATAAAACGACGATGAGACGGTGTCATCGCTGGAAGAGCCGTGCTCAGCTGCAACAAAGGGAAGACAATTAATACGATTGCAAAAGATTTGATGAAGGCAATTAGAAAATCACAGAAAATCAACTAATACAATTGGGGACTTATTAATAGTCTTGTAATAACTATCAGCTATTAAATTTTGTTTAATAATTTCATTTATTTTATATATTTTTACAAAAAAAAGGAGAATCGATAGCATTATCAGCAAACCTATTTTAAAACACTGATTAAAAAGAGTGAATAAATTCCCGTATTTTTAATTGAACTCAAATTTAGTTACGTATATTTATTATATATTATATTTGTATGATAGAATAAATATCCTATCCTTCACGCATATATTGTTGAGCTTTCATGATGATTCAGCTGAAGCGAAAGCATATTATCTATCAAGTTCAAATTCTATCATCATAAAAAAAACAGCAGTTTGTCTATGCAAATAATTTAAAGCAGTTCGTAAAAAAATACAACACTTAAATAAAACTTGATTATCTTGATTGTAAACTCTGAACACACGCAGAAGACAGATAAGTAAAATTTAAATCAATCTAGAAACATAAATCCCACTGCTGCCTTTGCAAAGTCCCAAACTCAAAAATAAGCATAGAATAAAGTAATCAAGAAAATAATTACAATAATTATTTCTGAGTCGTATTTTTGGGATTTCCCTGCCATTTCTCTTGCTAACTTTAAACACTTCAAATTGGAGAACTTTGTTTCTTCTTACCTTTGACGCTGATGCCCAACTCCTTGCCACAGGTCTGGGTGCCGCTGGCTCTCAGCTCAATGTCATAGAATTGCTTGCGGCAATTGTTGCATTGCAAAGCCTCGAGCACCAGGCACTCCTCCACGTGCTCCTCCTCGTCAGCATTTGGATCCTGATCGGCGACCATGCCCTCATCCCGCTGATGATCGACCAGACGCTTGCGCAGCGCACGATTCTGACGCAACAGACGACAGATCTCAGCATCCCGATCCAACAGACGCTGATTGACCGTCTTCATATCGTTCTTCAGCTTGGACTCGAAGCAGAGCAGCGATTTGACCACACAGGCCAGCTCCTCGCTGCGTCGCCGCTTCTCCTTGGCCAGTTCGCGATGCAGCTGCTTGTTCTGCTGATCATAGTTGGAGATCATTTGCAGCAGACGGCGACGCTGCAGTCGCTCCGGCGAGTTGGCTGCCGCTGGCACGACAGGTGCTCCCGACGAACTGGAGCCGGATGAGCTGCGTTGCACTTCGCTGCTGCTGCTGGCGCCGCTGCTATGCGTTTTTCTCGAGGATTGCGAGTTGTCTGAGTTCTGCAAGCGAAATCGAATAAATCAATTAGTTGTGATTGTTGCTCATGTGCAGCATATCGTTGATGCCTCAGCAGACCTTTGGATGTCCCAGCACATGAAAATGACCCCCGAATTTCCATTTGCCCACCATTGTTGTGGATTGTGCACTTTGCTTGGACAGCTCCAAATGACAACTGTCCCTGACACCTGTGGCTAACTGATAATGTGGTGCGATTCTCTTATCTGAGTGGGTTCTTATTCTCATGACGCACACTAACTATTCTGCTAGTCGCTAAGTGTAGTTATCTGGTATGTGTTTTGGGAAAATGCGATCGATGACTTGTAATAACTGAAATCAAATTTGACGAATAACATTATCTGCTCTTTTTTAAGCTGACATGTTTAAATTTTAAGCCTAATTTAGATCTTGAAGCTTCAAAAAGTACTCATTTAGAAGAGAAATTTATTTAAGAACGTGTATAGATTCTCTAACGATCTTCTACACTATTCAAATATAAGAATCATTTCAAAATTCTCAAAAAAAAAACTTGTAATACAAACTTGTACGATGTGGAATATAAGAAAGTGGTGAATTTTTTAAATATCCCTACGAGTATGCTATAAAAACTCAAATTGGCTATAAAATATATGAGAATATTCTTTTTTATTTATTTTATTGAGCATCGAATGGAAGTGACTGTGTTCTTTAATTGAATACAATCCTTTTTCCTAGGTTTGCTAGATTTTTCACTTTCAATAAATGTCTATATTCACGTTCAGTTTGGTTGCCTGGTTAAACCTTGACCTAAATATTATAATAGACCCCAATTAGCCTATCATCAATCAATGGTGTTTAGCTTTTAAAGAGCATTCAGTTGTGCACAAACCACAAACAGCTTTGGCGTGTGTTCTATCTTATCAACTGTTTGGGCTTATTGTCAAACAAATAATAAAAGTGTCCGAAGCGTATTTAATGTATCCGTCAATGAGTTTAGATTTATGACGTTTTGTTGTTTTGCAAAAATCCGAATCATACACCACATGCCACTTGCCACATGCCAAGCCACCCCCATCGAAGGCCATTGGCACAGTCAGTTGGCATCTGCGTGCTATTGACCAACTATGGAAATTGTGACAGCAGCTGTACAGCTCCGATGATGACACGTTCCAACAGATACAGATTCTTGGACAGCGTGAGCTCAAAAAATTCGAAACATGCGACAAGCAATTCGCGATTCGCTTATGGGCGATGAAAAAGAACAAAATTAAAAGACAAAACAATTGGTGCCAAGGCGAATTGGCCAGCGCATTAGACAATGGGCTTATCACCACAATTAGAAAGCTAAGAAAGCAATCACGGCCAGCCAACTATCTATCTATCAGCTGACTTAAACATTTCGCTGATAAGCAAAGCCCAGCCGCGTGCTCGTGCCGCGTGCTGATAAAAACTCATTTTTGGCAACGTTGCACGCTCTGAAGTATTTTAACTGCATGTTGTATCTTTAAGATGCAGACTAAGTGCTGACTAAGTAGTTGTTTGTTGTGGCTTTGCTTTGTTGCAAAAATGATGTACAAAGTAAAAGATTACTGCAAACTCTGGGTTAGTCACAAGGCTACACTAAATATGTGAAAGTGTATACATTTATAAATGTAAATATGGCTGAGTTAGTTTATCAGTGTCTAAAAATACGTATATTAAATTCACTTCGCTACAGTGCAAATTGTTTGATCATGAATTCTGTATCTAATCACTACTTAAATATAACCAAAGAAAATCTTCTTTGTGCTCTTCAAATATTGAATGAAGAATCCAAGTATCGTATGATATATCAGTCTTGGAGATAGCCCAAAATATATAGTGTGTCACATATATCTTTAAATATAGCTGAATTACTTCTATCAATATCTAAAAATAACTGCATTAAATTCACTTCGCCACAGTGTAAATTGATTGATAAAGTATTCTGTATCTAATCACATCTTAAATATAACTAAATAAAATCTACTTGATTGTTTACTTGTTTGCTACTTGAGATGTTTGTTCTTTGTAAATATTCTTGTGTATCTTTTATATCCTTTTCCTACAATATATAGATATAATAAAAAACCTCTGACATAGCCAACGAAAGTCTTATTCAAATTGTAAATATAAAATATTTAAGCAAACAAATCTTTATATTTGCAAACTAATTGTTGTAGGGAACTTTGAAATGTTAGCTTTATTATTATTGTGGCAGTCAACCAAGTAGCTTATTTAGCACTCCCACTTCCTATTCCTTGAATTACTTACATGCTCTGCACTCTGCTTTTGCAGTCTCGCACCGAATCCAAGTTTCTTATATGCAGGCGTATGTCCAGCTGCTTGTGTATTGAAGTGTGACTCCAAACTGGGCTCCGGCAGTTTCTGGTAATGTTGCAGCGTTGCCGCACCCGTTGTGGACTTGGAGCGCATATTTAGTTCGTTGTTGTTAGTATTGGAGTTGTTGTTGTTAGGGCTGGAGGATTTAACTTTCACGGCCTCATAGAACTCGCCGTCGCCGTGACTGCGATAGCTGCCTTGTAGACAGCTGAAGCTGCCCCAATCCGTTTGCAGATTGCTATATAGAGGACTGTTCTCCGCCGATGATTTGTCCTTCTCCGTTGGCGATTTACCGCCGCCGCTGCCCTGGCACTTGAGTGTATCGTAGCCGTTGAGCAATTCGCTCTTGATGAACTTCTCGATGAACTGGCTGGGTGACTTGGCGCTCAGATTGGCAAAGAACTTGCCGCCCGTATCGCTGAGGCTGCTCGTCGAACGTCGATGTTGCTGTTGTTGTTGTTGTTGTTGTTGTTGCTGCTGCTGTTGTTGCTTCTGAGTCTTATGTGGCAGACTGTTGCTCTTCTTCTGGCCACTGCTGCTCTCATCCGGGGATGTCGTTTGTTCCGCTGTCGTTGTTTGTGGCAGGCCATAGATCTGGGAGCTGCTTAACAGACTAAACATATTGTTTTTGTTGCTTTTGTTTTGTTTTTTTTTTTTTGGGACTGCTGCTGGCTGGCTAGTTTTGCTATTAGACGCTCATTAACGGCAACTTCATGGCTTGCGATGTTGGCTTGAAAAAAGCACTGAAATGAGCAAAAGAAAGAGTGAAAAGATTAGCTAACTTATATACATGCCGAGCATATCTAAAAATAATTCAATTATAATGTGTGCAACGATCGTGCAATACAAATTCCTTTGCATTATTAGTTATGCTCAACTAAGTGGATAGATAGTTACATATGTATCTCGGAGATAAACATGTGTATGTGTTATAACCAAGTCAATTAGCTACCTATAATGTGTCAACTGTTTGATATGTGGCAATCATGAAATTGTCACAGCAATTTGACATATTTATCGCATTACTTTTACCCACGTCCACAATGTGGAGATATTTCACGGGTTTTCGATTGATTTGTTAACTTGATGTTATTATCAATAAGCATGCCAGTTGTTTGCATAGATGAGAATATATTTTAAGGCATTTATTATTTCTTTATTAAATGTTGAATATAGGCACATCAGATAATAATTTGTTCGTTAGTTGCAGGTGTATCTTATCCGACAGATACAAGACTGGCATAAATATGATTAAGATTAAATAAATAATTGATAACAGACGTTTTGGTATTTGTATTTATTGGGTTTATTCAGAACATGTTGTTATCATTTATCATTTTATGCCAACAATCTGTCGCAAAATTAATAAATATTAATGAAAAATAAGTATTTATGATGCCTCATATTGATTTGCTAGTATTCTGATAAATGATGTAAGATACTGACTTAAATTCAGCCAAATCATCGTAGAAAGACAAACTTCAACTCTCAAATACCCTATGAATTTGTTTTAATCCCACTTTGCTTAATTTAAAGTCCATTGCTATTTGAATTTTCTTATCAATTATCAATTTGCAGCTTTCGCTTTGGTCTTTTGTTGTCGGAGTCAACATTAATTTGTAACAATAGCTCATTTATTTATTAATTTCTGAACAAACAAGCCGAAAAATTTGTTTCATTGTCGACGACAAGGTGGGATTTTCTGGTTGCTACCAAAAAAAAAAAGCAACGAAAAAAAAGAAGTTGTTTATTGTGTGTTTATTTGATAGATGTTGTATGTAGCAGGCCGGAGGCTCTTTGTTGTAAGCGTAACCTTGAAATGTGAGTTTGAGTTAAATTATATGTGGCACCTCAAGCGAAGGTTCTTGTAGTAAACTTTTATGGCCCCGATTTATCGTTGCAGTGCTTGCAAGCCATAAACATAATTAGATTTGTAACAAGTTCAAAAGTGTTATAATCAATAATAATAGTTATAAATATAGACTGGCTCCCTCTAATCTTGTATTATTGAGCAATTGCTTAAATAACAATAACTGTCGCTCTTCTTTTTGGCTACTCAATTTTTGAGGGTTTGTTACGCTACCATAACAAATTTATGAACTGTAAAGTAAGGCAATTAAAAATCGCCAAGAAAATGCTCAGCAAGCGCAACGACGACGACGACGACGACGCCGACGTCGACATCAGCGTCAGCGTGAGCTTCGACTGCGACTGCGACGCTGCGCATGCTCACTCATTGAAGTTGGCAGCGGAGTCGCTTTTCCTTTTCTGCGCGTGCTTGAAGCCAATTAAAAGCAAAGCAATGACGATGATGATGACGATAATGATAATGCAATGCAAAAGAAATTCAACAAAATGTAATATCAGAAATCATTTCCAAATTCAAAGTATCATAAGTAACAATATATTTGATTTTGTTATTATCTTTTTTATGTTTGTTTCAAATGTTTTGAGTGTTAGAAAGTTGGGTATAATTTTTTTCACAAAATCATGCTGTTAATCATAATTTTATATGTTCAAATGAAATCCTCTTCGACTGAAACTGATAGCCAGTGTCTTTTGATATGCGAGACGAGTTTCAGACGCAGGTTGGAATATTCTATTTAGAAAGTTGCCGATATATGAATGATTAAAAAATATTTTTTTAAAACAAATATTGACTAGTCATTAAGTACTAAAGAATTGCACTTTCTCATAAGATCTTTAGATAGAAAGAAGCATAAAAAGAATTACATTTCTAAGATTACTTATGTTGAATATTTCTCTTAAGAAAGTCGTATATTAACAGGTATCCACTTGTAATAAAATCTGCATTTAAGTAAACTTTTTGTTGAGAACCCTTAAAAAAAATAGTTAATTTTCCTAATTGGGTTTATGTTAATTTCAGCATTTGGCTTACAACAAATTTCCATTTGCTACCATTTTAAGCAAAGAATTATGCATAATTTATTCGAAGTTTATCTTAGCCAGAGATCGTTTATTATAAATACAAGTTGGTTGGACAGTTTTGTGTGATTGTGAATAGGCAAGCTCACATATTAACTTGAGGCTCTCAATTATCGCATTTTTAAATCGCAATATGACCATAGACTGGACAGTTTTTGCACGGGTCGGGGGTCCATCTAATCATTTGTCTAACTGGAATTTACCATATTTGTGTAGACAATATTTATGCCACAATAATCGAACAAATAGATTCAACATACGGTTGCAAAGATTTATTAGAAATGCGAGCGCTGACTGACAGGCAAAGCGATCAACTAACCGGCCATGCGAGCCAGTCTAAACAAATTGTCTTAATTGGCTAAGACGAATGAGTTGGCCAGCCTTTTTAGGCTCGAAACGCTGCGACGCCAAATTGCCGACGGCGACGACAAAATGTTTGTTTGTTCCATGCTCTAATCAAATTTTGTGTTTACCAAAACGGATTTCGGGTGACTGACTGGAGGTAAAAACGTTTGCATTGAAATATTAAAATCTCTTTAATGCCACAAATCTGCCGGATTTGCACAAAGTAAATATTGCACCAGCTACGCCTCCTCGACTACTTACTAACTGAAGTGAGCACTAAGCCCAAACATTTGTTCAAGATTAGCTTTGGCTTTGACTACTACTACTACTACGGCAATATAAACAGGTACGGCGAACTGAGTCTGGGTTTTACCGTACAGGTATTTCAGTAATTCTGTAATCTGTGACCACCTACAGGCGAGCCTGAAACTGAGTTGCATCCAGCTGCGTTTGATAAAAAGTGAAAGGCTAATGGCCAGAGGCGATGCCTTAAGGATAGGGGCTTATTGTCACCATGCGGGACGTGGACGTGCCAACGCTTGACAGCTTCGTCTAAGCCGCTTCGGGGGTGGTTGTGGAGTGCTACAGTTTTCCAAATTCAAAATCGTTCGCCTTGGGTGGCGTCTGACGTAGACCGAAGAAACCGACAAATTTCAATTGCAACAACCAAAGCCCGCTTGTGGTCTTTGTCTCCGTCCGAAATAAATCAAAAAACGCAAAAATATTTGAGCGTAGCAGGAGCAGGTCTAACAACAAAGAGACCGAATGCCAGCATTGCATAAATATGGACACAAAAGGACCCAAAGAAATCAAGAAAAGAAGAAAACCGAAAACCAACGATGATGATAACACTCCAATGTGCGCACAAACTACCTGAGTTGTAAATAAGTGTGTATATAGATATATATGTATATACATACATATATAAGTGTTTGTATTTACTTGGAAGTAGTCTTGGTAGTTTCTAGCCTGGTCACAAGCACACACACACACACACATTGGCAGCAGGTACCTAGTTATACCTAGTCAAATTTCAAGGTTTGACACTTTGATGTGTTGGCATTAATTAGTGACCATTGATGTTGGGAATTACAAAAAAATGAAGCAAACTCAATGAAATCCTAGTCACACAGCCTCGGGTCAAAATGTAAATGAGGCAAGCAGCAGCAGCAGCGGCAGCAGCACACAGTCTGTAATCAAAGTCAACGATCGCAGACTCTAATGATCCCAAACGAATGAAACTCACCAGGCACAACAAAAGAAAAACAACACAACACAAAACTCCGTATGCGGGAGTGACCCCCTCTATATAGATATATACATACTCTATACTTATATGTACAAGAATACTTAAAAGAAACTTTGAATGTTCTCGAAATGATGCAATGAACGGTAAATGCTATGAAAATGGGTCAAGCATAGATGGCAATTAAATTGTCAGCTTTTCAAGACATTCATCGATCTTTATGTGAAAACGAAGGGGGCGCTCGAAATGCGGCAGGAAAATGCGCTAACAAATTGTCAGTGGGTCTGACAGTTCTGACCTGATTTTCTGGGGCAAGCCGAAAAGAAAACTGACAAAAAAAAACCAAAAAAAAAAAAAACATAATCACGTCGAGTGACAAAGCTGAAAGAAAAATAGAAATACAAAAACGTCTTTTTCTAGACCTTCCATCATCTTGCATAACGGTTTATTGCCCCGAGACCCACTGAGCGACTGACCGCTGAGTTTGCCCGAAATACACTCGTCGTCCCACTGGGAAAACTCATAAAACTCAAGTGTGCAAAAGGTACTGACGACTATCCATAGGCATAAGTTGAGAAAGAGAGAGCAACTTTAAACAACTTCGATATTATTTTTTTTTTACAGTTGACACGTGCAGCGATCGGCACAAAACTATTGACAAACTGATTGACTGATTGACGAGCGTTCGCAAAGTGTGAATGCGTTTGTAAAACTACCTGTCACAGAGACAGAGACAGGTAAATATCGCCAAGCATAATCGACATACGAAGAGACCAGGAGAGACCCACGCCGACAAACGCTATTCAAATTACTTTCATTCAAGCCGCAAGACTTGTGAATGCTTGCCGCTTGATTGATTAGCCCAAGAGAGCTGAGTGTGACGCGTGTTCGCACTGGGCGGGTACCATATATGTTAAGATGCCAGCCAGGCCAACCACGCGACTTCCGCATGTCTCCAGATCTGCTATCTCAGAGGCATAACTAAACTTGCCCGATGATACGTCTTGGTATAAGATCTTGGCGTTTACTACTTGATATGTAATTCTTTTCATTCTAAATCAACATCTTTAGAACATTACTTTCCATGCCTTTTACAGTTGCTTTGGAGATGAGAATGCAAAGAAATCTTTCGAGATAAGGGGAACAAGGTTAGGCTAGGTTAGCTTCGGGCGGCCATCGGGGCGAAGTAGCCTCCGTCGACATACTTGAGCCATGTCGGCTCATTGTGCATCGCAATGGACTTTGTCCCCTTTCGAGCATTAAACTTCAAGAAAATTCAAATTTCATCCAGCCCGCAGATTGGATGAGCTATGATGAGCTGATAACGGATACAATATAGATGCGCACTGGGTAAAGACGATCGTTGTAAACCCATCGAAAGCCAGAACTTACAAATGCCTACTGTGTTTCTATCACATCAATCTGATGCAAATTCGGACAACTCAAGTTAAATGCTTGTGTCCTGAATTCTATATTTAAAAATAGGAAATTTCTTTTCAAGCGCTTTCATCCCTTTTTGAGCAACTTTCTTTTGCCCACTGAGGGATAGCCATAGAAACGAAAGTTGAATGCATTGTGGCGTTACAAATTTCACCAATTTCGTGTAGTGTAAAGTTTACGAGCTGTTAGCTGCATTAAAACTACGAAAACTCAGCCCAAAAACATGCGATACAAATACTTTTAAAAAAAAAAGTTAAAATGCAAATAAGTTGCGCACACGTCGGCTAATTTGTTGTAAAAAAAAAGAGAGAAAAACAAAAACAAAAACAAATAAAAGAGCGCAAGATTTCGTTGCTAGCAATTTTTAATAGCAGGCGAATTAATGATTTTCAAAAATGCAAATTAATTTTTGAATTAACAAAATCGGTTGAAAGAAAACAGACAAACTGACAACAGTTCAGTCAAAATGCCCGCCAGATCTCAAATACGAAAACTTGATCTACAACATTTTTTTTTCCTATACGCCTCCTGACCAACTAATTGTTAATTTCTTGGCTAAGAAAAAATATCTGTTATACGCAACATATTTTTGTTATAAAGTGTTTGGCTTGGAAGCGACGCCGACGACGAGGTACGTTGACCTTTTAATTTAATTAAAGCCCAAGAACGTTGCGAAAACAGCAACGGGTATTATGCGCATTTTGTTTCGTTCTTCCCTTTTTCTAATCCAATTAAAGAGCATTGCGGTAACCTTACAAAACTTGGCCATTTTGGCATGTTGGCTAAAAGTACATAACTGCAAATCAAAATACGGCTGGCAATACAGAAATTGCCGAGTCATCGCACTGAAAATTGGAGCTATCTTGCACGGAATGTAATTGATATGCTTTGGCCAAAGAATTAATGGATTTTATTTTGGCAGAAGGCTGTTTATTATTCGACTTTCAAAGCGAGAATTAGAAGTTTCTTATTATTATAATTAAAAATTGTAGACTGCCAAAAAAATACAATGTAATTAATATCATTTGTATCACACACTTTATCTTTAGTGTTAAATATTAAAAAAAATATTTATATATATATGACGAGAGTAGAATTTAAGAATTTAACTAAGAATTTAAAGTGATTGTAAACTCGATACGGGCTTTTTAGTTATGTTGATCTATCAGCTAACTTTATTGTAAATATTAAATTTGTACAAAATAAACAATAAATATGCCATAAAAATTAATGGCCATGATAAATAAGAAACTCTCAGAAATTCGGAAATTGTTTTAGCAATAATATAAAAATGTTAACAGATGTTATTAAAGTTATTAAGTCCATTATTGTGAGCTTTTATTTAGATATTATGAATTTTGCTATGAATAACTATGAATCATTGCCATTTGCTCATCACAACAAAGAAGCATTGACAGATAACTTTGGCCACGACACCAGATAACAGCTGAAATCATCTGGGGTACGTTGAACTCACGTTCGACCCTTGCGTAAGCCGCAAGAGATTAGCCAATTTAAGTGAAAGACAAAAAGACGGTGGCCAGAACGATTAGCAAACCGGTTAATGTAACTTTCCATTAACCGGTATTCAAAGCGGGCCTACTCAACTCAAACTCCAACTCCCATGCAAATGAAGCCAAAACTGAACTCCTTTTTTTTTTTTTTGTTTTTCTTTATCGTTCACAGCCCCACCCATTTGTCTTTCTCCACCGCAGGCTGCTGGCAACTGTCATTTAGTTGAACATTGTAATTTTCGCAATTTGGACAATTTGATTTAATTCGATGAATATTGCCTGCAAGCCGAATGCGTTGTCAGTTCTTAGTCATGCTGACAACATTTACTTAATGGTGTCATCTACCAAATTGGGGTTTTTCGCACTTTCGGCAATCTATGAATATTTATTGTGAAATATGTTTTCACATGATGATTGCACAAAATGTTGAAATGACCAGCAACTGAGCCAACGGTTGCGGTTATTAAGACGAGAACTTGTTGGCCAAGTGCGTCAACATTGCATTGGCCAAGCTGAATCGCTTACCTTCTAACATGAGCTTCCTTGTCCACACAGATACACACACACACACGCACACACATGAACCGATAATTGCCGTTGCTGAGCTGCAATTAAAATGGAAAAATAGTAAACATTAGCCAAGAAGACGAGCATCCTTTAATGTGCCAAGGCGCCAACTAACTGCACCAGTTTAGCTCTAACTGTAAAAATCTGTTAATTACAACGGACCGGGGCAATAAATAAATATGTGCACACAAGTTTGTTGTTAATTAGCATGGTTGAAAAAAAAAAAAAACACGAATAGTCAGACACATCTGCAATCTCTGTTCTAACCAAGCCGAAGCGGGAAACCTTGTGAAAGCGCCTCGGGCTCGTCTTACCAACAGTTTGGAGCCCCGTCCCCAGGGCGTTGCTGGCAGCGGAAGCCAAGCGCAGACAGCAGACAACAGACAGCAGACAGAAAAGACAGCAGACTGTCGACAAACGGCAAAGAGACAGACACCAATAGTCGACCCTAATTTCCTATTTAAATATAGTCGAAGCCAAGCAACAAGAAATGCAACAACAACAACAACAACAAAATCACACACAGGTAACCCAATGCAATATCGCACCACACCACACACTTGCCACAACAACAGATCGGGGCTCGAACCTCGCCTGGGGTGGGGCATTGGGACTGGTCTTGACAAGTGTTTGGGCAAATACAAATAATACTTCCTGCACTTTGTTGGCCCAGACATGTATACGCTTTGCCTGAACTGTGCCATAAAGGTAGACACAGACGTTTAGCATTTGAAACGAGAATTTAGAATGTGACGACTGAAAATTAGGCAGACAAAGTTCAAATGAAACTTCCACACCAACCCCCTATTAACTTGTACAACAAGTATTTTTCTAAAGTTAATACTTTTTGGAAAAGTAAAAATAATTGCCTTTAATATAATCTAAAATAAGCCGAGTAAGCACAAATAAAATTAAATGTCAGAAATATGCTTCAAGGGCGTACCTAGCTTTTTTGTTTGCGTACATTTTCTTCAAAAATAAATACAAGCTGTGAATATTTTGTTAATTAATTAAATTAGTAAGCATATAAGCCATATATATATATATAGCTTAAGTTATTTTAACTCAAATAAACTTGCTTTATTAGCAAGTCTTTTCGTTATACGTTCATTTTGGTTGTTTTGCATTCCACTGAAATTTCCCAGCCAAAAGCAAAACTTCAATGAAATTGTGATTACACAACTTTGAAATTCTTTCGCTGCTCAACGAATATGGCAAATAACGAAAAAGCTGCAATAAGCACTTTCAATCTTTCAATATTTATACATAGCAGCAAATAAATGCGTTAATAAGTAAATAAATACCATAATTAATGAAAAAACAAAAAAAACAATCAACAAAAACAAAAGGTGCAAAATAAATAAAAGCCAAAAAGCCAAAAAGCCAACGAAAACATATTCAAATCACATAAATTAAGGCAAGTAATGGCAATCACACAGCAGACAGATGGAGAGAGACAGATAGAGAGAGAAAGAAAGAGGCAGATACTGAGACAGAGAGAAACACAGACAGTGATCACTTAGGATATGTCGGGAACTCAAAATTCCGACAAATTAAAATATTGACAAAGGAAAATGCATTAAAAATGCGAAACCATGTTAAATGAATGCCGACAATGTCGCTGCTTATTTATATATGTATTTCACTTTATATATTTGGATATTTTATATTTTATACGTAAAGCGTAAAACGGTAACAGAAAACAATATTCATATATATATATATATAAATGTATATTGGTAGCAGTCGGAGTGACAACTGCACCCACTGCAAAAAGATACAACAAAATGCTGGAAAACAAGTTTCATTTCAGTTCGAAATAAAGTTTTAAATTAAAAACAGCTGTACACATGTGGAGCGAGTGCAACACAAAACACAAAAGCAACAGCAGCAGCAGCAGCAACAGCAACAGCAACAGCAACAGCAACAACAACCAACACAACAACATCAGCAGCAAATTAACAACTCAACGAAAGTTCAGGGCTATTATTGTTGACTGGCTGCCGAGCTGAGCTGAGCTGAGTGTAGCTCTGTGAAGGTGTCGTTCCGAAAGAAATTCCATTGAAAAATGTTCAAAGTGGTTGGAAAAAATTGCCAACTGTCTGTCGGCCAAGCTATAAAAATAGTCTTTGTATGCAGCGTATCATTGGTGGTCGCCTTTTGTTGTAACTGGGTTAAAAGGGTATTTTGCTAGTGGATCTGCCCAGAGTTCGTTCACATTCGCCAAAGAATGGCAGCTGTGTTCTATAGATAACTGACAAGTCAAGAAACGAAGGTTACTAGCTTTAAATACTTGCTGACTTATTAAATAAAAGTACATATAAGACAAAGAAAGGTTTTTTTTTGGCAGATATCGAACCCTTGTATACTAAATATTTTAGTAATTTTTACAGCAATTAAAATGATTAACAAACAATTAATAAAATTGCGATTTGTTGAAAATTTGTATAAAGTATTATTTAAGCATAGATAATTTTCTGAATGGTAGAGGTATAATTCTGAGATTCTATAAATTTCATTACAAAAACTTACTATTTCGAACCTCAAACAAAAATGTAGATGCCAGTCGATAACTGATAGATATAAGCGTAGACATATATGTCACTTTAAATTACTCTTTCGACAGCAGATATATTATATAGTGATGCGATTCGATCATCACCGACCTATGCAAATCTAAAAGCGCTAGAAAAAACTCGCTTTCCTAAAC